TATGTTCCGTAACGGTGTGTATTCTACTTTGCTACACTATTTATATTCAGCTTCATAAACAAAAATAGTCCTTTTGCAGAAACTTCCACAATGCATCCATCCTGACTGGCTGCGTTTTAAATGCCACATGTGGATTGCAACAGAACAAACAAAGTTATACAGCAGAGTCATCTCATCAGTTCAGTGTCACCATTCATCTGGTATAGGGTTACAATTAAAACTGAATTTTCCTGTTGTCTCCATGAATATAGCTTAAATAAGTAAACCAATATAATCTGTTCGAGGCCACTTGCATGACCTTGCAACTTTCATTAGCCTCCCTCCCTGCGTTCGTCCACTCTTTAACTGTGGGTTAAGTGATAAATTGACATTTGCAACGTGACTTACCAAGTAACACCGGGTACGTGATGTAGTGAGAAACTGGCCGTGAAGTAATAAGTGAGTGGGCAAGAGATTTTCTATTAACACAACAGCAGAAGAGTAAGAGAGGTTGGGCCTAAGTGAAGAAGATTTTCTCGAACAAAAATTCCCCGCTTTTTGTAGCCACCACCACCTGCAGTGCCTCCGTTTAAAAGCTGTCAGGCCACAGCCATAGAGGAGCTTGAGCACCAGCTAGTGGTAGTCGAGTTTCACTGTCAAGATAGTCCTCACCAAACACATTAATCATGACCAAGGGAGTGTAAAATTCAATCGGCTCCTTCCATCCATTTCATGTGAAGCAGACTGAAGGCCGGCCTTGTAGTGCCTGAAAAAGGAAGGATGGGGAAAAAAAGAGGGAAAAAAGAAAAAGGAGCTCCCTACACTTCATCAGAACCCCTACTTCATAACAAATGGAGTGTCTCTCTGGCGGAGGAGTGCCATCAGAAACACGCGTTCTCTCTATCCATTTAATTCCGGCTGTGGAGGAAGGGTCAGGGAGGGAGCAGTGGGTGCGTGTTCTGCTCTCCGCTCGCCGCTTCTCCAGTCACACAGTAAACTACCTTTTAGGAATTGTTTCTCAATAAGAAATGATCAGTCCATTTATCTGCACCAGGCGGGCCTGTCTCCTCACCCAGACCTCCAATATTTTTCGTTTGACCTGATCAGGGCTATAAACTAGACCGAGACACTTTCAATTTGTCACCCGAGGAGGCCTCTGCACGTCCCATGCAACTGATTGCATCCACACACCCAGATGTAAAAATTCCTCCTGTGCTTGAGATCTTCTAATCTTTCACATTTTAATCTCATTATAAAAAACAAAACAGTCCTGGGAGATCAACATCTGAAATTCAGATCATAATGTCATTAATCATTATCCACATATGAAAAAGGCAGTATTATTCAGAAATTTATATTTGAATTTAAATGATCCATTACGACTATTGCTTTGTGAGAAAAATGGGTATTTCTATCACTGTAAAACAATAGATTAAATCCTGTCTTAAAGGTTTAAGCAACATACCAAGGTGACATTTTTAAGACTGGGGAAATGTTTTGATTTTTAAAATGCATAAAATCCATTCAGAAATGTAATGTTCATCTCTCCAATCAAATAAAAATATATTTTTTTTAAAGGAAAAAGCCCACATTACTGATTATTTGTTGAGTGGCAACATATTAACCACTTTGTTTTCTCTCAAAACATGTATAAACTTTGAACAGGGGGTAATTACAGTTCACACATGACTTGCTTCCTCATCAAACCCTTTAAAGCAGTTAAACATTCCTTGAATTGGATGGAACATGTCAATGATTTTTTGACAGCACTGAAATATGGTGAGGACAGTCAAGCCCATATGCACAACCTGTTCAAACTGCTGCCTCGTCCCAGTCACATGCATCCAATTAATCACTGATACCTGCGGCTGTCACCTCACATTTATGTGGTTATACAACACCAATGGGCAACTGGGTGGAACTGAAAAACACATTTAGTAACTGGCACTTTCTTCTTTTAACCTGTTTTTGCCTTTTATGTAGTCATCAAGTAGACAAATCCAATATCTAAAAAATTACTAAATGTAGAAAGTGATCAGTTTAGTCATTGTCAAGTTTATTTGCCGCCCTTTCCTCTTCATCAAGTCCTGCAGATCTACAATACGTTTTTCTTAAAGCCGGACATTTCTGTTTATTGTGAGTGGATATTCTCTCTGCAAATAAGCGAGAGCACAATATGCATTGAGAAATTCTGTACTGATGCATTAATGGGACCACGTGCATCAGCATTTTCTAGTGCAAGCTTTGTGGCATGGACTGTGCTTTGTCTCCTGCTCTGAACTCTTGTCACCTTTATGTGTGCATGGTAAGATTAAGTAAAGTCTTAGTCTCTAGTCTCAAAGGCATGAATAGAGGAATTGCTATTTTCCTGTTTAGTTTACCAAACAGTGGTTAACCCAGGGATGTTAAACTTCCGGCCTTGAGGACCACTGTCCTTTCTTTGATTTAATACACTGTTTAAATCATTGCACCATTGGCAAAAATGTAAAGAACTTAATATTCTGGAGACATCTGTTCGAGCTACATCCGCTGTGTAGCTCAGGGGGAAAGAGCAGTTGCTTACCGATTGGAGGGTCAGTGGTTTGACTCCATGCTCCTCCAGTCTACACGTCTGAGTGTCCTAGGGCTAGGCTCTAATCCCCAAGAGGCCTACCTGTGTGGGAGTGGGTGAATGACACTTAGTGTAAAGCACTTTGAGTGGTCAGTTCAACTGGAAAAACACTATATATATACAAGTCCATTTACCATCTGTCAGAATGTTAATACATATTTACTCTTGCAATAATTTCTTAGTATGACGTTTCCACTTTACTGAACACACAACAGAAGCACAAATTAAAAATGACCTAAAAGACCATTCTTTTGTCATGTTTATGTGTTTTTGTTAGGCAGTATGTTTTCCCTATGTTCACTGAATGGGAATTGGCCTGAGAGGACATTCTGGCACAGAATTCTGGCCCAAAAGCTCAGCCAGGCTAAGAGTGTGTTCTTTTAGAGAAACCGAAATGGGAAAATGGCCTGAAAGTAACCGTTGTCCAATGAAACGTCACTAAAAACATTGGACGTACGTCGGCACGTGACCAATAATAAGATAAACGCCATCATTTGACGGTGCAAAACCAAACCAAACAAAACTAGTCAAATGAACACTTTTACTTTACTTACCGACACTGAAGCATAAGTGTCATTGCGGGTCTGTATATCTGGATCATTTTCGAATAAAGACCCCAAATGCTTGGGGCACAGTCCGTCGTTCGGTACAGGTGAGCGCGCGGCAGACCTGTATGAGATGACGTAATTTTAGTGAAAAAATAAATACAATTATTCCCAACTCGGTAAAAACACGTGTCTCTGTGTCACAAAACACACACATACATAAAATAGGATTTTTAAAATTTCAAAATCTTTTCAATAATGCTTTTTTAATTTTCCAATTTGTGCTTTTGTGGGGGTATTTTATTTATGTTTATTTTTGTTTGTTTGTTTTGTTTCCTTAAGACAAAACCGGGTCTTTGTGCTAATTAGACTGTGAAAAACGTAAGCACAGCCACACTGCTTCTGAGAACTGAGGGAATAACTTACAGCAAGGTGTTGCTGCTGATCAAAATACTTGAGAAACTGATCGAGAGTAGATGTGTCGTCACATTACTGCTCTAGAGTATCCAGGTGTGTGTTTAAATTACAAGGAATGCAGATATCTAAAGGTTAGTGCTATTTTCAAAGTGTTCTGAAGTCGAGTTTTAAAGCATCTATTTGTCACTAAGTCATCATGAACCAGAGCAACTCTGATCTGTCCAGGGTGTACCCCCTTTTGCACAGCGTAGACTGGGATAGGCTCAATTTGATGGTGATATGTAAAAATAAAAAATAAATAAAACATTTTGGTTACAATGTTGAACATTCAGGCTTTGTGATTGTATGTAAAAAGAAAATCAGACAAACAAATTACATCACAGTAATTCTTAGCATTTAATTAGATAATGTTGTGGAAATACATCCAAGATCACCTTATAATTAGCACAACTACTACCACGGGTCTGCGTATGCAAATTGTTTATCAGTTAAAGGAGCCTGTTAGTAGAACTTCGTGAGCTGTTGCACCTGACTGATTGCCAGGAAACATGTCCACAAGACAGCTGTCAGTTGGAAGTTTGTTTGGGGAATATACATGAAAGCTGACCAAAGACCAAATAGTTGGAAATTGAAACTGATTTGCCTTTAAAGTAGGAAATGCACAACAAAATGAGAGGCGAAAAACAAGTTGGCAGAATCAGCTTGAATATCAAATACAAAAGTCTACTTTGAAATCATACTCATACCATCAAATGAAAATACTTTTGCTGACAAATGTATTTCCTAGGATGATAAAGCACGGTGGAGAAAAGAGCACTGGATCTTCTCTTTAGGGAAGAGGCCTGAACTAAATGACATGCACAGCAAACACATCATACTTGTTGGGAATGAAAAGGAAAATGTCATTGATGAAACCTGATCCTGTAGCTTAGATCTGTCTATCACTACAGAAGATTCAAATTAACTGATGAACAGTTCAGGTTTTTCTGCAAACTTTAAATAATTCAACGTGTCATCCAAGACAAAGGAGCTGCAACAAAATAGTAAGTCAGTTTTCTTTCTATCCAGGCTTCATAAAAGACTAAATCTTTACAAGTGTATTCATTTTTCTTTGTCAACATTGATCTAATATAGTATTTTGCCATTTTGTTTGTTCAACTTGAGAACAATTCAATCCTTCTCACTGCAACCACAGTATTTTATACACACCAATTAATACACACCAGTTCGTCATGTCTCATTGTCTAAATGTGTCATGTGGATTGGCAACTACATTTCGAGGTGGAAACAAAATACATTTGGACACTGATGCCTCACGTTCTGTAATGATAACATAACTGGGGTCAACTGCCTTGTACGATACAACAGTGACACCACGTGGAAATCACACACACTGCATAAAGAGTACAAGCCGTTGTTAGTGAATGAAGGACCCCAACGTCTAGACGTGGTGTATGACAGTAAGGCTTTATTTAACGACGTCCGGAGGAAACAACAGGTGACAGTTTTAACCTCAGAGGTAAGCAGTTACACAGGGCTACAGATGGCTGCTTTAGCTGCACACATACTCAGTGTCTGGACTCAAGGAATATATTTGCATTTGCAAGGTGTCTACGTGGTGGTTCTTAGTGAGTAGGTCTACATCTGAGTACCATATAACATGCAGAGGTACTTTCTTTGTAAATCTATATCATTTGAGTGCTTCTACTGTACGATACAGCTTTGTGGTGCATCCATAGATTCACTGAATATACTGCTCCAACCTGATAAGTTCTACCCAAAGAAGAAATAAATAGTTAGTGACTATAATGGTTTCATAGTGCCTACTAGTAGAGGACAGAATACAACAGCCAACTAAAGCAAAAACTGCATGCGGCGGCCTTCGGGTCTAAATTAAACAAATTTTAGAAATGCAACACAGAAGAAATAAACGAACATGACATGGAATGCAAAAATATTATCAGGAAAAAAATAACTTTTTCCAAACACATGGAAGATCATGTTTATATAATGAAAAGTACTGAAAGCTAAACTAGTCATCCATGAGAACGGAGGTGGTTGTGGCAGCTAGAAACTGCAGAAATGAAAAATTAAAAAGCAGTTTCTTTGAGGCTTTGAAGGCCATGGCTAGATGCCCTATGAGTTATCGTAAGAACAAATTGCACTTCATTCTCAGTTTCACAGCTTTTCATTTACAATATTTGGGTGTATTTATACATTCCATTCGAAAATGAAATGTGAAACAGGCTGATAAAAAAAATTGGCACAGAGTGGTGACAAGGCTACTTTATCTGAACTGTACTGTAACAAAAACAGAGAAGAGAATGTAAAACATGGATTCAAAAGCAACCAGGTCCCTTAACCATAACAACAAGGGAAGATCTGGGGATGGATGAAAAAAAGAGAGGAAAAAAACATCTAAATGAAATGTTTTAAAACCCGGGATTACTAATAATGATACAGAAACATGAACACATAAAAAATACATTGATTTTAAGTAAACAAGCTAGAAAAAGGTACCCATGTACTATGGGTTGTGTGAAATGGGGGGGAAAAAAAGAGTCCCTCAAAGGGAAACATCCTCACAGTCCATAGTAGTTCATTATTAACTGCACCAGGAAATAATAAAGCTCTTTAAAAAATACAGAAGCCAGGCGGAGACAGGCCTGAGGAACTGGAGCTGTTCCCTGGACCTGAGCCTGCTCTGACTACATTATACATATTCATACACACACACACACACACACACACACACACCCACGCACACACATATATGATCCAACTACAGGGCCATGCTTGAATGAACACCAGTCAAGCCCGGCCTGGCCTTATCTCACATTCATCACCATTTATCAAATATAAACTACACCACAGCCAAAAAGCAAGTGTTAACACTAAAAATATACCACTTAGTCCTGTTGTAGCATGGCCGCACAGTGTAGAGGGAGTTGTGCAGGTTGACATGGACAATATACATCTTATCTTTATATACAATGATACAGATAGGAGCACAGTGGCAAATTTGTCTTTGTTTCTTATTATGGTGAAATGACAGTGGATTTAGAGGACCCTGGATCTCTTGCTGGCCAGTGAACCATGCTAAAGATAAAAAACAGAAAAGAGAAAGAAAGAAAACACACAGGTTAATCAATGCAGATATCAGATCTGTTAAGTTTTTAAGCAGTTTGAGGAATCAAGTCAGAAGTGGCAACATAAGATAAGTGGTGGGACTAGTTCAAGACTTTTACAATTAAATAAGAAATGGAATGAGTTGGAGTGTGCAGTTCATTTTGCTGGCCCACCTTAGCTTGCTTGTAAAAGTGAGGGGCCAACTCGACCAGCCAGGACGACTCAACAGCGGTCACATCACGCATGAAGTACTTGGACGTCTGCACCACTTCATTGAAGACAACCCTGCAAACAAATGCAGCACATTTGAGAAGTTTACTGTGAATTTCCACAGAACATTATTTTAAAAAAAGACAAAAGGTGCCATATTCCAGTTAAAGCACAGTGGACAAAGTTTATCTACTGACCACTTTGGAGGTTTCTCTCCATACAGCACAGAGTTGGGGTGGATGTGCAGCTCAAGGTCGTCTCTTAAGGTTCTAACAAAGAAAATTGATAACAGTGTGTGAAACAGTGCTGAACTAAGTCGTTGTAGAAATCAGAGATAATCCCTTTGGGAGATGTGCGACATTGGACGGAACAATGACAAACTGCCAACTGCACACGCACCGGTAAGAGCCAGAGTGGTGAATACGGGCCGCATTAGCAAAGAATCCAGACACAATGCACCTCAAAATCACATCTGGATCACCTGAGGAACAGAAAAAACAAAGAATATGAGTAAATCAGACAAACGCAGACAGGCCTCTCTGCCCCGCCACGGGCAGACGCACCCTCACTGGACGTCCGTGGCACTTTGAACTTGTTCATGAGGCGACGGAGCTGCTCTCGCACCGTCATGGCTCGCAGCAAACCTTTGTAATTAAGGAAATGTTCCTGACACCACTGAGAGCTCTTCTGGTGCTGCAGGAAAAACAGGAAAAAAAAGGAGTCATATAGCATCGATTAAAATCAACTTGATCCAGGTCACAACAGCCCCAGGCGCTGGCTGCTGCTGCCGTGCGAGCGGGTGGGCATGCGCACGCCGTACCTTAATGAATGCCTCGTACACGTTCAGCATGGTGAGGTGGTCTCCCTCAGCCACCGCAAATTTCCTGTGCTCACGGGCCTGCATGGTGGGAGAGAAAAAGAAAAAAAAAAAAAGGATAATTGCTATGCTGACAAAGGGCTTCTTTCCAAGGAAAAAGCAGCATGCTCCTTCGAACAGCCTGATTCCACTTACAGCAGCTTTCTTCTGATTCGGTGGCACAACAAATATATTCTGAATCTGCATCATTGCTGCTATAGAAACAATCTCTTTGGAGCAGCCGAAGTTTCCCGACTCCAGGAGCATCTTAGCAAACATGGGGCTGAGAGGAAACTCAGCCATGCGCATCCCCATGGGATCAGTCAAACGGCCGTAATTGTCCAGACCTGCCAAGAGACACGGAGGCGGTGAGGATGCTGTGCACGGGCAGCCCGGCTTTGTGGAAGCATATCTGTGCAGAATTCTCCAGCCACTAGTGCTGAAGTTAACGCATAGCTTCCTTTATTTTATCACCTTTCTGAATGCCTTTTCTCTTACCTCCCAGAGCATAAAGAAGTTCCAGAGCCTGAACCATTGTCTGAGCGGGGGGAGGCTGTTGAATGAGAATAGAAAAAAATGCGTTTGAAATACAATAGTCACTCTTGTATAAAAAAATCCAACAAACTTGGTGAAATCATCACTAGTTCACCTATTTTCAAAGGAATACAGTCAGGGATTGCATTTATCAAAGACTAAGTTTTAATTCTTGATTGCACAGAGACCTGGGGGCCTTTTTCCACATTCCAGTGGTTGAACTGTCTCAGCTAGCATGTGGATGCAAAGGGACTCACAGAAAGGAAGCTGAACCGCAGCACGTTGTCTATGCCTAAAGCTTTGAGCTGCAGGATGACGGGGGCCAAATTGGAGCGCTGCATCTCTGGCACGGTGGAAGCAGGTAGTTTTTCAAAGTCCTCCTCTGATGACAGGAACACGAGCAATAAGAAAAAGTGAAAGACGGGGGAGAAAACGTTTGACGGCAACATAAACTCACACACCTGTGTAAAGTCGAAAGCACTTCCCAGGTCGGTTTCGTCCGGCTCGCCCCGCCCTCTGACTGGCTGAAGCCTTGGAGATGGGAGTGACCACAAGGGACTCTATGGCAGTGCGGGGATTGTAGGCCCGCAGCTTTACAAACGCACAGTCGATGACGAATACAATGCCATTTATGGTGATGGAGGTTTCCGCTATGTTGGTGGCCACCACAACCTGAAAATAACAATAAAATGAAAAGCATTCAAAATCTCACACGCCTTTAGGAACAGGGATTCTTTTTCAAAGGTGTAAAATATCCATATTGGACAACAATATGTAAAAAAAAAAAAAAGTAAAAATGTAAAAACTGTTCCTCTTAAGAAAGAAGATGAAAGCTAAATTACCTTCCGAACAGAGGGGGGAGTCCGATCAAAGATCTTCATCTGGTCAGCATAAGGTAGACCGGAGTACATGGGCAAAATTCTCAAGTGTTTCTTCATACCGTATCGTGAGAGCGACCTGGCCTGCTCCTGCAAAAGAGATGCCACCTTCTCCACTTCCTCCTAATATGGGAAAATATTAGATGAGATATCAGAATGTGAAGACTCATTGATAAGAAAGCAGCACACGTCAGCCTGCTCTGTTCCCAAAGCTTTCAGTCAAGTGGGGTAAAAGCCCATAAACGACATGTCCTCTAACCTGGCCTGTGAGAAAGGCCAGGACATCGCCATCATCCTCTGTCTCATGAATCTTCATCACCGTCTCAACTGTGGCCTTCACATAATCTGGAACAGGACTGACAAGCAAAGCAGAGACCTTTTAGAGTTTAACAGATAGGCATACACACATACACACACACACACACACACACAGGTATAAGCACAGCAGAAAGGACAAAATATATATTAACATATTGAGTGTGAACTACCTCACAGTGTAGAAAACATCCACAGGGAAGGTGCGGCCTTCGACTGTCAGAATTCCACACGTATCCTTGTTGGGGTCGCTTGTCTCGTTCAGGTTGAAGAAGTCGTGGAATTTCTAAAAGAAGCAAAGCATTACATTTTTGAGAAAACCTATCAAAATAAAATTTGTAAGCTTTCAAATTTCAATCTTAAATTGCACAATTACAGATAAAAGTGTGAATAAATTAACGCAACACTGTAATTATTCCTGTACTTTTTGTCACTACGATGCTAAAATCTGACATTGGGGAAGGTCTGCGACTTCCTAAGAGCTGTTTTGCTGAAATCAACTGCTTGTGGGGATCAAAGGCTTTTTGAGGGGAAAGCAAGGCAGATGTCTGATACGGCATTTCAGCTGACGTCTAACTGCGAGCTCTGTCAGTGGCCTGATTGCGTCTGTCTATCATCGGGGATATCGCAGACTTCAGTGCGGTATGCTCGCATCTGAAATCTACGTTCCCTTGTCCGTCTGCGTTAATCTTTTCTCACAATTCAAACATATCTGTTCATCTTAATGATGCTTTCACCTTGGCGTCAAGGGTCGCAGAGGCCACAATAACCCTCAGGTCTCGACGTTTCTTCTGAATCTGTTGAGGATGAAGAGAAAAAAGCAAACTAATTTCAAGAGGGCCCAACTTTTCAGGAGGTGGGGGGGGTCTATTGATTTATGCACACAGGTAAAAGTTTGACTTCTCTCAATTCAAGTATCAGCTGACCTTTTTCAGCAGACCAATGGCTATGTCTGTGTAAAGGGTTCTTTCATGGGCCTCATCCAGCATCAACACACTGAGGTTTTAAGAGTGAAAATAAAGGAGTTACAACAGTGGTTACAAGAAAAGCCTGAAACACGCCCTGACATGATAAGCTGAACAACAAGGCCAGGTAAGAAAAGCCTTCTGACGAATCGCCCGTGTGTACCTGTATTTTTTCAGAAGGGGATCTGCCATCATCTCTCGCACCAGCATGCCATCTGTTAGAAACTGAGAGACAAGGACACGCTTAGGCTCTGACAAACAACCTGACACACAAAGGCTGGCCATGAACACATCCGCCAACAGCTACCTTGATCCTGGTTGCTTGCGGATCAGAGCAGTCATCGAATCGGATGGTGTAGCCCACCTCATGTCCGAGCAGGGCCCCTCGCTCCTCTGCAACACGGTTAGCTACCTAAGAGACAGAAAACAGAGGGGGGGGGACACAGAACCTGAATTGGGTTTGTCCGCTTTACTGTGAACAAACTTTCCCTGCAGAAAAATGACATTGGCAAAGGGTGAGTTGGGAAATAATAGGGCATCAGTGGAGCTCTTACAGAGATAGCAGCCACGCGGCGAGGCTGCGTAACTCCAATCACTTTCCCCTCTGTTGCCCAACCAGCCTCCAGCAGGTACTGAGGGAAGTCAGATGAAAAGGGGGAGAGCAGGAGAGAACAAAGCATGAATAACAGATTCTGAATAAATTAAGCTTTAGCTGATGTGGTCCAAACTCTGCTTAAAAAAGCATAAAACAAGGTCATGCTAAACCACTCTGGGAGGAGTTCATCTATACCAAGGGTAAGAGGAAGCTGCTGCAGTGGTGTGCCTTTTCAAACACAACTTTGTGTTGTTTTTGACACAAACCTGAGGTATTTGTGTCGTTTTCCCACATCCGGTCTCTCCGACTATGATCACAGTCTGGAAGCTTTCAACCAAGTATAGGATGTTGTTTCTGTGCTGCAATTGAAATGAATTTTGAAAAGCAAAACATCATTTTTCGAACAGAAGCATACTTAGAGAGTATATGTGACATGTGTAGAAGAAGATGGATGGAAAACCTTAAAAACTGGAAGCTTCTGCCGCTGTTTCTCTATAGAGAGGGCAGTGTTGGGGTTGAAGATGATGGGGGAGCCTGTGGTCTCCGAGTTGAGCTCCCGTTCCTCTGAAATCCCCGGAGCCTCAGAGCCTGGAGCAGAACAGATGGTGAGGAGGAGGACAAGATATTTTATTTAAATCTAAGAGGGCTGAAGATTTTAAGAGGATGGCGGTCGCTGTTTGGTGCAACGCCCAGAGACACGAACGGGAAAGCATTTCAATAGCTTCGCGCGGACCGTGGCTTTGCCCCTATCAGCGCGTGCGGTGTGCCCTGGCAGGTAAACACACCCGGGTTCCGCACAGCCGTCCCGGGCTGAGCGCGGTCCGGACGCAGCCCCCCGCGCAGCTGCAGTCGGCGCCGCGGCGACCGAGCACACGCCGGCCCCCCCACGGAGGCGTCTGCCCGTCCACACGGCCTAAACCCACTAAACGTACGCCCGACACGCGCCCCCAGCGAAGTTGGTTTATGTTTTTTTGCACTTACCCGGCTTCCAAAATTTCATCGTGGAGCGGGGAGCCGCCATCTTGGCTTCTACGTCACATAATTTCTTTGGACCCGCCTCCGTGCGTGACGTCACAATCTGGGCTTTCTTGGGAGATTTGTGAATGATGTCAGCGCGTCCGCGGCGCAGGTGCGAGCTCAGGCTCACTTCAGTGGTAAGTTTTAACCATCCGATTGAGTCACTAGCCAATATAAACAAGACTTTTTTCATACAAGGCAGTGAAACCATTGATCAACGTTATTAGATGTGAGAAATTCAAACCGCTTACAAAGTATAGGAGTATAATATTAGTATTATTATATTATAGTATTATGATAATTAGAGGTGACACTTAAGAAGCTTTGGTCATTTTCTCAGCGTTTTATGTTCCCTACACAAAATTTCGGGGTAAATTCTGCTCTAGGTTTTCCACCATTCCAACCTAAATATAATGACTTTTTTAATAAACATAGGCAGATGTCATTCCTGGGCATAAATAGTCTAAATGAGCCACAGCATTCAAATTTTCCTATGATAAGTGCATCAGGTCCATTTTTATGGAAGTCTTTTCAGTAGGATTCCATTTTGCATGGATTTTGATAGGCAGGACATCAACCATAATCATCATTATTCAGCAACAAATTAAGAATTTGAAAGATCTCACTTGTGGATGACTTTAAAATTCAAGAAATGTACTGTTAGCATTCATATTTTTGCCCCCTGTCTTGGTTCAACTGAAAAAAAAGCCTTTCGTCCATCTAATATTCAAAGAGTGCGTGGGCAATCATGTTTTATTCAGCCTTGCTTAGTATTTTTATGAGGGAATAGTGAGATTAGCCTATCTCCTCCAAAGCAGGAGGACTCACAAATACTGACAGATAAGATGGAAGCACCCATAATTTATTCTGATCAGTCTTCACATCATTAACACTAAAAGAGATTTAAAGATTTCATTACCTTGTCTTGCTGCTGATTATCCGACTGATACACACTTCCATATGTCAGCACCCACCATTTGAATAACACCTTTATTTCCTTCCGTTATCTGAAAGCATGATGCATATTCATTGTTGGGTACAGCATGTTGTGCTTTGGTAATTCTGTGGCAGGTTGACTCTAAAAATCTGCTTAACTGAATACTTCGGACTACAAATAGTGGGGAAAAAAGAAAATATATATAGTCTTGACACTTTCATCTGAGAGGCAGGGACCATTTCAGAACCTCTTAATTTATGATCAGTGATTCAACTAAAAAGTAAGAAATAACCACATCAGCAATGGGTTTAGAGTTGAGACACAAGACAATGCGAGAAAACAACTGGAAACAGAAAAAACCCTTGTCAACAGTTCCATAAAAGAGTAGAAACTCCTTTTGAAAATGGAGGCCAAACAAAGCCCATGTTTAATGATTCTCGTAAGATTTGATCAGAATATACAATCCTTTCAAACACCAGCTGCATATTGAATAGAACAGGATCATTACAATATCTTTGCGAGAACAGTTTTTTAAAGGTTCCTCACTATAAAATACTGAGAAATATGTTACATCAAACAAGACATAACATAAATACAAATAACTCAGTGTAATACGAAGTGGATTTGACGAACAGGACATTGTAAAGAATTTACGGACAAGTTAAAATTCATTTCAAAACAACAGGCAAGACTTTGATCTGGAAGCTACATGTGAAAAAAAATATTTTAATCAATTTTTACCTCAAAAGAGATGGGCATTTATAAATGTCAGTAGACACACTATGAGCAAATCATGGCAGTGCACAGACACTCGGGTTTAGCTTCAGTCTGAACATTTGCATCCCAACCCAGCGGCATCACTCACTGCCTCTTTCTTCATTTCCCACTGAAGGGACATCAAACTGATAATATCTGGGAAAAGGCCAATTTGTGGTTCTTAAAACCAGCATTTCAATTAATGTTAGAAATTAGATATACTAGCTTCCGCTAGCTACAATCTTCAAGTGTTAGTGACGAGACCATTTACAAATTACACAAAATGTCAGTTCATATCAATGGAAAAACAAAGAAAAATAAAAACACAAAGTTTTTATTTTGTCTCAAAGACAAAAGAAACCGACCATAAAACTGCCGACCCACACAGGAGCAGTTATGTCTCTGAAGGCAAATATGTCTTTTAGGGATGAAACTAAAGAATAAATACCCTCCTGCTCATTCCCTGTGGTGCACTTTGTCCTTATGTTGTAAGGTGACACTTGGACTGATTGATCCTCACGACTAAATGAAGACACTCCGCCTCATTTTCCGTGTCTCCTAACTTGGCTGACATGTTCATGAAAAGTGAAATGGGATGGGTATTCTCCCACTACATGTTATTCTTATAATGTAAAATCTGCATTCATGTCGATCTTCCAAAAACTGACAAAAGTAAGCTGATGAAGTTCTTTTTGACATCAACATACAGTACTTGACCAAAAAACCAATAGAGGCGCAACCAGTCTGAGTTTGATGCATCTTTAGTGTTTGTTGTGAGGAAGGACAGAACATTTAGGAATTGTAATGGAAGATGCCTTACAAAACGGAAGCCTCAAACAAACTGGAGACATACATTATCTGAGCGTGTTCATCACTGTGTTCTTGCTGGAGCTTGTTTTTGCAAACTACGATTCCCATGATGCACTGTGCAATGAGGGGTCATACTGAATGCAGGGAGCATGAAAACCCCGAAACCATAAAGTTCTTGCGTCTTGTCAATTTGCTTCAACAGAAATGTTCGTATTTAACGTCCTATGGATTCCATTCAGTCAAAATGTAGAGCTGTGTAAAAGATTATCCACACCACCTGGAAAAGAAAGAAAAGATCAATTATACTCCAGTTATTTAGGAATGTGCACAATTAAGAGAAGACCTTTGAGAGGTCCAAGCTGTAAAACATGACAAAAACCTGATCAAACAATTTAATAATAATAAAAAAGAAATAAAGAAAAATAGAAAAAGAAAAAATGCAACCACAAACACTCGATGTTCGTTGAATTCAGAAAAAACAGGGTAAATCAATTGGCAATACTCGGCACACTCTTCAGACATTTCTTGAAATATTAGCATTCCCACCAGAAACAGGGCGAAAGATGTCATGAAGCCTTCTTTGGTGAGCTCCCATGTGCCTCCGTACTCTTCTTCATCAATCTGCTGAAAGCTGCTGAAGTATACGTACAGGACACCAGCATTGATGATGCAGAATCTGAAAACAAACAAGGATGGTAACTTTTCTGTCTTTCTTAAAAGCAGTCTAATGTAATGAGGCTGAGGGAAACGCATCAGATTCAGACGAGCATTACAGAGTACCTACATGGCTATTCCCAGGAATCCTTTCAGTGGTGCCACACCCCATATAACACCGAGGATAATTGCAATGATTTGTCGGATCCAGTAAATCACATCTAAAAACTCATCCTGTGAAAGGAAAGAAACAAAGAATTATACATTTGACCCTCATATGTCCTATTGCTAATATTCTGACACTTCTCACAAAGTGAATGAATTTAGCCATATGTGTGAAGGAGAAAACATGTTCATTATCCAATTGTATTCCCATCCAAGAGATACTGAAGATTTTACCAGGTGACAGTCCTAGCACGGCAACAAACAACCTTGCACAACCTGAGGGCGAGCTACATATTTAATCATTTCATAAAGTGCAACAAACTAACTTAAAATTCTTGAGTGACCATTTAATGTTCATTGTAGGGTTTGTTGTTGTTGTCTTTTGTGTCAGTCCAGTTTACGGAAACAGGAAGTAATTGATTGGGGCAGTGTTAGACAAAAGAATTAATTGAAAATAATTGGGTTTTAGACACCTGCATCATCAACAAAATGATTCAAATTTAAAGAGTAATCGGTTAACTAATACCAGCATGTTTAAAGGGTTACTACTATAAGTGACTAAGGCCAAAAGGTTAGCTAACCAATCTAGACCAAATTAATCCCCAGCATGATAAGCTAGCTTCAACTGTCATTACAAGCATAATGGAAGCCATGTGTTTTCAAAGGGCTACAGCAACAAACTAAGAGAAATAACAAGATGATATGCTCCAAAACCCAACCAAATGACTGACCTTCTCTTCCCAAACAGCATTACTGCAGAAGGCTTTGCTCCATGTGGACTGTTTTACTCCCCCATTCAGCAGATGACTTTCTTCTTTCCGCTTTGAACTGCTTGCCATTCTGTTCTTTCCTTCAACAACACGCGTTGAAAAAACTTTTAAACCTAATTCGTCGACGACGAAAACGGCAGTAAATATACTTCGTTGTCCAGAGGAATACCGTACAGAGAAATATTTGAGGGTATTAGAGGAGTCTACGCTTCGCTGAGCTGACAGATTTCAGTCGCTAACCGTAAATGGGAGTTTGCGCATGCGGGATATTGTTTGACCCTAGTTTTGATGAGCCAATCAGGGAGTGCGACGTTTCTGCACCCCCACGCTAAAAAGCCCAGCTGGCGACAGCGACGCCTGTCGGTCAAGACCTGCAACTCCATGTGATTGGCCCCTTAATTTATCTTCATCCCTAAATACATCTCAGGCCGGAAGCATTTCGACAGCAGTACCATTAAAAAGAGCAAAAGGTCATGATCAATAATCAGTGATGCAATGCTTATGAGATCATTCAAATTATATAAAAATATATATATATTTGTAGGTAAATATATGAAAAACTAAGGCCAGAGGGCACTAGAGGTCATTGTCCCAGTCTTGTTTTTGAAACATAATGAACTAATTTTGACTTGAAGGTGAGAGTATTGTACTGGTTACATTTTGGATTTAGATCTATAAAGCATTTCAATGTTGTTGTTTTTTTTAGGAAACATTTTCTATGTTCATTTTCACTGCATAACACTGATTTTCAGATATACAGTATTTATCTTTATGTGTGAACAATGTTACTGATAAAAGTCCCACGTAGATATGATCATAATAACACAAATAACGCCTAATGTATACATGGGATAAAATGTCCAAAATGATTGAGAAATAAATAAGGGTCCTTTAGAAGCATATTACATCCACAGACATACATTATGACCATTATAAAACAAAACAACCAGTTTGAGACAAAAAGCCATGAAATGCACAAATATAACTACGGTAACTGAAATCAAATGACCAACATATGCCAGAATTGGACAATAATGATAACAAAGATGAACATACACATTTAAAAGCACATACACGTATGTGTACATAAACAGTAAAATGAGGCATAGAACTTCCACAAACTGGTGTCAAGCCTCTGGGATTTATTGCATTAGATCCTAAGTGCCTCTTTTTGTGTCATTGAGATTATTGTGTTGTTCTCTCTACTGTCCAGCAGAGGGAAACAAATATAGTTTACTCTACTCTACACCATTCACATTTGGAGCCAGTTTTGCACAATAATTAATTTGGCAAATTATCACTTAGAATATGTTTCTAACAAACTTAATCCCAAACAGCTTAACAATGAAGGACAAAATTGTGGGCGACTCAGGTTTCAGATCTGATGTTGGGATGAAAATTCAGTAATTGAAACTTCTTTAAGAAACCACCTGGGCTAGATTATCTCACAAGTGGACATGAAGTTGACATTTAAAAAAAAAAAGATAATATCTTCAAAAGCTCTAGATATAAGAGACCTTTGGGTCATTTTAGTTTGAGGAAAGATGAGTGTGTGTGTCAGAGAGGGGGAGGGGGGTCCCATCACTACACATGCATCATCACTATAGCTTAATGAAATATAAAACAATAATCGGCTCAGAATAGTGCTGGATGATATATGTTGAATATCAAGTTTTAAGTTTTTGTGACCCTGCTAACAGTGGAAAGCTTTATCTGCCATCATGTTCTTGTGAAAAAAATCATATGAGAAGGGGTGGGAAATGATCACATGTGCTGCAGTTGCTGATCAGAGTTTTTCAGTGGTACACTTGTGGGACACCACAGTTTTTTTACTGTTCACAAACTTGATTGCAACCTTTTTTTTTTTCTCTTTTGCTTTGTTTTGAGAAGCATGCACATTCCTTTGCGCTTTTATACCAAAATGAACATGCATGTGCTGAATTATACTCATGCTCAGTAACTGTTCACTTTGATAACTTAAGAGTGGGGTTTGGTGGCTGTTTATGCAGTGGGACTTACTTTGTTGGCATAGTTTGAGTCTACTTGTGTTATAGAGTAAGTCCACGGTAGTTTAACCCCAAATTATTTAATGTGATTGCTTTTTACCCATCCATGGAGGAAAAAGGTGTCTGTATCCTATAAAAAAACGGTCCAACTCATAAATTGTGGCCTTCACAACAACGATATATCTACCCGAGGAAAGTCTTATAGAGATTAGAGGGCACACTGTAAAAGTATTTATAGTGAGAAACGCCAGCAGAAGTCCTCCAAATGAGAAACAAGCAGATGTCAGTCCTCTGTTCACGAACTAACTGATTCACCGTTTCATCTTTGCAGGTGTAGCCATTCGCAGAATCTGTTGTTTGAGTAGGCTGTTGAGTATTGAGAACACACTCTAGGGGAGTATTTCCCCTAGAGATGCATCACAATAAAGACGCTTGGACGAGACTGAAACGCAGCAAAGGACGCGTTCAAACTTGGGAAAGTTTAACTTTGCTCACTGAGCTTTACAATTTCAAGCAGAAGCTGAGCCAGAGCTTTCGCTTTGCATATTAGTGGGCTTCAAGCTTTTCCTGGGGTTTTCTTGGCTGTGGGTGAACTCGGGTCGAGTTCCAGGCGCTATCTCTTTAAGAGAGGTTACCTGCGAGGAAGACAGGTGTGAGCAGCTGGAACATCCTAATTTCACGGGGACCGCGAAAACCTTTTCGGGTCCGCAGAAACGCTCTGCAAGGGAGGGCCCGGACTAAAGTTCCAGGGTCAGCGTGAGGGAGGCACGTCTGCCTCACTTTTGCTCTCTCTCTCTCTCCACGCCGGAGCTGGAGCTTTTCACGCCAACTCGACCGTCAGTGACGTCTGCGTCACGTGTGCGTCTCTTCCCTCGGTACGTCCGTCGTGTTTTCCTCCCCTCCACAGCTCGCTGTAACCGAGAGAGCCACTCGAAAATAAACAAGCGCAACAACAAAACAAAAAAAGAGAGGCTCGTAGCCGGCGGCACGGCTCTGGCTCCGGGTGGTTCGTCTATCACCGGCCGGTGAACGGAGGGCTCGTCCACCTCCAACTTAAGAGTGGGGTTGTCATCAGCGGAGCCCCAAACCTCCCGTCCGCTACCGCCTGCCTCCTCTGAGCCCGTGTCAGTGCAAACTTTTTTTTTTAATACCTGCGCCGTCAACACTGAGCAGCGACCAGAAAGAAAAAGTCGAGGTGAGTGTGATTTGTTTGTGTTTTTTTTTTGTTCCCCCCTCCTCCCCTCCTCTCCTCTCCTCTCACACGCGCTTACACTCACGTTGCAGCTCTCCCAAACTTGCGCGAGCCCGCTGTGGAGGGAGCCTCACCTTTGCGGGCTTTGGCTCAGCAGCGCCGGCCAGCTGCATGTCGCCGCTTAAAATGGCGACAGCCTACGGGAGGGGGGGGGGTGGTGGTGGTGGTGGTGGTAGAGGGAGAGAGAGTTGGCTTTTTTAGGGCTGAAGGGGGGCTCGCCTTCTGCCTCCGCGGCGAATTGGTTCCACGGTGGAAAACATGAAACGCGGGGCCGGCCCGTTGAGTTGGGGCTCGCCGGGCACAACTTGAGCGGAAGATGCATCGTTTTCGGATATGGGTCCGACCCCTCGACACTAGAGCCTATTCTCTGCTATTTTACCAATCACCGCGATTTACTAAACGCTCCCAATCACTGCCACTGCCGTTACGAGCAACTTTCACATCGCATTGTGTCCCTCTGCTTTCAGTCCAGGCCCGTAAAGTGAGCAGCAAGAAAAACCCTCCCCTTTCCCCCCTGCTCCCACGCTAAGAATAAAGAAATCAGAAATCACGGACGAGAGATAATCTCACAGAGGACTAATTACTGTTTTCCATCTGTTGCCCTTTAAGAGTAGCTCAGTGTTTTACTTTGTTGCTTATGATTTATGACACACTTGAAGTGGAAGCAGCCCATTCGGTCTGGGGGCATGTTTCCTAACGGTCTCTTATGAGTGTCCAGACTGTTACCACGGTCATTTATCATGTCAGTGTGGCCAGGAGTGTTTGTCACACCAGGGATTAGAGCAAAGCCTTTCCCGGGCAGCTAATTTGTGTCTGATGTCCACGTGAGTCTCAGGTATAGACGCGGAGCTTAATCCAGCTTTTTGTCTACCACCCTGACCCCGGCAGGTAGCTCATTTTAGTTTCCACCTCTCCACCGATGACCGCAGGTAGAATCACCCGGTCAGAGACAGTCTGGCCATTTCAGGAATTGTCGCTCACAGGCTAGAATATGTTCAAACTTTTAAAATGATTATTAGTGTGAGTGTGCCGTCTCAGGCTGCATTTCACAGTGTTGCCATGGTGATGACTTGAGCTCATAGCTGTTCATCTAGTACTGACTAGTGTACCCCTCCCTCCATCAGCACCTCCCAGTCTTCTTTCCCTCAGGTTGGCCATTTTCTTTGTATAGAAGATCAAATTGGGGCTTTTGTCTTTCGCTTCATTCGTTCCTTTGGTTTTATCATTGATAGCTTTTTTAAGCAGCCTAATAATATGTGGACTTTGGTGCCCGTCCAGCTAACTTTGATAACTTTTAGCAGTGACCTGCTTCTCTCGCCTTTGTCAGCACATCCAGTGATGATTTACTTGTAGATCTCCACCAATTATGGCCATATAAAAACAGACTGCCACTGCCGGGGAGCCTTTTCAGAGCCTTTGGAGGAGAGAAATCCCCCGGCACATCCAGAGAGGGCAGGCCTGGGTCAGCAGCAGTGGGAGCCTCCTGCTCTGCTCGGATGGTGAACAGCCTGTGATGTCAGCCATTTTAGATTGGACAACACAGAGCATGGTGCTCCGCCATTTTTCTCTCCCTCCCCTCTCAGCAGCCCAGTTTTAACGCGTGCACCGGCAGTGGCCACAGCAATGCAGCCCACGCAGCCTTCCGCTCTCTGACCTGAGAAGCCCAGATGGAGAGTTAGGGATCAGTGGGAATGACACAGTCGGAACACTGTAATTGAGGTTACCTTATTGTTGCCAGAATTGAGGCGGCTGTGGACCGAAGTTTAGATGCACGCATCATCTGAATGTTTGTAGTGGTGAGGTGTGTTTGTTAGCCGGGATATAACTGAGTGAATCCTTAGAGGTGATTGACAGGGGGAGCTTAGCCAGAGCTGTGCCTGTTTAAGGTGGGAGGTAGTAACGCACAAGACTTTATTTATTTATTTATTAATTGTATTTTGTGGAGGGATACAGGAGGGGTGTGCGCGGGCACTCTGAGGGGCTGTAAAGGTGCGGACCAAAAACTGGCTTTCAGAAGTTGTTTTCCAGGCCTTCCCTGAAAGAGATGATGGCTGCCAGCTCTCTGGGCCTGTTTACGTCTCCATACCCGTGTTTCCTCCATGGAGCACAGAAGCCTTGTGTGAATGTGAGGGGCCACAGAGTGTGCAGGGAGCACGGCGGCATGTCAGATGTCTGGTCATAGACTTAACAGGAAAGGATGCCATCAACTCTGCCCAGCAGCACGCCTTGGAGACTGCGACCACACCTAGCAGAGAGACATGAACACTGCATGCGGGAGGCACTGAAATAGGAGCAGGGCTGGGACTCTCCAAATACCACTCACAGGGGCGTGTGGAACAAACAAGCCCAGTTCGGGCCAAGGACTGGATGGCATAAGAGATGTGTGTGTGTGTGTGTTTACTCACATGCGTACGCTTTAGTGAAGTGTGCTGGTGATAGAGGGATTGCATTGGAGGGGGTGGGGGTGGGGGGGGTTGCCATGGGGACAGTAACACACCAGTGGCGCTGCCGACCTGTCTCCCTGGGCCAAACTTGTTCGGAGAGAGAGGAGAAGAGCGAACAGTGGGAGGAAGGGAGGGGAAGGAGAGTGCCGAGACGTCCGAAAGGGAGGGGGAGTGGAGACGGAGAGGGGGATGGAGGGGGTGGTGGGAGGGGAAGAGAAGTGTGGAAGCAAAAATGGAGCAACAAGAAAAGGCCCGGCTGCGTCGTACATCTATACTCTGTCCCACTAAGAGACCGTGTGGTTCACGAGGGCAACAGCAGCACACCTGTGCATTCAGTTAAAAGAGAAGTCGCAAGCGCTCTCCTCTGTGCCCGAGTGCTGGGATTGTTCTGCACCCAGGCCTGGGCGAGAGTCAGGCCAGAGCATGAGAGGGGGCTACGCCGTGGTGATGAAGCACAGACTTTAAAGAGCCCAGTGGCCGCGTCTTTGTGGACATCTGTGGCACTCAGGGGCCCAATGAAAAAATGGCAGCCTCTACCTTAGTAAACAAGCTTCACATGTCTGAGGCAAACGCCCACCCCCGCACGCCACATGCACAGCACAGACCAGTCTGCCCACCACCCAACCCACCTCCCTTCTCTTTAGTTTCAGTCTCACAGGAAACCCACACATGCAAATGCTGAAACCCTTTCAGACTCAAACCCGGCACGGCTACGTGGTCAGTCGCCACACACACAGCGGTTCTCATTAAAGCTTTCAGCCCGTGCTCTCATGCAAAGCCAGTCAACGAAACTGGTCTGGGCCGGGCATTGCTGAGGTGTGAGCTGCGCATTTCCTCTCGCTGCTAAGGGCTCCGCTGGCAGCCCACCTGAGTGAGGCCTCTTGGCCCCTGCTGGTTGCTGTTGATGAGCTGCGGCTTCGTTCAGATGCTGAGTTCACACCACTGTGGCTTTAGAATTTTTTTTCCTCTTTCACATATGAGTTGTCACTGAAACTGTTGCGGTCCTAACGGGTCTGAGATGCGTTTGAATATGATTTTCTCTATCTCTTACAGTATGTGTGCCCACTGTAGCTGTAGTGTGTTTGTGCGTGTGCAGAGACTCTGAGGCTGAACTTCAGGTTCCGTCCACTGGCAGAACATTCCAGACTTTGCGGCGCAGTGAGGAGGGAGTGAGGCACTGTGTGTGATTGCAGTTTCTAGCAAGAAAGGGGCTCAGAAGCGTGGGGGTAGGTAGGTTGCTGGGGGGGGGGGTATCAGGGAGGAAAATTCCTCACAGAAACACCTCAGTGCTTCCTCCACGATAGTTAACACCCCTCCTCACCCTGAACAGCCTGCCCATCCCCCACCATCATCTCCCATTCGTTCTCCCTCTCCTCCTGCCTGCCACCCACACCCAGCAGAACCACGTGATGGATGGCTGCGACTGCCCACCCATAAGCCTTTGTGTTGGTCATGTGACCAAACTGCCTTGGCAGCACGGTGCCCCCTGATGCAGAACTGAATGGCAGGGGAGTAGGAGGGGCGCACAGCGGCCCAAGCCAAGGGCAGCCACACTGTCGGGGGTGGGGGGGGGGGGGGGGGGGGGGGGGGGGGGGAAGAGGGGCATCACGTTCCCTCACAGCAGCAACCCTCAATTGCTTGTTAACCCTTAACACTCGGATCCACAGAAAAAGAGAATCCAGGGATTTTTTTCTGTCCCAGATTTAATTGGGTGTCTCATTATTGTCAGCCAGATAGAGAGAAGATTAGATTTATTTAGTCTTTCTCAATCTGGGACCAAGGTTGCTTTGGGCCTCCGACAGCAGCACAGTGAACTCTTTTTACCTTCTGTCCCTGCCTGGTCCTGTGGGGGTTAACTGGCTCTGAGCTAATGTACCATGACCTTTGTGTGGCAAACCAAGGATTTACGTGTCCACTCGTAGGTATAAGAGAAACACCACAGTTGTCATTGAATCCATTCTGTTTGTTAGGAGAAAAGTAGATTTACTGAGCGTACACTCCTTGGTTTTGGTGACAGCAATGGTCTTTTGCACAAGTGTTTTCTCACTCTGAAATGAGTTCTGAGCAACTTTGATTTATGGCAGGAGCTGCTCCGTTTTCAGCAAAAGAGCAGTACAAACCGACATGGTTTAGGCTGTCCACTCCAGAGGTGGATTTTGTGTTTCGTTTGTAAGTAAATGAATAGGGATGAGCTGAACATGTTGAGATTTTTGGATTTTTCCTGTTGCAATCTCTCAGCTGTGGAACCTCAGTGAGCCTCGACTGCTCTATGCATGAGGTGTCATGTCGGGGCAGAGTAGACTGGTAGAGTAATTGCCCTGGAGCTCTTCTTCCATGCTGCATCACTGCCCTGAGTTTGGGGGAAAGGTGGAAGAAGCAAAGCCCTCCACAGGAAGCTTCGCCATTTTGTTGAAGACAGGGCGTCTGGAGCGGTAGTGAGCGTTTTAAGACGTGCATCCTTATGCAGGTAGGTTTGTATCAGTACCGCCTGTTCCTCTGCTGGGCGAGAACACATCCTTCTAAAGAACATCTGTCAACCCACCCACTGGCCCAATTGTCAAGTACACTCTATCTTAAGCAGCACATTCACAAGTAGGTATTTCTGTTGCAGCATTTATAAAGGTGTTTAGGGTGTCTACAGAGGCTGTGGATTAGAAAATACAGTGTGCTGTGGGGGTGTGTCTGAGAGAGGGGAAGTGAGACAGAGTCGTGTGGGGGAGGGGAAAGAAGGGGGTAGGACAAGAGCTCTCCCAAAAAGCCAGTAGTCAAGAAGCAGATTGAGCTTGTTTGAAAGCTCTCATAAGAGAGATAGTCTTGAGTCTGGTGAGGCAGCGAAGTAAAGGAGAGGACCCAAGTTTTTTTTCTTTTTGGATTTTGAATATTCACGAGCTGGCGGGATTTTTTTTTTTTAGGGCTTTTCCACAAGGTGTATATATTACCTGTAGAGTTTGAAATGTTCTTTACCTGGAGTATCTCCCTTTCCCCTCCTCTTGTTATTCTGCCGCAGCTGGGATGAAAGTGGCTTTTGTTTTCTCTTTTCTTCTGTATGCAGTTCACCCATCTTCTCCTTTTGTCATTTAAAGAATTACAGCCATCAAAGCCACTCAGTTATTTACTGCTGTATCGCTCTGGATGGCGAATGACAACATTTTCTTCTGTCTCATTTCTAGGGTTTCCTTTTGAACAGCAGTGACCCACCTGGACCCATGGACAAGCTCGGTCACCCTCCTTCCTCCATGCGTGGTCTATAGTAAACGGGAATCCCGTCTTTTCTCCCACACCCTGCTCTCAGCCATTTGACCAGACCCCCATCCCCCCCCCCCTCCCCTCCCTAATCACACCATGGCGAGCAAGAGGAAGTCCTCTACGCCTTGTATGATCCCCAGTAAGGTTATACGCCCCGTGGAGGAGCTGGAGCGGGACTCCTCTGTTCTTCTCCGTCTGTCCAAGACTTCTGGAGGGAACAGACACAGCCCTCCAGAACCTGGCGAGTCTTCCAAACTCGAGGCGGGGGATGCCGATATGGACGGTGCCGGCACTTACACATGTAAGCCTTGTAATTTCGAAACCCACGACCTTAACTTGTTCTTGGATCATGTTTACACCAGGCATCCCGACTTCCGTGCAGACCCCAGCTTTGTTTGCATGAGCTGTGGCGTCTCAGCACCCAAGTTTGAGGGGCTGGCCCTCCACAACGCCAGAGTCCACCCCAGCACACTGAACACCACTCTCAAGCTGAGAAAGAGGGACAGGAGGGTGGTTGTAGAGCAGAATGTAGTCATTCGGGGAGAAACTGGCAAGGACAGCGAGATTTCCATCACCAAAACCCCGATCATGAAGATGTTAAAGGGCAAATCGGAGCCCAAACGGATCATAGTGTCTCATGCGGCCTCCGATGAGCCGTCCTTGGATCCACATTCTACCTCTGCACCAAGAGAGACTGAACGAAGCGAGGCTCCTTCAGTGACTGTCACACACGTCTCTACGATCGTCCACAATGGAACGAGTAAGGTCACACTGCCCTCAGCTATCCAGATAGTCAACGGCTCTGTAGCATTACCGATGTTAAAGACACCCATCACACAGGTACCTGTGGTTTTAGCACAGCGCATTTTAAGCCTTAACCTTACACTTCAGACCCTCTTTAACACACCTTCTATACCTGTTTTAAAACCCCTTTAGGTGGTTTCTGTAGCTCAAAACAGAAGCCTTCACCAATCAGCGCCAATTACAGCCGCTTCAAGTTTTTCCTCAGCTTCCTCACCTTCATCCTCAAAAAACCTCCCAAAGGTACTTGTTTCTTCTGTGTCCTTGTTTTATTCTGGACCATAATTTGATGACAATCTGTAACATCCTGCAATAATTTTCACCCCTTATTCTATAGGTAATGATTCCTTTGAGCAGCATCCCCACCTACAGTGCCTCCATGGACGAGTCCTCCTTCCTTAAGACCTCCTTCAGTAAGTTTCCGTACCCCACAAAGGCTGAGCTCTGCTACCTGACTGTGGTCACCAAGTTTCCGGAGGAGCAGATCAAGATCTGGTTCACAGCTCAGAGACTGAAACAAGGCATTAGCTGGTCTCCCGAGGAGATAGAGGAGGCCAGGAGGAAGATGTTTAACACCATCATTCAGACAGCACCCGCCAGCTCACAGAACCGGACCCAGAGCCACCAAAGCCCTGCTCAGCACACAATCACTGTCCTGCCTGCCTCACTGGGGGCCTCGGGGATCCCTCAGTTTCTTCAGGGATCTCTTGTCAGCCAGTCAGGGGTAATTGTCACGCAGCCTGTGGTAGCGAACGGCATCCAGGTGAGCAGTGCTCCCGTGGCCCTGGCCGTCACGCCCAAGCCCCAGGCCGCGGCCCGGCCCATGATGCAGGCCCGGCCGGCCGCCGCCCTGGTGGCGGACAAGGGCATCAGCATGGTGGTGGGCACGGTGGGCAGCAGCAGCGCAGGAAGCATCAGTATCAGCAAGGGCGATAGCTGCAAAAGTGGGGGAGGGGGCACTAGTAGTCCGAGCAGCAGCCAGGCTGGTGCCATCAATCTCAGTCTGGGAGGCAGCAATCCCAGTAGTGCTAAGGCAGGCGGCGCCGGGGCCAAACACAGCAGCGCTAGTGCAGACTGCAGTGGCAACAGCAGCAGTAGGGTTAGCAGCCATGTCAGTGCTAAAAGCCCTGATGTGGACAAAGCTGACGACGCCGGCACCGAGCAGAGTGACGGCAAGACAACCACGGAAGGCAAAGCCGTTCCCAGCAACATCAGAGCAGGCAGCGATGAGCAGAGCAGTAAGGACTCTAACGGTAGCAGCAACAAACACAACGCCAGCACAGACGAGGCGGATCACTCTCCAAGAGACTCTCCCACGCTCAAAATGGAGGAGGCCTCCTCCCCAGCCTCCAAATCTTCTTCTCCCTCTCCTGCAGCTCCTCCGGGCAGCGTGCTGGGCTCTCGGACCCCCATCAATGCTTTCCTGGACCCTAGTTTTTACAAGGGCAAGAAGTCCCAGGAGCAGCTCAACGCCCTAAAAGACAGTTTTCAGGTGAGCCAGTTTCCCGACCAGGAGGAGGTGGACCGGCTCATAGCTCTGACGGGCCTCACCGTGCGAGAGGTCCGCAAGTGGTTCAGCGACCGGCGCTACCACTTCCGCAACCAGAAAGGCGCGCGCTCCGGCGCCGGAGGGCAGGCCAAGGCCGGCGCCGGGTCAGGAGCGGGGAGCAGCTCCAGTGCACCCGCGAGCGCCGCCGCCGCCGCCGGGAGCTCCTCCCCCGTCGACCTGTCGGAGGGGCGCGGCAACTCTGGTGCAAAAGCGGGCCAGCACAGCTCCCCCAGCGCCCCCCTGAGCCCCGCCGCATCACAGACTCCCACCTCCCCCACCACGCCCTCACGCCGATTTCCCAGACCGCCATCGCCAGACTTCACGGCCATCCGCTACAAGGAGCGAGAGCCTCACCAGGTGAGACAGCAGCTGCGTCGGGGCTTTCAAATAGTCACCAGCCACAACGTAATAAGGAAGATGAGGTCTCCGTAGTTGTGCCGCATGCATTTTAGTTTCTGTTAAGCATTTGGGTACAGTCACTTGGTGGATAACCTTTAGTTTGGACAGAAAGAAGCATCCCCTCTCAGTCTGATGTTTGTCCCTGCTGGTTATTAACTTTTCTCTGTTGCATACACAGGTTAAGGCACTTGAGGCCAGCTTTTCCCAAAGCACTGACCCATCAGGAGAGGAAGTGGACAGGCTGCGATCTGAGACTAAGATGACCCGGAGGGAGATTCATGGATGGTTTGCTGAGAGGAGGAAGAAAGTCGCATTCGACAAAAAGAGAGAGGAGGCAGAGCATGTGCTGAGGGATGATGAGGAGGAGATGGATGGAGATGGAGAACAGAGGCAGAGAGATGACGGTTCAGGAGAGCCAAAAGTCAACCCCATTAAGATCAATCTGAAGATGCTGAAGGTGACGGAGGCCAGCGGCAAACCGGAGGGCGAGGGCCTGGATAATCTCACTGTTCCGCCGCAGCCAAGCGCTGCGTTTGCTTCCTCCATGGGCCCCAGCCCGGCCTCCTCCTCCAAGCCACCCCAGTCCTCTACTCCAACACCAAAAACGTCCTCCCATTCTCCCAAAACCACCACCGTCCGAGGCAAAAAGACGGCGGAGCAGCTGCACCTGCTCAAACAGGTCTACGCTCGCACCCAGTGGCCCAGCGCCGCGCAGTACGACAAACTGATCTCAGACACGGGGCTGCCCAGGCCCGAGGTGGTGCGCTGGTTCGGGGACTGCCGCTACGTGCAGAAGAACGGGCAGCTGAAGTGGCTGGAGGAGTACCAGAACCTGGCGCTGGAGGAGGACCTGCAGCCGGACAACAAAGAGGTCCTACAGGCCCACCTCGAGCTCCACAGCCGGCTGGAGGAGAGCCAGGTACTGATGGGAACTACTGGTGGGGCCTCATTCTGACAGTTAGCTGACTTGGAGGCTTTCAGAGAGTTGAGGTTCATTCTCATTCATTAGAGTTGTTTTTGCTTCGTTTTTTAAAAAGTCCCTCCATCCATCCATTTTCCACCTCTTATCTGGGGTCGGGTCGCGGGGGCAGCAGCACAAGCAGGCTGCTTTACTTTTTAAAAAGTCAAACCTTTCAAATTAAATTGAAACAGCTCTCAGTGTTTATCCGCACTGATACAATTGTCATTTTCAAGAGACACCACTAGGCTTCATCAATCATTTCATCATTGATTTTAAAGGGGACTGCATTATAAAAATACAACTGGACGCTCTGCAGGTGTTTGTGAAACTATTTGTGTCACCGGCAGCATTTCATCGTCAGAACTCAGGCTTTTGTTTAGCGTCTTTATTCTCTGTGATATTCAAAGACCTACTGCACTTCAACTGTTTGTGAGGGAAAATATCTATTTGGGATTTTCACGAGCTTGAAAGCTCAAACTGTGCAACAATGATAACTGCTTAAGCTAGATTGTAGCTTTTTTCTCTCTGGGTCAGTGTGCAGTACCCCTCCTGTTGAGAGGAAATAAAGCGACTCCATATTGGGAGAGTAAAGTGTCACTGTGAAGAGGGAATTTAAAGCAGATGCATGTCATAGATAATTAAAGAGAAATACTTTCCACTATTTCTGTCATCATTTCTCTTAGTAGTGGTGTATTGGTGAAGTTTATATTGAAGTCCAGAGGATATTGCATGGGGATTTAGAGCAGTACTATGCAATATGGTTGTCAGCCTGGAAACATTACATGGATTTATTTTTAGCCTTATATCCAAAGGCAAATGTGCACTCACAGGGTGACTGACACATTTTGAAGTGTTTAAATGGTGAGAATTGGCACCAAAACTGAATGTGCTTTTTAAAAATGTTATTTAATTCAGAATTAACCACTAGACTCATCTTTCCTCTCAAAATGTTTTTTCCCGCAGCTGCAGGAACTGTCTGAGACGAGCGGCTTGACGACAGACTTGGTGCGACACTGGTTTGCTAGCAGGGCGACTCAGCCCGAGCGCAAACGGACCGCTGCTCCCACCACAGCAGCCGGACCAGCCGCTCCAGCAGTGGCGGCCGTGCCGCCGCCGCCGCCCACAGGGTCCTCCCCCCTGGAGCCGCAACCGGGGGGCGGGACGGAGGAGAAAATGGAGCAGTCAGTGTGTGGTGTTGCAACACAGGCCGAGCAGGCCAACGCTGACAAAACAGTGGACACTGCTAAAGGTGATTTTCCCGTCCGGAGAAATAGTTTTTCCACCATTTGCACTGTCCTCTGGGTTTAGGACTGATATTGCAACTTTTTGTGAAGAGTAGGAACTCCTTCTGAAGTAATCTATACCATCTGAAAACTACATTCAGTAGGTAATTCCAACACTCCTTTTTGTGGGGGCAATGGTTCAAAACTTAAAGATATTCCAACTACAACTAACGCAAGAAAAAAGTAGCTAGTAAGACGGTGACGGTGTTTGGCTGAAAGGTTTGGTGTTAAAGTGAACGGAGCTGAAGTGACATCATTGTTTCTGGACCCTGCAGCCATGTCATTATGAGTAATGAGGCATGCTGTGACACATTAGATTCAGACTAATGCCTTTCTCACACCCCTACACTGTGTAATGACAATGTAAGATCTGCCAATGTTGTTTGATGTTCTCTTTTTTTGTTTTCTCCTCTGTTCTTACAGGAACTGATTGAAGAGACTGGCTTTGGGACGGGAGTTGGCGAACTTAGATCTGCAGGCCTGACTCAAACCTGGCAGATGTGTTTTGTAACAAGATCGCTGGATGAAAAATCATCCCCATCAATCCCTCTCTCTCTCTCACTCCCAACCCCTCGAGGTAGGCATGACCTCCCCCGCCACGTGAGCAGGACACTAAAGCCACTTACTCCCCCCACCCACGCCGCTGCCTCCTTCTGCCGTTTGGTGAGGCCCTGTGCTACACCCAGCACCCCCCCCCTCCCCCCTCGTTTTCCTCCCATCAGTCTCCAGGAAGAAGTTTCCGACACAGGCCGAGGTGCAGGCGGAGTAATGCCGCCACTTTTGTTCTACCTGCCTTTAGTGACTGAGAGGAGACAAAAAGACGGCGGGAGTGGGATCAGTACTGGGGGTGGAGGTGGGGGTTGGGACCTTTCTCATATGTATCTCACTACTTGTTTTGGGATACAGAAAATGCACAAGTCTTTGATAGGGTGTTTGCTGAGGCCTTAGCTGACTTTTGTTTCTCAGCTGTTTTGTCTTCATGCTCTTGCTTTTCATATTGGCAGACTTTGAATGTGGAAGCTCTACTGTTCTCAGCACAGATAGATTGGACATGAAATTCTCAATATGTGAAGACTTTTGGAATTATGTTACCCAAAGAGGGCAAGCACCCTGTGGCGTCTAATGCAAAAAAAACAAAAAAAAAACAGAATAAAGCTGCACAGCGTTGTAGACTGTATGGATTATGGTATGTTGTAGCATCAAGTGCTTCTTGAAGTCACCGACCTGTACGTAATTTTTCTTTCTTCTTAATGGAACTTTCTTATTGAATAAATCCGTCTGTAAAAAAAAAAAAAAACTGTGAACTTCAAACCAGAGTTCCATACTTCAGCTTGATGTACAATTTTTACAGATGTATTTACAGAATAAACAGAACGTACTAAATTTGTGGCTGAGTCATTGGTCCAAACTGGATGGCCCATTAACCAATGGGTGTCTGGTGTGCATAGGCCTGAGATTTTAGTTTTCTAAAACTGAGAAGTTACTATTTGATTTTACAAATCTTAATATGAAGCGAGCATTCTTCAGAGGCCGGGCAGAGGGCTTCAGTTAGGCCATACCTCTTTAATTCTAAACTCGTCAGCTAGCTGTTCACACATCTTAGACTGAAACTAAAGCACACATTTCCTGTGGTACAGCATCTAAAGTGGAGAGAGGAAGAAAAAAAACTGACGCACACTCGCATACACACCTCACAGAAGTGCACTGACAAATTAAGAAAGAAAGCAAAGTTGTATAAAGCAGTGAGTATTTATTTACTTTTCAGGCTTGAATATGTTTCATATGAAAGGCAAAATTAAAATGTATACTTCTCTCCATTGTTTAGGCACGTTACAGGAAGGCAAATGTAAATGAGAATGTTAATAGCGAGAGAGAAGAAAAGAAAAAAAAAGCAACGACAATTATGGTAAAAAGCCCTGTGCGACCAAACGGGTCTTATTAGTTATTCTGGTTGATTTGACCTCATTACGCCCTGGTGGGAGCATCCCACCCCCCCGTGTGACGCTACAAAAACGTGATTGGTAGAGTGGGGGACGTGTCGGTCCGACGTGGTCTGCACATGCTCACACAGTGCTTAGAGGCAGTCACAGTAAGCCAGAACACCTGTGAGGGTTCGCCGTGGCAGTGCAGGTGGAGGATGTGGCCGTAATGTGACGTGTAAGCAGATGGAGGCACATGGAGATCTGTAGACAGACTCACATCCTGAGCAAAGCCGCTCTGGAGTGGGAGCTTTCTACAAAGACGATTCACCAACCTCTGGAGCTGGAACGAGCTTTGGGTGAAAAACGAAACGCTAAAGAGATCTCAAGTACTGACTCTTGCCCCCGTTTGTACTTTCGATCTCATTTTATGGCTTAACTGTCCCAGTGGTCAGACGGAGAGAACACTGAGCATACGTCACACAGTCGGGACATACAAGCTGGGAAAACGCCGTTTCCGATTCATACTGGTTAACATAACACTGAGGGTCCAAGGCAAGCTCCACCAGTGTTCATGCGGACCACATCTATCTGGACTCAGTGGTGCAGATACCGAGCTGTAGACCCGGCCTAGTCCTCCTCAATCGCACAACAAACCTCCCAACAAGTCCTAAATTTCAATTAATATCTGATTAATTCATGGGCTGCGGCAACACGGCGAGAAATTCTGGCCATCCAACTTAAATTTCTATCAGGTGGCAAAACTCCTGAAAAGATGACAGCAGCATAACAGAGATGAGGTCCCATGATCGCTTAGCTAGACCGGTGCCGAACAGCTTTTCAAATTATTGACGAACCCATTAAAACCTCAGAGTAAACACAAAATCAACACATTTGCTGGAATTAAAATGTTCTTCTAAAGTACAATTAAAAGGGTCAGGTTTGTTTTCTTTTACCAACCGTCTGCCTTCATCACAAGAAGAGTAACACGTATGACGACTGTAAAAAAAAAAGACCCCCGATAGTTCGGTGAATAACATCCAGTTTAAAAAACAATGCTTCAAAAATCCTCCAAACACTGGGCTGCATAGTTAATAACAATTATGTTACACTCTCTACCGCCATTCTTTTCTATTATTACACTATTTATAGCATAGTGACAACAAACGTTTCTGAATTAATTGCAGATAGATTTCCTCTATTCATGTACCTCAAACCACTGAGACTGTGGTTTTAATGCAACCCTGAGCCCTGTGTGAACCTTCTCTTCTGCAAACAGACACCAAAGAAAGCAGTAATCGATGGCAGAACAGTTATCCCTGGTCACGCATCGTCATAAGGTGTCGGGTCACTGACTGATGCTCCTCGCTCACACCGGCTGTGAATGCAGTGGAATGATGTGCAGTTTGTTGTTTTGGAATGCAAGTTAGAAATAAAAAGTGTGTGCATGTGCATTTGTGGCTTGGTCTCTCACTGTGTCCGTCCCAATCAGGCTATGACTTCCTCCTGATGCATAAGACAAAAAAACAAAAACAAAACAACGTCGCTCTGGATTTAAGGTACGAGTTAAACTGGAGGCACATAGAGTCCTCCTCCAAGCAGAGAAGAGAGACGATAAGAATAGCAGAGAGCCCTCAAGTTTACGCAAACATTAAAAAAAAAGTCTCATTATGAATGTTCAAAGGTTTAAATAATTACAATAATTAACAAGATGGAGACAGGAGCTCTTTGAGAGCAGATCGGCTGCTGCTGTTCTCTGGCCCACAGCACAGCAGGAATAAATATATAGACTCTTATTTGCCAAACAGAGAGGAGCAAAGAAACCAAAGTGGAAACAGTTTCAAACTGCTGCCCTGTCTTTCCTCCTCTCAGCCTCCAAACTAAGCAGCCGTTGTGCAAATCGAGAACACAAAGATTACAATCTGCCGCACAAAACGCACTGTCCGGCGCTGGGACTTCAATCAGCCTTTGCTTTTTGTTCTGCTATGAATGTCGCTTCTTCGTCCTGTCCGCAGACATGCGCTTCCTCTGAGCGGATCCCGCCCCTCCAGTGTCCGAGCCGCTCCTTCTCACCAGGCGGGCAGGAAAGGGGCGGGGGGGGGGGTTGAAGAATGGAGGGAGGGAGAGCTGCCTGAAATGTAGGCCAAAGCGATGGTGAGTGTTTCCATGGAAACTGGTCACAGCAGTGAGTGACATCATCAGTACTGGGAGGGGGAAGGATTTTGTGGGGGGGGGGGGGGGACATGAGTCCTGATTGGCTTGGACTTAGACACGGTTCTCTCCGCTCACACTGGTCCTCTGCATTATCCTGAGGTGAAGACAAAGACACAAGGATGTCTGGAATCTTCTGCGTCCTCCAAACCCACGGCGTGGGCCCGTGCAGCCCCTGAAAGCACCACTCACTTACTTTCGGTAAGTAAGTGAGTGGGACACCCTGAAGTCCTCTATAGGAGACTGATAGCGGGACTCAAAGGAGCCCTCCCTCCCGCGGTAGCCCATGGCCTGAGCTGGCGACTGCGGCAAAGGAGACATGCTGGAGGAGGTCGATGACACCGAGCCCAGTTCCCCAAAGCGCTCCCGCGTGACTTGCGCCGATGACGACGGCGACGACGTGCCCCCGACCGCGAGGAACGGGCTCAGAACCTCCCCGTTCTCATCCTGAAAGAACCAGCACAAAACCAGATGAGAATGTCCTGTTGTCGACAGCATGTGTGAACAGACGACTCCAACAATCATTGTGAAAACACACAAAAATGGCAGAGTAAACTCAGCAAAGGAACAGGGGGGGCAGCATTTTCTAAGACTTAACTTTGGTCAAATTTGATGCCACGTGTGTGCGTTCTTGTACAAAAATCTGACAGAGTAAAATTCTAGGCCATGGCTGTGAGGATGGAGACTTCATCTAAACTACTAGAGGTGTTCGGTGGATGTGTGCATGTGCCTCAGTCACCACAGGAACTGATGACTGTACAGCAGGACACCAGGCTGCTTTGTGGCTCCTCTACAAGCTTGTTAGCTGTTCAGTAATCACTGAGCTACTTTAGAACAAGGTCAGAACACAGTAGCTCACCCTGCCTCGGACAATATCCATGTGCACTAACAAGGACGCCAACTCTAGATCCTCATTGTAGCTGTTCTTCAGGGGTACAGACCGGTAACCTGGTGCAATGCAAAAGAAAGAGGGAAAATGAAATAGAATGCTTTTTAGCTCTCTTTTAAAGAGGTTGAAAAGTAACAGCATTTGTATAAGAAAGAAAATTGAAACACCTACCGGTCTTGAGGCCCTGAATGGGAAAGGTGGCTTGTGCCAAGAAGTTTTGGTCATTGAACATGTCGATCTCATAAACCACAAAACGCAGGAAGGCAAAAGCTGAATTGCAAACTGTGAACTTATAACACTTTTTCGACCATGTGGGGTTCAGACCGTTGTCAGCTGGAGTAGACAAAAACAAAACATAAAAGGGTGTATTAGGACAGGAGACTTTTCTGAAGATCAACAATAATTTTATCTGAAACTTTAAGAATAAACGTCACAAAACTGTAAATCCAAAACCTGTCTTTAAATATGAAACCTGTCTGTAAGGATGGAAACGGATTTATTTGGTTTCCGCTCTTATCCTGTGATGAGACACCAAAAGAGACAATAAATAATGAAAAATAAATAATGAAAAAAGAGGGTTCACATCAGAACCAGAAGCAAATCCTGAGACTATCTGATGCATACAATCGCCCATTAAATGTGCTCACATCAAACCAATAATGAATTAAAGACTCTTCACAAAAATCTGATTTTGATGTTATATTAAATTGGCACAGCAGCATAAGTAGAGGCTGCCAATGGTACAGTAGAATGCAGGCTAATTGTAAAAAGATACAACTCAAAAGGTAAGGATAAGGACATCAGGCTTCAAAGCCATTTAAAGGTCCTGTTATTGGCTACAATAGCTGGTCATCAGTTCTCTTTTCCTGATTTAAAAAAACTCTGGAATTATTTACCTTTAAATGAGAACCTAAATGAGAACTATAGCTCAAACTGAGGACTTTTCTGAAAAAAAAAAACACCTCCTCTGATTTCAAGCTTTAATTATGTCCCTGCCATGATGTTTTTCCATTGCATTACCAGATGCAGCTTTGTTGTTTGTTCAACTTCATGTTTTTCTAGGACCTTAAAGGAAATGACAACAGTGTAATGGATCCACTGAAAGTCTGCTCATTTCTGCCTTTTTTGGGTGTTTTTTTTACCAGTTAAAACTGAAGCAGCACTCACCTGCTGAGTCTGTTTTTTGCTTGGAACTGTCATACTCGGCTCCGCACACCTCAATCTCGATGAGAGGGGAAACAATGCCTCGCCCGTGCTTGGGAAGGTGCCGGGCGCCCAAGACCTTCAGGAGGGACGACAAAGAATCAGAGGATGTTTAAGTCATTCAATCAAAGAAACAAAATCGCTCTTATGAAGACAACATTCCTTATGCTGTGGGTTACAAGTCAGTCAGGATTTGAGAGTTTGAGATTCCTCTGTGCTCCCTACAGGTCTGTTTCTACAGGTTCTACAGGATTTCCTGGCTGTCTGAACCCCTCTATATCAAACCCACGTGCATCCCACCCTCTGTACCTCTATCTCGAGGGTGACTTGTTCAATGCCTCGTAGTGTATGTCGGTCAAAGGGATCAAAGTTGTCATCCCTCATGATGGGGGGCTGAAGGACGTAGCCACTTCTTCCATTCAGCATGAACAGAGCCTGGTTCATCTGCATGGGCTTGTCTGTGTGTGAAAGTGGAAAGATCAGGGGAGTGAATAAATGTAATAAATGCAAAGTTCTCCTGCCTGTGTGGTTGGTATCTGCTCTGGAAAGGAGTCACACACCTGCCGTCTGGAAGTTGAGTGCGACCAGCTGGGACCCACACAGCCACATGGGCAGCGGGTCGTAGTTGGAGGAGTCCAGTCGCTGGCTCCTGGGGTAGATCCTGGAGAGCTGCAGTCGGTTGTACTGCAGAAACTTCTTGCCCTTTATCTTGTTGACGTACTTTTCTGCTTTGGTCTCGGGGAAGGATGACATGTCACGGAAGCATGCCCGATCCGTGCCAATCTCTGTGGAGTATGAAAGCAAAGATTGAAGCCGGCCTTTGGTCATGGCCTTTGAGAAGGAGTTCAAATTTGTGTTACACCAATGGGAGCAAATGTTTCAATATCAGAAGTCCCGTGAGTGTGTACTGATCCTTACTTTCTTCGTCAAATGGCACAGGCCTACAGTAGATGACCAGGTCTGACAATTCCAGTGCAATCTTCTTCCTCCTTTCCATCATCTTTCCCTCTTCAAGCTGGCCACAGAAACAAGTAAACATAAATATGGCCCCACCAACAGCAACGCACATTACCTCACACACTGAAGCCAGACGGCCCAACAAAAGCTGCTCTCATTTACAAAACGGCACCAGACAGCTTACAGTTTGACTCAAAATAAGCAGAACATTAACGGCATACATTATGCTTTTATGAGTATTTACTTTGGCTTCTGAGGTCATGGTGACTTCACGGATCTTGTTGTACCATTCCTTGAGTTCCTCTTGGCTGGTGGCAGCCACGTCTAGTACAGGGCCTGTGCGTATGCTTGGCAACAGCGTGAAGACGAATTGTCTGCTGCCCTTCCCATCAGCACGCACAACTGAAAGACGACAAAGACGTAGAGTCCTGTTTTTTAACTTGCAGGGGCATTCTTTTGTTTTAGAGAGAAAAATGTGTGAAATACATAGAACAACAACTTGACTAAAGGTAGTTTAAAAATATTTAAGGCAAAGAAAGTGTAGGGCTCCTTAAAAGTTCAGCGGCAACGCTTTCTGCCACTAGATGGAGCCAGCAAACTACACAAAGAAACAAAAAGAGTCGACATAATCTCCGGTGAAAAAGCTTTGTTAGTGAAAGGTCAAAGTTTACTGACGTGAGAAATCTAAAAGTAGCAAAGAAGTATGTACTAAAAAAGGCTGATGATGGACCAAACAACAGAAAATTAAGTGATGGAAGATATGTAGAGGCATTTGCCGAGCCCTTGGATGTCTGGTAAGGTGACCTGTGGAAAAAAGGAAAGGAAGGAACAACTCACCAATCTGACAGGAAGACAAGTCCACGCTTCCTCTGAGCAAATCTCCCAGAGGGCTGCTTTCTGTCATCTCCTGCTTAACCAAAAAAAAGAGAGATTATTCAAGATGTTTTTTAAAGGAATTTAAATCCATATTTCCTACATCCACACACTGAGTGATGAGGCCACACCTCCCCGCGACAGTAGATGGGATATTCTTTTCGATTGAAAAAAAAAATCATTTATTAGGCACAGCCCTCTCTAATTGTGTCTGTCTGATCCTCACAGTTCTGTCAGGCTCTATTGCTGATGGACTGATCTCCTCCACAAAGTTAGCGGGAAACCACATCTGCTTCTTGCCTCCACAGTCACCTTTCCACCTGTGTCAAGGAGGCAGGAGAAGACATTCAGTTTTGTAAAAACACCACTCGAATTGCAGCTCTGAAATCGTTCAGGTCTTTATATCAAAAAGTTGCCATGCCGGTGCCATGCCGGTGCCATTCACTCTTTTCGTTCAACGACCAAACAGTCAGACTACAAGGATTACTGACAAGTCAAGTCCTGTGCACTCACCATCCTCCTTCCTGTTTGTCTACATTAGAGATAGTGGCATTCTTGGAGAAGGAGAGCTCATCATCTCTCTGGGCTTTGTACTCATACATTGCTCTCACAGTACACTGAAAAGACAACATAAAAGTTCAGTGTCACCGGTGAAGACTTCCACTCCATAGAAACCTATGTGCTGCACACTCACCTTGAAAGTTGGCATCTGATTAGCCTCCACGTAAAAACCCGGATTTCTGCCTTCATACAGCGACCCGTAGTCTGGCTCCTGGTGGATAACACACTGTTTTTAGGGGTCTTTTTACCAGGCAAAAGGCAGGTTCTGATAGAATTACCCACAGATAACATTTTTGTTATTTACTGTTAACTCAATAAAATAGAATTTCCAGCATGGTACTCACAGCGGTGCCAATTTTCTCCAGTGTGTCCTCATTGATGGGATAGCGTAGTTTCATTTTGCGATACAGAGGGTGCTTTTCATAATAACTGATGAGATCTACAAGACTGTCAAACTCTGAGGTGCCCAGCACCACAGTCTGACCCTCCTGCTGGACTCGACAGTGTTTGATCTTACCCTCAGCCCTGTGAAGAAATCACAGCTGTTAAGAAGTTTCATTGCATTGAATAGTTAATTTATCACACACATCTTGGTGAATTGTAGGTAGATATGAATGACCTGAGCAAAACACGTACCATACCATGCCATGCTCATACCATGAGACAGCAGGATTGAGTTACCTGAAGGAAATGGCAAAGGAGCTGGGTTCTGTCCTTTTCCTGACGAGGAAAGCCCCATCACGAGGAACCCTCATCAGCATGTTCTCTGCTTGACTTCTGGACAGGCTGGCATGGTACCACCTGTGATAAACAATAAAACAAAGGCAAGAAAATAACTACAAGAAAAGCGTTCCTTTTTTTCCCAAACACTTTTTCTCATGAATTCTCTCTAAAGTGTGTGAATACTTGTGGACTCACTCTTTGCTCTCGTGGGCATTAGTCTGAGGCACCGGCTCCGTCAGCTTCATCTCAAACTCGTTGCAGCGCAGTGCCACCTGCTGGTAGTGGTTGATCAGAGCAAAGAGTGTGTCAAACACCAAGTTGTCCGTAAGGAAGAATTTGGGGCTGCCTGCCTCCTGCCGAGAGTGGATACGACAGTGCTGCACCCGGCCTGAACGCCTGCCGCACAGACAGAGATGACAAGACCATAAATGCCAATCGCATTGGATTTCTGCCAACTATGTGGAAACACATTGCATTTGGAAAACCAACCAGAATGATAGCGTGTAGTCTCCAACAAATGTTTCACTCTCCCGGACCAGGAAGGAGCCATCAGGGGCTCCAGTCTCATGGCAGTACTCAGACAGCAGTCTTTCTGCTATCTGCCGTCCATCCCGTCCGGCACCGAGCTTGCCGTGGAACCATTTCTCTGTCACGTGCTGGTCCATTCCATTGGACACCTGGGAAATTAAAAGAGAAAAAGGAATAATTCAGTCAGCTGACGGTCACGTCATTTTCAGGGTGTACGTTCATTAAACAGCTTCCATTTTAAAGCCAAGTAAGCAACCACCTGCTTCAACCAACTCAAAAATGTATTTTGAAAAAAGGAAAAACAGCTACAAGAAATCTGATGGCCTTTCCTAGTACATATCCTCTGTAACCTAACAGGCATGTTTTTAGACGGTGGGAGGAACACTGGAGTCCCTGCAGTGAACCCACGCAGACACAGGGAGAACATGCAAACTCCACACAGAAGGGTCCAATTGTAACCACTAACCTCTCGGTGCTCCTCCTCCTCATCATTACCCTGGTTACTGGAGGTCTCCTCTGAGTAGTAGATCTTACTGCTGGTCAGGACGAAGAAATGAGGGTACCACTCCTGCAGGGAGAAAGAGGGGGGATAGAAGGAGAAAGGTGGTAAACCACAGAATAACACAAGGAAAAAATCAGCGAGAAACTGATTCAAACAGTTATGAAAAAAAACATTAATGATCTGATAAATTTGTGTTGTTACTATTTAATTTAGAAGCATTTGTGAAAATAATCACAAATTGTTTTAATGTCAGATCTACAATTTCCCTTCAATATTCTGGCATAAAGAATCAAGCCTTATTTCATATACAGCAAACATGCTCACATGGTTGATGGGATCTTCCAGGTATAGAATGCCGTTCTTGATGGAGTTGCTAATATCATTCTCAGAGTATGGTGTTGAGGTGGACACCTCCTCATAGGCGCTGCCTTCTGCAAGCTTTTTATGCTGTATTACATCACAGGAGGGATGAACACAAGAGGGAATGATGTCAGAAAGATGGACTGGATAAATGAACTCTGAAGGTATGGAAATTATTTTTCTCTGACCTTGATGAGAATCTTCCTTTTGAGCTGATTGGGTGAGGGCAGACCATCTGCTGAGATATCTACAGCTTTGGTCAGCAGCATGTCGCCAAACACCTTTTTAAAGTGCGCGGCCATGTTCCTCTGCTGCACAATACTACAGTGGTCCTCGATAGAAAGGATGACGGGATAGCTGCGCACAAAACACAAGTGAGACGACAATGTTGAATGACGTCACCGCACATTCTTTCTTTGCATGTACAATCAGCACTCATCATCTTTCTTCCATTTGTTATCATCTCGTCATCTCGTCACTAACGGCTATAAAAAGATTAAAAGGCACTCACTCAGATGTGACAAAGGCATGCTCCTTTATGGTGGGCAAGACGTCACTAAACTTGATTTTTGTTGTGAGGGTGTGTCCGTGGTAGATGACAGGCATTCCATCTGGACCATCCCAGCAGTCCACTGAAAAACAAACACACACGGAAGTGCTTTTATCTTACGTGCAGCCAGGGAGAAGGAAATCAGAAAACACAGCACGCGCCTTCACTGCTGTGAGGTTTGTTTAAATACGTTTGCAAAGGTTCAGGGAAAATCCAGTCTGCTGTAAGTTCATTTTAATTTTAAGAACCTGCTTGACAAGAGTTTGTCATGAATGCAAAGAATAGTGTTGTGTAATAGTAATCCTTAGAGTGTGTGTTTGTGTGTATAGAGTGCAGCATCGCCTTAAAAAAAGAACTGTGAAAGACTAAATGAAAGGTTAAAAGTCAAGTGGAGGCTAATTAGTGGGTGTGTGTGTTTGTACCCACATTCAATACAGCGGCAGCCCATCCTCAGGCAACGAGCATACGCCTCCAGGGACGATTCGCTGGCAAACTGGTCTCCCGTCAGGTAGCTAAAACAAAGCACAACACGCTCACATCTTTATAGTTTCTGCAGTTTCCCACACGTCAGACAGCAAGACACACACTCACACACACAATGTTGTGGTTGGTACCTCAAACATTTTTAAACCAGTGTCAATACTTCCCACTCATTCAATCCGTCAATTCAACCAACACCAAAGTAACATGGGAAATTTTCACGTCACTGCCCCAGTGGGTATTGTTTCATATCTAGTGCAAAAGGTTATCATTTGAACTGCTTTTCACACACTTTTCAATGGGAGGAAAACTACATTTTCCTGCAAAATACAAGCCTGGATCTTATTCTGGAACATGATTGTTAATTATTGCGCTTTTATCTGATGTAAGAAGTCAGCTCAAAAGCCTTGTTTGGGTAAAGATTTCAAGAGAGGATGCCAGGCCTTAGCTTTCCCAGGGAATAATTACAATTGGCAGAGCAAAATGTGTACATGGCCTCCATCCCTGCTGTCCTTACGTGTTGTGTGAGGAGGATATCCAGTAGTGGGAGAGGGGGTTGTTCATATTCTCAGGACATACTTGGTCCAGTGAAGAATCCCAGATGGTGTTCTCTTTGGAGAACAAATATGAGAGGAACTACACAGGACAGAGCAGAAAAAACACAAGTTGGAGGAAGTTATTGAAACACAAGTGATCAGTTTAAAATCTACTATCAAAATCGGCACCTGGGCAAATTAAATAACGTCAAGAATGCCTGTTTTGACATATAATCTTGTTCTGGGCAAGAAGACACAGCTCTCCAGGGCAGAGGTAAGTGGTGATTAACACAAAGTGCAACAGGAAAAAAAACAAAAAACGAGGCAGTGTTGAAAAAAATGCCAGCTATGCTTTGTATGCTTTTGTTTGTCAAGCAGAGCCTGTTTCTCCTGAATCATGGCTAACAGTTGGAGTCAAGTATCTGTTTCGCATTGAGTTAAAATGTCATAAATAACAATAGGACATGATACATTTCATGTAAATGATCACATATCTTCCATTTATCAATGGAAAATGCTGGATAATTATACAAGATATGATTATTGTCAAGGAAGATATATTAATCAAAAGATCAATATATTTCCCATGTGAGTTATCTTAAAGCACTACTTTGGGACTTTGATCTTCACAGCAAAGTATTTATTTCGGTAAACTGCTAACAGCCATAAACATGACAGTCCTGTGCTGAATATACCCCTGAAATGTTTATGTAGAGATCTATAAAAAAAAATACTTAAGGCAAAGTTTTCTCAAACTTCAAATCCTGATAATAAACAAAGAAATTTTTAATTCTTTAATTGGATCGCATCACTCCACCTGAACTTGAACTAGAGTTGAACATAAAATTCTGCTTGCACACGTGTTTTCTGGTTCAACTTTGGGCTGAGGCTTTTTTGTGAAGAGTCTGCATGTTCTCCCTCTGAAGGTTTCTCTGTGGCCTACTTTCCTCCTGCAGAGCAAATACATGCCCGTCTGTCTCTCTTATCCCCTTTGAGGCATCTTCTGCACCATGCCACAATGCAGGTTGCATTAGGCTTATCCATGTGTTAATAAGTGGTGGTAGTGATTTATTTGTTTTCTATAATACACACATAGACTCAAGAGTTTCATCCAATCATTGATGAAAAAGATCAAATGAATCCTCAGTTGAAAGTTTATTCTAACTTTCATATGCAAACATAGCGGGAACTCCACTAGAAAACCCTCAAGAAAAATTGTTAAGATGCTGAACACTGTGACTTAGAGTGAATGATAAAACCAATCAAGAGTTTTAGACCCAACTTAAAAAATAAAAAAAATTAAGTACATGCCAACAATAATGTATATAACATTCTGTTATGAGATCGTTCTCGTTTTTCCGACACATTGCTCGCAGCCTGGCCATGTGGTCTATTGACCTGCTAATTTGCGCGTTTACAGGCACAGAATGGAACCCAACAGGCTTTGCTGCACCAGCTTCCTCCTCTTTTTTTAGTCAATACGAACTTTTAGGTGACCACAAAACATCCCTCGCTTTCTGCTGAACTATCAAACAGAGTCATGGTAAGTAACCTTTTCTAATTGTGTGGGAGAAAACGTATTAGGCCACGCACATGCATCCTCCTCCTACATAAACAGGGTGTGCTGGAAAAAATGACTTTCAAAACACAGATTTAAATGTTTCCGTTAGCATGCAAAAACACAAGAGGATCAAAAAAAGAAATTTTAGAAAAATTAAGTATTAAATTAAGTGGCGAAAGGAGCCCATACCTCATCTTGATGGAAATAAGGCTGCTCCACTTCTCTCAGGGGATCTTTCAGGTAGCTGAATATAAACTCCTGAACCTTGTTGTTGTCCGTGGCCCACAGCTCCTTTATTTGCCAACAAACATAGAGGGATTAGAAAATATAAACCTGATGAATGAGCAATATGTTCAATGCATGACGACCTACCTTCTGAGAGTCAAGGAGGAAGCTCTTAAAGTCCTCTAGGGAGATCCTCTGTTCTGGTCTATCACTGAACCTGGTAAAGAAAGCATTGGTTCACTTCGCTATCAGAACATCCAACACAAAGAAGCCTCCCTGTATATATCATGTTGTTTGAACTTACCTTTGTAGAAATGGGATCTCCATCTGGAAAAGGGGTATAAAAAAAGAATGTAAGTTCATTCATCACAGTCCTGTGCTTTTACTGTGTGCTGTGCTGGTCATGGAAATTGTAACAGACTTCCTGTAGGTTGGAGGGAGGGCACTGAGGTTATACATTTAATCTGACCCTAGCCTGCCTGCCTGCCTGTGTATGTGCCCTAATGGCCTCCACTAGAGGGGTTTGGTGGGTTTTAAACTAGTCTGTATTGATCTTGCAGCCATTTGAGAACATGCAGATGGGGGATGAAGTGGGCCTTGGCAGGCATCAGATAGGTTGCTGCGGGATCAAAGTGCCGAACTATCTGTGGAAACAATAAAATGACTGCACTTACGTTCTTCTGAGCATCAAACATCAGGCTCCGATACAGCTGGGCAAACTGGCTGAAGGGCACGTCTCCATTCCTCAGCTCTGATTCCTACAAAACAAGAAAGGAAGAATGGGGGGGGCAGGCATCAATAATAAATGGTCAATGTTTAGCTTCCATCAACTGGAAGGGAAGTGTGTGAGGGAATGGGATGGAAGGGCTCTCTGCTAAGGGGAAGGAGGTTACCGGAAGCTTCTCTCGGAGGAACCTCATGTTGGGCACCCTGTAGTTGACCTGGCTCAACATGTTCTTCAGATCCTTACAGGATATCCTAAACAAATACACATGTTACGTTGAAAAGGGAACCTTTAATATTAACACAGCTACATACTTGGAATTAAACCTTGCAGAAATAAACACGTTAAATCAGGAACAGTGTCATTTTTGGGTTCACAGGCAAGTTGAAACAAGCAAGCGTGGTCTGCTGCGTGATTATGACTTGACTTCTACTACTGGAGCAGTCTGGGATTTGACCACAGATGACAATACTCTCACAGCAGAACAAAGACAGGGAGGTGTCAGGCAAACATCTTTGCAGATCTCCTCCATTTTCTGCAGTCTGTTTCCTGCAGCAGGAAGAGCGGCTGGTGTGTTGCTGAGAGGTTAGTTCCGTCTCTGCACCTCCACTTAGCACCCTCACGCACACACACCTACCAGCTGCTGCTTACTCTAAATGGTATTAGGGCAGTGGTATTTCGTTTGAAGTTTCGTTTAAAAGGGTGACATCAACAGTTAACAAATATATAACTGACGTAGCTTACTTGTCTTCTCTGTTGCGATCGACTGCGTAAAACTGCTTGCGTAACCACCTAAAAGATGAAAATTGAGAGATCGTCTGAATAACGGTTGTGGAAGAAGCGGGGTACTAAAACCACCTTCCAGAAAATTGAGCTTTTGTTATGGAGTGAAATTGCATAAATCCTACCTCTCTATTTGAAGTGGGGTTGGTGACTTCAGTGTGTCAGCCACAAGCCAGTTTAACCCCTTTACCCACATGGTCATCTCTTCATCAGATGTTGCTAAGGCGAACAGAACATGACTACAATTATAGGATTTATGCACATAATGAACAGCTTGTAAATTAAACCTCAGACTGATGGAAGTTTGAAACAGTCGTGGCCATCACTTTTCTGTGCACGTACCTTGCAGGCTGAGGGATTTAAGGCGAAACTCTGCGCCATAGAGAATAACAAAGCAGTGAATCTGGTCGAGCCGACCTGCACAGTCCTCCACATAGCGCTCAAAGTCCTGGGACTTCTGACCGGGACGGATCTCTTTGATTTCCCGAATGTCGACTATGGAGACAGACAAACAGAAAGCAGTGAGCTCAACACTTTTTCCGAAATGGCGTCCTCAAAAGATGGACAATAAGGATGAAAGTTACACAATCATAACCATCACGGTCAATAGTTCAATAACCATATACTTTAAACTATTTGTGATTGGGACAAATATATTATGATTGTTTGTGTAAATCACAGGTCTTTTGAATTATAAGAAGACATTTTTCTCTATCATAAATAAAGACTGATTTCTAGTCTCATCCATGAACAGTATAATGACCAAAAAGTTCAAATATGATATCTTTAAATAATGACACTAAAATAATGAGATTGTAGTCTCATGATCACAGAAAGCTGAGCAGGCAAACCAAACCATATTCAACATGTCTTCAGAGGAAAAGAGTAGACTCCAGAGGCGTGATCAATCGCATAATAAGGATGTGTAAAAGTTTGAATACTTCAGGAAATGGGAAGAAAAAAAACACATTTATTTATATCATGATATTTTGTCATTATGCTGCTGATTAAAAAATAATAATTGGGCTTCCACGCCATTGATGAGCAGTCTGAATTTTCAGTCTTCGGAAGGTAAAGTGGCTCAACAGGTCGTGGTTACATTATTACCAGTTAAAGACTTAAAGCAGGGTAGGGGCTCTCTAGCTTAACACACACACACACGCACACGCACACACACACAAGTATTTCAGCTCCTGCTCCTCTTCCTGCCCCTGAATCACACATCCTGTGCTTTGTCGCCTTCACACCGCATCAGCACTTGCGTGTAGGTCTCCGTGTGCTTTTCTTAAGCATGAAAAATGAAGTCTTCTTCACACACGTTCTTACCCAGCTGAACCTGTTAAACATACATCATATCTCAGTTTACTTTGCCAGCAGAAAGGGGCCAGCACATATCCGCTGAGCACACAGCAGCCTTGACAGGCCGTTCTGTTCAACAGCACCTTTAGGCATTCGAGTCAAAATATTTTGTCTCTTAACAGAGGCAGGAAATAAAGAGATAGCCAGAGGTGCGACCTTACCAAAAGAGATGAGAGAAGATATCCTGAAAAACACTCCTTCACTTCCTCTCACTTCCTTTCACGCATCACTTCAAGCGTCCATAACTTAGCAACACTGTTGCCAAGAAAATACCAAAGTTTCAATAGGAAAGGAGTTTTTGATGGCATTCTTTGAAAAAGTCAAAGTTTTCAATCAAACCATTTTTTCAACAATCTTGACAGTCCATTAACAAAATTGATCAGTCATTCATTTTAGTCTAAAACAACTTCCGTGGGGGTCCATAGCTTTACTTTAGTTCAATGGTAATGTCAATTCTATTCCTTTTTTTTTAAAGAAAGAAAAAAAAAACACAAACCCAAGTTATCTAACAGAAAAACATCCAAGAGAAATCCTGTGTTAATCATCAGCCAAAACCCCCTATACAGACGGTAGATTAATTACAAACACTGCTTTGAAAACCAGAGCAGCGGACATTGTTCCTCAGTCTGTGACGGCTCGTGCTTCTACATCAGCTGATGCACATCAGCTCCTTTCAATATCACGTAGCAGAAAGTTACGGTAAACTGAAGTCTCTCCTTCTGCAAAACACCTGCCAAACAGCTACATAGATTCTGTTCCCCTAAAACAGAGCAAATCAGCAGTGGATTTAGTGACAACCTGATATCGCAGACAGACTGAATTCAATCCACCTGAAAGACGTTTTGGATTTCGTGGCCCTGTACTGTTCTGGTATATTTCCAATCAACAGGCTGAACTGAAAGGGAAACATGTGTAACAAGTGACATCAGGAATATTAGGAGCAGATGTCTTCTGCAGAACATATGGAACAAACAGGTGAGGGTGACGGCAGGTTCCCACAGACGTGTGGATGCAGTTCTATCCATGTTTCACGCCCAAAAAGTTGACAAAAACAACCGGAGGACCGCCTGGTCTCTCACAGATATTTCTCCAGGCCTTTCCAGGCTACAATTGACAACATCAAATATTAGTCACGGGTCGAAATTGGCTCACGTCTGTCATGACTCAGGTGGCCTGGTGTTCAGCATCTCATAACACACTTTCACAGCGCCAGCACAGCTCATAAACCTCCACCAACCTCAGCTCACATCGCCTTACTAAGCCTGTTGTTTATGTTCAAAGGATAAATTTAACAAATTATTCTTCTTTAATGTCCAAACCTTCCAATTACCATCTCGATTAGTTAGAAACTGCCAGGCAACTGGGCAACATGTGTTCATTGTTATGCAAAGATGTTGTTTGTTTTTGTCATTTTAGACAGATTTCTGGAGGTTTTTACAGACAGTTTACAGGGTGCTGATGCGTTTTGCCTAATTTCAAACTGCGCTGTATGTTCTGCTGCTCAGCTGCTTCTCTTAATCATTGCGATACTTAATCCCGCCAGTTGTGACTCCAGGTTGGAATTCTGACATAGATTAAGGTTAATAAATTAGTAGGAAATCCCTGAATCTGATTTTTTTTTTAAGAATATTAACCAAAGTAGTGGACTGCTACATCTGTCGGCAGCATTGAGGATCTTTTTCTTTCTCCTTTTAATTGCTTCAACAAAGCTAAATGTAAAATGCCATGAGCAGTGACTTTGCAACCACTCTAAGCTGTGCTAACCCTAGCCCTAGCCAGATGAGTATTTTATTAACTATATACAGGATTTCTGCGCCTCCACATGCAGCACTGCCTTCCTGCAGCCAAGGATGTGTAGAGATCATTGGTCACATTTCCACAGAACATGCCATCATATTTTTTAACTGTCATTTACACACATATCTAAAAGAGGAACCAATAATTGTACATGCCACTTTATTATTGATAACATAATGTAAAAGCTAAATCAAATGTTCTGTAGATGATTTGGAACAGGACCTGGAGATTAAAAAGCCTATTTAACCAGATGTTTTACTGTATTCCCTTCAGAAACAATACAATGCAACTAAAACCTAAGTTGTCAATTGACATGGCAAGTCTTTTATTTTCACTTTATGATGTACTCGGTCTTTGCATGAAACCAGTCTGTTAGTTTCAATTATCTCCTGAGACCACATCTTCCTTTGTCAAGCCAGACTTGTGCGCTGCAGTAATATACAAAAGGCACAAACACACCGAGCTCTTTGGTTAGCAACCTGAAAAGGACAACAAATGCCTCAGCTATTGGCATCATTCTCTCACTGATAAGAGGGTAAATGTACCAGGCCAGACTGACTCAGGATGATGACACGCTTCCAGCAACAGCCCTGATATTCTATTCCTGTACGTTAATAAAAGAGCGTAAGCCCGTTTATACCTCTCCAGGCGGATCAAATGGCAGCTATGAGGTCATGATGAAACCCTTCACTTGCACACAAGATGATACTGCATTTGGAAAATAAATAAAAATCACACACACACACAATCACTAAGCCTGCATATCTTACTTTTTTGTGTGTCTGTGTGCGTGCTCTTTTTGTAGCATCCGGAACACGGTGCAGCTGTGCACAAGGCATCCTGCTACCCGAGAGACAGACAACTTAACGACTCACTGAAGAGGCCTGTGTGTCCTCAGCTACACACACTGCAAGTGACAGCAGATTCCTATCCATGGAACAAAAGGAGGCAAAATTACATTGTTTCTTCTCTTTTAGTAACTGTGAATGTTACTGTGTCCCACACATGGTTAATTTGTACCGACATTCTTAAAATTGTAAATATTAACAAACACTAATATTTGTATGTAATCTATAAGGAAGTGACAGAATCGAAATCAGAAAAGGAATCATTACATGGTCCCCGAAACCTTCTGAAAGGCCTGAGAGCACTGTTGCACATCCCCAAATTTGAACTCCATTATGTCAAGGGACAAAAGAACCACAAAGTATTCCCCAAACTAAGAGAGCAATAACCTTCAAGATGGATGTAGGTGAGGTTAAAAAAAAAAAACAACAAAAATCTATTTGAGAAGTCTAAAGTCACAAGTGCAGCCTGTTCTGTCTTGAAAGGGACAACCCATCCCAGTTTGGGTGGAAGTACACGCTGCAGTGGATGGCCGTCGTAATCCTGAGCTGCATTGGTTCAAGCTGAACGATCCAGCCAAGCTAATGTCCGAGCCTTTAGATCAAGTAGCCACAAATCTAGAAGCCCCTGAAAACCAACCTAAGTAGTAAGAATCGTGTCTCGTGCTGCTTTTAATGCCATCCAGCACTGCTCCAAACCATTCTGCCACACAGATTCATCACATTTGGTAAACATTTGGTACGCAATACCTTTATCAAATACTGCAAAGGCAATACGACCTGTAATGTGAAAAAATAGGGGCGAGGAATCTTGGTAAGTGTAGAATGACACCGACTATGTGCATGTGGATTGGAAAAACTTAAACTCATGACAAGATACATTCACCAAAACAACCACAAAGGCCCATCTTCATCAACAACTGAAATGGCATGTAGTCACGAGTTCTTTTCACACAGAGCCGCCATCTTTTTGCCATAATTAGGATATCGCTGTTCCTGTACCAACCAACACACATGCAGATCAGCCCCCCATCCCTGTGTGTTCTGTGAATGCAAGTCCACTGTCATCATAAATGATATCTTACATAGGTCATGGGACAATTTGACATATGACTTTTAGATTAAGCATAGAGTAAGTTTTATAGCAATATCTTCCTTGATAATATAATGATATAAGTAATATCTTACTTATATTCAAGCATGTCAGAAATATCTGATCCACATTTAAAATAGGAGATGGGGCAAAAAACGTGTGGATTTGAACGTCATAACAACTCGATTCCACAGTCAGACAAAGCTGACTGCTGTGCTGCTGGCATCAAATAAAAGATTTTTAAAAAACAGTCATCAATTGATAAGTTGCACTTTTGCTGTTTTCAGTTCACTTTTACACAGGGTTTGATCTTTTTTTTTTCAAACACAGTTAATAAAAACTGAGGAACACAACTACCTACTTCAACTACATGGCCAAATAACTACTGAGTTTTTAAAAAATCCAAAAAGCTCTTTACGATAAAATCTATTCTGATTACATTCACATACATAACATTAATTTAATTTGAGGGAGGATTACAACTTCTATATTTGTTTACTTGTCAGTTACATAATTCTTACACTTGGCTTTGACAACTCAGATTTATTGTCCTCACTATTCATATGACAATCATAGAAAACTGCTGCGGGAACTTGGCAAAGTCTTTTGTGAGCAAGTCATGCAACTCAGATGTGGGGCATTTCTTTTTCCATTAAATAACCAGTTCTGGCACATACACTGCCTCTTCACATTTAAAACCAGTTTTAGAGTCCTTTTCCGTGTGTGTGTGCGTGCGTGTAGTTTTGTTTGCAAGATACTCACTCTCTCCTTCTATTTTATCTGTGCTTCGAGTCCAGATAATAGTCCTGGTCTCCAGCTTGACTTGAAAAGTCCTTCTTTCCGGCCGCTGGGATTTCTTAGAATAATACAGAGTCAGTACTGTGCCCACCTCCAGGTCTCGGTACAGGTTGTTCATCTCTGTGTCATTCTCCATCCACGGAACAGGTCCGTTGGAAAAGAAGCTAGAGGTCCCAGCCATGTTCACTTCCCCTGTTTGTTATCTGTTTCCTCTCAGAACAATCTGCTAAATCCAGGCCTAGACAGGGTTACCTACAGCAGGAGGAGAGTGGAGGTGGGGAGACAAACAATAATAAGTATAAACTCTTACCGAAAAGTTCTAAACACGTACATTCATTGAATCCAAATCAAACTTAATTCTTCTGTGAGAAGTCATGTCAACCATCTCAAACTGTACAAAATCATTGGTTAAAATCATATTTTAATTTGGGGGGAAAAGCCATTCTCTTTAATTATTATTTGTATGTTTTTTTAGCCACAACTTTATAACATACTATGTTTGTCTTTACTCATTTCATACATGACAGTACAGTGTCTTAACATGGGCTACGTTGGTATGACAATCTAATGTTACGAAAGTATGTGCTACAAAAACAGCACGACAGCATACACCAAATATGAACTGAATTCATGTAGAATTCAATACAACGGTAGAGATTCGAAGAGTCTGATGATGTTTAAGGAGGAAACAACGTGCTGAAAGAGGGAGCAGATGGTTCCAAGTGTGCATACGAAGTCACATCTGCCATTAGAACATTTAGCATCGGTTACCGTCGATTCATGGGACAACGGCTCCCACCAGGAGAGGCACACAAATCTCTCATGAACCGTGGTGTAACTAAGTGACAGCTACCCGTTTGGAACGAAGAAATGGTTCAGATGAAGATTATCACAGTGGCCAACTTTCCCTCCAGCAGTAGTTTACCTTTAATCTAACAGCAGGGAGGTTTAATCTGATTTATAATGATCTTAAAACGACCCACAGGCCCAGAACCTGCTGCTGGGGCACAAAGTTTCCTCTAAAAACATTTTTTTAAGGATACCACAGGCGGTGAACGGTGGACGGAGAGTGGGATAGCACTGTAATAAGAAACGTCTGGCTGTTTTCACGGCGTTGTAACGGGGCCGGTGTGAGCTAGCTCTAGACGGGGCCGAAACAAGAACATGGCTGGTTTTGTCCATGGAAAAAGAAACAGGTAGCAGAAGCTTCCTCGCCTTCACTCTTCCTCGCCTCTCCGTGCGAAGGAAAATGAACTGGAAAACAACACGTCGCAGGCAGGCGCTGCTGTTCATTAACTACCTACCGCTGAAATCTCGGCCCGACCGCACATCTCCAACGGTCGCTCCTTTCTCCTCTCGTGCTCCCGTCGTCTTTCTCCTTCTCCCTTTTCCTCCGGCACCCTGCCTTTTTCGGGATTAAATCATCGCAAGGCCCTCGAAAGGCGCTGCGGTTCCGACGAAAATACTCCCAGCGGCTTCCTCCCCTACCCTCCAGCTGTCCATAGAGACAGGCAGGCAGACAGTGAGAACCGTGGCAAGACTACGCAAGTTTGTCTGCTCTCAGAGTGAGCCAGCGGAGGCCCTTCCCCCCCAGCCCGCCGATATAGCAACATCATCCGAGCCGAATCAAAGACCAAGCTTCCGCCGCAGGTTTTCATAGTAAAGCAGCTTGGGTGACGGGTTCCCGACATGGCTTCGTTTTGCCTTTCTACCTCGCAGCAAAGAGACCTTTTCAAAATGTGATACTTTGTACTAAAAGCCAGTTAGAGGGTATATTTGTCATATGCTTTTCAATAAGCTACGTCACGCGAGGGCAGCTCGGTCAAAATCATAATCAGGTTTCTCCAGCTGTGCATCTCCAGCATACTGAGATCATTAGCTAACTTTGTGATAAGTTGTATCATTGTTGTCCCATTTTCTGTACACGTGAAAGCCATAGTTTTGATACATACATAAACAAATCCTTTTTTTGGTCAAATTTCAGTTATATTTTATCCTTATTTGAGTTACAATGTTGCACGTATAGAAGAGGAAAACCAGGCGGCTTTAGATTCACCCGGGCCCTGGTATCTTTGCCATGCATTTTTGCATTATATCAATAAAAAAACGAGTATTTGTCTACTATATAGACGGAAGATATTTGCCATGTGAAAGCAATGCTCAAAAGTGTTCAATAACAACTCTTTGTTGGCTACGTTAGAAATGTATTTGAGTTATTGCTGCACTTGCATTCTATGTGACCAATTTTGTGGGCTTCATCCACTCTCCAAATTTGGAGTCTAATATCTCAAATCAGCAGAAAGCAGAATTATGCATTTATTTTTGAGTACTCCGACATTCTTTCCACATATCCTTGGTGCTCACACTTGAGCTTGACATAACTCATCCTATAGTTAGATCTTCTGCATCCAAAGACAGATACTTCTTCCCCAAACATTACCTTTAACTAATTGACAAGTTGATCTGCCTCCCTCACTGAAACTACGGTTTATGCTAAAAACGTGTTAACGTTGAGATAATACTGATTGTTGGACTCTGGCCACTGATTGCAAGCTGATTAACTCTCTGACAACATTGTGTTTCTCTTTACACATAGGAAAAAAAATATGACAAAGAGGACAAAGCTGATGTTTTATTCCAAGTGCGACAAGGCTCAAAACAACAAGCATTCAAATCATGGTGCCAATGTGTGATAAATGCTCAAATAGCAAGAAATGCTATTGACAAAAGTTAGTCCAGCCATTCAAATCAGGAAACTTGTACAAGACAGTTTCTGCTTGATCATCGCCATACAAAAACAACACACTACAAAGAAACATGATGCAACCTTTTTTTTGGCCAAATCCACACTCTTCCATCAGAGGGAACAGTCTATTTTAGCTCTGGCTCGCAAAACATATGCTTTGGTTATTTCAAGTAACCAAGATCAATGTTACGCCCTCTTCATTGTAAAACTAAGGAAACAGATACAAAAGAGCAGCATAAAAGCGACAAAGAGCTTCTTGTTGACAGTGAGAACAGCACACATTAAAAAAACATATAATTATGACTGAAAATGACAAACATATGTACATCCCTGAAATAAAGAGCAAACTCAAACTGCATGGATCTAAGATGACATTCTGTGTGCTAAGCATAGTGCTAAGGTTTAGTTCTTCTGTCTTGTTATCTCTCTCATGTTGCTTTTCACAGTCTCCCACAAAAACAATTGTTTGTTCCTTAATCTTTGAGAATAAATATTCCCTTAATAAGTCAAAGAACTTCTTCTGTTTTAACTTAATACTAACGTTTTAATAGTTGTTGGATTATGGTCAGACACCTGCAGCTACATATACACTATTATAAAGTTTTTTTAAATAGGGAACGCCTTTTGGCAACTTAATAATTGATAATAATTCATTATACCCTTTTTGTTTCCTGTACACAAATAGCAATAATTTACAGCATGATTATTAACCTGGGATCCCAGCTAAGGCCAAGGCCCTGTCTCATTTGACATCAAGTGCTAACCATCCTTACAAAGAAGGCCAGGGTAGAATAGATAAAACACCATGTGTGGTTAAAATTCATAATCCTCTTCAGCCATGTCGATGGCCCAGGCAAACTTCTCTCTCTGGGTTTTGTTGTAAATCTTCTCAATAGGAACGCTCCACTTCTTGCACCTGAACAGCATGAAAGAGAAGGTGCAACCTGTAATACCCATGCAAGGACATTAGATGGAAATGATCTTTTAAAATCTTTTATACAAAGATAAAGTCACTTTGTTAGAGTAAATGTAAAAAATCCTTTAAATGTTTCCTGCTATTTATTGGTGGATTTGTAATAAAGCTTATTTGACAGGTTCCTGTTTGATTTGCAATCTTTTTCCCTTAAAACAATGGTGGACTACTTTTTTGAGAAATGATACCTGTAGTATAATTGGAACTGACAGATCTAATGTGATGGAACCCCATCCCTCAAACCAAATATTCCTGTTTTCATTGGGGCTGAAGACGAGGACTAATAGGAAGGACCGCCCCCTTCCCTGAGGCATGGCTCTATACTCAACCTCAGACAGCTCAGAATTGACTTCCCACATGGAGGAAGGACTGCTGTTTGCGGACGGTCCCTAGCTTTCAGAAACAAACTCCATTGTTCCTCGTGCTCACATGCTTTTCTTCCTCTTATTTTCCTTCTGCAGCCGTTAGCTTTTTTGCTACTGCTGCTCCTTTTCCTACAATGCAAGACCATTTCCTGCCTTTCTGTCACCAAGGTGGATATGCCCTCTGCACACAAAGCCGGCCTGTGTAACAAGTGAGAGCCTTTCTCACATTGATGTTACAGCCACAGTTAAAACTGTTGTCAAATAATAGTCAACAGCAGATAAACATACATTTAAAAATGAGAGAAGAAATAAATGTCCTTTGCGATATAAATACCAAGCCACTGAAATGCGCGGATCCAGGTAGTTGAGTTTGGAAGTTCCCAGAGCAATCTGCTTATTCTCTTCTCTGTCTGTGGCCTGAACCTGAAGTTTCATCAGCTGCTCCTCTATCCTCTGCAAAGCTTTACGCTTCATCTCCACAAGCCTGGAGGTAAAGTAAAGACACAAAGACAGAGAGAATGATGATAAAGATACACACAGAGTAAAAAAAGCATGTAGAAACATTTGGACTGGGCTGCATAGAGACAGGAATGTGAAGTCACTGCCTGGGGGGAATTGTACTGATGGACAGAAAAAACTGCGCAGGTATAGTTGTCTTCTGCCTTAAAAACACCTGATGTGGTTCACCATGAACGTAATAAACCAGACACTTTCCTACTGGACAGCTGAGTTCGGATGTTCTTACTTTCTGCTTTTTTCATCCCGGGAAGCCTTGTGGTCAGCCTTGGCAGCCCTCAGCTGCGTCCTTGCTACGGACAGCTGGTTTTGTTTGTCATCTATCTGCAATCACAAAAAAACAGAAACGCTGGTTGAAGAAAATGATCTGCATCAAAATGACAGCATAGCTAAAATATCCAAATGTTTCTGGAAAAAAGGCGAAAGAAAAAAATACACACAGGTCTACCTTGGTCTGAAGATTCTGCATGGACTTCTCAAATGTCTTGGGTGGAGCTCTTTGGTGGTTACAAAGAATGGCCACTGCCCTGTTGGCTCGGTTGTATGACAGGATCTTGGCTGGGATGCTGTCATCAGCTGTTGGTGAACACGGCAACCCAACAAGTTGGAAAGAGGCCGGTTTTATTTACTGAGACCTAAGATTGCTGGCTCCTGTGTTGCAGTGATTAAGTTTTACAACACGCGATAAGATTCGTACGCGTACAGTAAATGACTAGTTGTATGTGTGCACGGTTAAACGGCCAGAGTACGGGATGAGAACATCCCTGCACAAAAGCCAACAGTTAAGTCTATATGTGTAGTGGTTTCATGGCTCCTAAAACTAGTATCCTTATCACGCCGATTAGCCTATTATCATATATAATCACAAAACAAGATATAAGCTTGCACTGTAACCTCTAAGAAGTATTAACCTATTTTGTAGAATTTATTCTTTTGAATGAAGCTGCGGTCACTCACTGCAGGTAAGTTCTTTGAGCTGCTGCTGCAGAGTGATCGAGGCATTGTAAGTACGGAAAACCTTGGCTGTTAGTCCATCCATCAGTTCCTGTAAGTGCTTGTTTAGAATAGAAGTCTACGGAAAGGAAAAGAAGAGGGAACAGTGAGTAAAGATGGGCAATTATTTAAAAAATAAGAGAATGCTGTGAACAAAATGGGTATTGCCATCTAAACACTTCACATTTGGTTCCATTTTAGTACATTTCTTACATTCAGCCTGTCGAATAGCTCGTCTTGGGGTTTCTTGTTTTCCAGGAACAACCGGAGGTTTTTAAAGACCTGATAAGGAGTAAACATGTTCATTTTCCTTACTTGACATAGTTTAATGGATGTGCTACCACTTTTCCACCAGTAGGCGGTATAATTTATTTCTTTTCATGACCACAGGCAGTTTATTGCTTTGGGATTTATAAAGACTGTGTTCTACAAACTACATGGTAAAAGAGAGAGGGAATTGCAGTTCAGTAGTGTCCAGGCATACTAAATTTCTAACTGAAAACAGAACTTTCTGTGTGTGGGTGTGATAGCAGGGAACAGACCACCCTGTGAGGCAGAGCTGATGGAAACCGTTCTGAATCTCTTCACCTGCCTATCCAAACATCCCCCACAAAGTATCAATTTCTTATCATGAGCAAAAAGTCCCAAATTCATCAAAAAGCACCCTGCACTAAAGCAGAAATACAAATGTTGCATTACAATGTGGTGAGCCTTTTATTACTGCTTTTCTTTCTCTTTCTTACCCTCTTCTCCACTGGAATCTTGTTGTAGTATCGGATGGAGTCTTTCCCCAAGAAGTCAAACTCCACAACATACTCCTGCTCATCCAACTTAGGGTAAAGTCTGATGTGCTCCACCCGCAGTGAGCAGCAGCCAACAGTGTCAGCCGTCTCACCCTCCTCCTTTTCATTACCCGCTCTCAGTGCCAACTACAAAGGAACAGCCACACATCCTGGTTATTAAGACTATGAAAGTAAAATATTTTCCTCTTGCTTCACAGCTATTAGTTTAATAGCATAATTAAAGAGGAAGTTGGCACAACTTTTTGAAAAGTAATAGTAGTTTCTGATGAGGTGCAGGTATTAAGAGTGAATTATTTTTTATTTCATTCACCTTGTCAATAAAATACAGCGCCACGGCTCTCTGTCTGATCCGCATCTCTTTTGACTTCCAGTCGTCTCTATACTGAGTCCGGATGTGATCCACACTCTTCTTTAAACGTCGTGCTGTCTCATATTTCTGCCAGTCCTTTTCCCCCTACACAAACACACACGGGCATATTTTTTTCTGAATATTCTTCCCATAAAGACAATACTGGTAGAACAGGCTGGTTAAGGCCAACTAAGCCTGAATGTGGGGAAGGACAGGTACTTTGATTCTCGAGCTGGGGTTCAACATGATGTATTTGATGGAGCCCTGGATGTTCTCTGTCCATGACACTAGCCAGGTCACCTTGTTGTCATGACGAACCTCCTTCCATTTTGTCCCTTGGGGAGGTTTTGGGTGCTTAGAATCCCTGTAGGAAAACAGCAGAGTTAATACACAGGTATGCATTGAGGAACTTTAACTGTGTTGCTGTCTGACGCCACTAAAGCTACATTTTCCTTAATAGTCATCACCGTGGATTCCCCACACGTACGAAGCTATATTTGTCACAGGCTAATTTCAGTACATGAATTACTTCATGTTGGAAAAATGGCAACTATGAGACAATAGCAGTGAGATTTTGTCAAGTATGAGCAGATGAACACGTCCTCCCTGGGTTATGTAAGTGTTTGTGCAGATGCAGTATTCATCTGACAGGAAGGCCACCTTTGACATAGTGCCAGCAGTGTGTTTGTGTGTGCGTGTTTTAAAGGAAATATCTACCATACTGTACATGCCAATGACATTATTTCGTCCAGGCCTCTTTTTGAAGGCATCTGACCACTGAAAATTAGCCCTCCCTATCTCTCACTTGTGCCCCAAGGGCTTTGGACAAGATAGATACAAGGAACATTATTTAGAGGCCAAAAATAACTCCTGCCATCACATCGGAACAGTTTAAAGATGGAAGGGCAGATAGGGAAAGAGGAAGACAACAAGACAGATTCTGAAACAATCTCTCATCTTATCCCTGTAATACAGTCACTCCAAGTCATTTCTCTCCGTACAGTGGTTTGACACAGCCACCTTGTGGTACACCTCAAATTAGAAACAGCACAAACACATAGGCCTGTATTCAGACTCAGCATTTTTCTGAGGTCAGAGTCGCTGTTAATGAGACTGCACACTTGCTACAGTTGATAATTATATCTTCAGGTCTGATACGCCGTTTCAGCATTCCCATCTTTGGATGGTCACCGCGTCCTCTGAAAAGGCCTGGCGGCTCGATGCGGAAGTTTCCGATCCTCTCCTTGTGGTTGTCCATGATGCAGAAGCCGTACTCCTGGAGGACCCGCTCATTTTCCTCTTTTATTTTCTGAAAATTTTTATATAAAAGTTAAGACATTTGAAAAACTCTGAAGGTGGGAGAGTCAGTCTGAATTGGCAGCTACCTGTTTCTCTTCCTTTGACATCTGTTTGCGAGCCTCTGACTGAGCCTTAAAGTACTCGCTCATTTCACTAAAGTTACATTTATTTAGGTCAGTGATAGCCGCCCTCTCCTCTGAAGTCATTTCCTGAAACACAAGGCCGAAACATTTGCTTAAATCCTTTAACATCTAAAGCTTGTTGGCTCATATGCACTAGAATTATTTATGTTTGACTCTCCTTACCTTCCTCCAGTCCTTAAAGAAATTCTTTCTGAAGATGTCCTTTGTGGTGTACTCATGATCCAGCATCTTAGCGAAAAATGTGGCTACCTCCTCAGCAGGGGCACTTAATTTCAGTGGCTTTCCTAAAAAATTGAAAAAAACACTGAAGTCTTGATAAAAAAATATTATTTGCCCACCAACATTTGATTTGCACAGACAGGCTTACCATTGTAGTAAAATTTTACTTTGCTAGGCAATGGTTCATATGGAGGAGCAAACACTGGACCTTTATGTTCAAGGAAGCGCCATTTGGAGCCATCAGTGTATCTTTCCTCCTCCCACCTGACCAAAAACAAAACACAGCTCATCAGAAAAAAAGGCGAGTATGATAACTGTTTTTTTATGTAGCTTTCTAAACTGGCTGCTCTCAGATTGTTCATTCCTCTGGTAAAACAAGCATCCAGAATTATGTTACCATTTCCACTTCTCCTCTTCCTCCTTTATGACTTTCTTTCCATCTTTTGCTTTTTTGTCTTTTGTCTTCTTTTTGGGCTTGACATCCTTAAACACATTGATGACAACCAAAGAAAACAATAAATCCATGCAGCAGAAATCCTTGGCTAACCTGGAAAAGGTACCAAACATCTTAAGTACCTCATCGTCTTCGTCCTCTTCATACTCGTGTTTCCTCTTTTTGGCCTTTTTGTCATGTTGTAGCTTGACTTTCTTGGGCTTGTATTCAAATCTGCAAACACATTTTCCTCATTTTAAAATCACTGACAACCAAACCTGAATAACGATTAGCGGGTGCTGATGAGAGTGACACATACTCTTCGTCATCATACTCCCGTTTGGAAGACTTGCTGTCTTTGGGAGACGGGGTGAAGACGTCGTCTTGTTCAGGTTCACTCTTAATGTGAGCGGGACTTGTCTCTCTGAGTCACGCATTGACACAAGTCCATTAATGACAACCAAACAGCGAAGCCACCACCACCTCTATTTTTCCAATTTAAAATTACATAAGCTGCTTACCTTTCATATCCATTTTCCTTCTCGTTTCTCAGCTTATCTGAGCTGGATGATTGAATCTGTGCAAAATCAGAGAAAAATACAGCCGATCAAGATGTATTTAAACTGCTTGTGCATCTTAAGACTATCTAAACCTTTAATTATAGACAGGGTAAGTCTAAAGCAAGAGGGAGCATCTGGACGATTTCTTTATATGGTATCAGTAGACACAAACACAATGTGAAGAGACACAACACTGTTATTTAATGAGCCTGAGCATTAAAACATCTGTCCATAACTATCACAAAATAGAAAGAGTCAAGATGAAGAATCAAAATAAATTTTATTTGACAACAATGCTTAGCGCTTTGCAAAAGCCAGGCCGATTCCAAACCTCTCTCCTCTTCTCTTTCTCTTTGTGTTTTTCTTTGTGCTTGTCTGGGCTGCCGTTGCTGTGCTTCAGCTTCTCTTTGTCTCTGTATTTCTTCTCAGAGTGCTCCTTATGTTCACTGGAGCACACAGGTCACAGGAACCAGAGGTCAAGTGCAAGAAGTCATACGTAGTGCATGCACAAAGGACCTTATCAACACAGAACCAACTAACAGGAATATACATTTCTTCATCTAAAACATGCAATGCCAGCGTTCCAAACGATGATGGAGAATGTTATGGCTCTGCAATCATACTGACGATCACAAGAAATTACTACTGAAAAAAAGGAAAATAGAATATGTAGAATAGAATAATTTCTATGAGTGGGTTTGAAGGTTTCTATCAATTTAAATTAAATCAGCTGTATCCTGTGTGTCATATGTGTTAAATAGCCTGTCTCTTTTCTTTTTTCATTCAAGGAGCATCTATTATCAAATGTGTGAGCCTTGACTTCATCGTCATTGCTGAAGACTCATGTAAAACAGCTAGTTACTGATAAACCCTGCAGTCCTTATTCTAACGAAGTCTTTTATTCATACCTGTTGCTGTGCTTGGATTTCTCTCGCTCCTTGTCTTTCTTGTGATCTTTTTGCCTCTGTTCCCTCTCTTTGTGTTTCTCTTTTTGCTTTTGAGAATCTGAAATGCAATGGAAAGATCAATTTGAGCAGGAAAAACAAATGAAGTCTGAGCACAAAGTAAGTGGAATACATGGATGTATAGACTTGTTTGTCTTGATTTGGATGAGTTTAAGGTAATATTGTGTAACAGCCCAAAAAAGACAGCACACTACATTTGGGTGCTCACTCAGGAGACAAAGTCCCTTTCTTTCTTATTTCATGAAACCTTTGGTCCTTTATTTTTTTCCATACAAAAAAGTCCTGACAATTTAGTAAAGAAAAGCTGCTGGAAAACAGATCTCCATGAGAATAACATTCAACAGAGATACGCATAAACAAGGGACTTATCAGAGACACAAACGCACAGATGACATTGAAGTTTTCTAATCCAGGCAGAAAAAAAATCAGAAAATCAAAATATTTTAAACTAAAAGTTGCTCCGTGTCTACACCATTCAATAAATAACTGAGACAGGTAGGCAGCATTTTACTCATGGAATTGGTGGAGGTAGAGTTAGTTTGAATGTATTTTGGGGTAAAGTAATCTAAAACAAAGCAGGCCATTTCAGCAACTTGCCTTATCACTGTGTAATATGTAAAGGAAATAACTGAGGAAATACATCTACTTTAGAGTTATAATGAACCACAGCAGCTAAGCTACTAGGTATTACTTTTACCCTATACCTAAAGCACAGCATGTGGCATTGGTACAGTAAAATAAAACTTTGCTTCCCCAGTGGCATTGGTAGGAACTTTATTTTATTCAATAGCATTGTCCTAAAATATCATAACACCATCAATTAGTAAAAATAGTAAACAAGGGAGGTTTTATTGTAAGAAAAATAATTCTCACACACCCTTGCTGATGATGACCTGGACTGGAGACCTGGCCATTACTTTTACACAACATGGAATGGGAATTTAATAAAGTAGTTATCTACAGTTTTTTGCATGTCTTTATCCCACTTATACGCCAGATAAATGTCCATCAAACAGTGAAGCAAATTTGAAATTAAAATGTAAAATAAAAAAACTTTTAAAGTCTAACGTTCACTCCTGAGCAGGCTTCAATTGGATAAAACAAACAAACAGGGAATACAAGTGCTCACTAATGTAGTGCAACTTTTCTTATGGGGTGTAAAGTTTTGAACTCGACTACATTCCATGCTGGCAGCAAAGATAACGGTCTGTTTAAAGGAGATGGTGGTGAAGTGCAAGTGTTGGTGAGGCACGGGCACGCAGAGGCGATAATGACCCAGCTCAAGCCTCCATATCACGGCGGACAGTTGGCTCAGTGAGCGGCGCCCTGGATGCTACACTCAGAAAAAGAAAATGGCGCAGAGACTAAGTCCTCAGCCCCAATTCGGCCACTTTCGGCTCCAGAATTCTTCACAATTGCAGGCAAACATTGCCAAACCAAAGCATGAAGATTTAAGCCGACGCCAGCCACTTTCAGAAAATGCCATTAGCTTTAAAAAACGACTTTAATAAGGACACATTTCAGACCATCTTTTTGAACAATAGCCGCAAGAGAGTGGAGGAGAAGGGACTTAGTCTCTGGGACGCCATTTCTGTCCTTTAAAAACTAACAGTAGACAGGTAGGCATGATTACGATTAAAAATCAGAAAATATTATTTTAAAAACCCCGGCAAATGACCTACCGCTTCCTTTTGATCCACAGTTGACCTGAAAACGGGTAGAAAAGGTGTTTTTAATATTTCAATTTCAAAGATGCCGGTATCTCGGTTTTTCAAGTTTAAATTGACATAAAACTGTACCATGTAATTAGGTTATTTTTGCAAAACATCATGCTTGAGGAATTGAGCCTGACACTAAAAGAAAAGCCTAACTTCCAATAATAACTGACGGTTATTAACCGTAATTTCATATCCAAATGGTTATTACTGGGGTTGTCAGTTGTTGCGAATTAACTGATAAACACTATAGAAAAAATAAAGCCTATGGACCAACAGCTACCTGAGACTTTCCACGTCCATGATCTCCATTCATGGTCCGGTTGTTTTTGTTTGTGAATCGGGCAAAGTTAGCACAGTAGACGACTGTTAAAGATGCAACTGCAAAGGATGCGAGGTTCAGGGAACCCTTACTGACAGCCTGGAATGGAGTCCCAACGTTTAACCACTGCGCATGCTCAGCCATGTAACTCTTTACCAGGTCCTCATATGACCCATAATCCAGATATGTATTAAGTTAGTCTGTTTACATTATTTGGTTCACATATGATAGAACTTAAATGTAAAAGTTATCTTAAAGCAATAGAAGCAAATGTTTAAAAGTTTCAAATAAACATCTATTTTTATGTACTGGACTGTAAAACAATTAACCACAGTTGTTGGTAAAAATTAAAATTTTAAGAGTTACAATAGTCAACATGTTTTCACAGAACAAGAGCAGTAGAAAATTTAATTCCATTTTACAACATAATTATACAGTTATGGCAAGTTCATTATCAGTCTTCAAATGATTAATCCAGCATTTAATGCAAAAAGCACATTCACACAAACTTTATGGTCACATTCTAACTACAATCTCACATTATAGCATGGACAAAACAATAGCATCAATCTTTTTAAAACAGTCTGTACATGGTCTCTGCCTCCAGTGACTTTTCAGAATCTGGGTGAGAGAAACTTCTATCAACTGATTCACAATGGCAAACTAAAACATTTACAGTACAATTCACAGGCAACCACCACTGCAGTTGTGACTATTTAGATTTCCTTCTTTTGGCTTGCGTGGGGCTTGCTCCAGTTTCTGTGAAAAAATATTATAGAAGTATGTCAGTAAAAAGGGAATCAAGCATATATTATTTATGTCTAATGATTAGTAACATATATTTTAAAGTTGAGTCAGTGCTGGTATTACCTTTTACAGTAGTACTGGTCCCAGGTCTGGCCGATCTTTTCCGCATGCTGCTGTCTGCCGCTGGCTCCTCCTCCACCTCTTTCTCAGCTCGTGAGCTGCGTCTGCTTGGGCCCTTGGGTTTCTCCACAGCAGCTCTGGGAAAAGCAGAAAGAAAAACAACAAACGACGAGGAAAAACAAGACGCAGAGCCATTACAAACAAGCATGGGTGTTGATTAACTCTGTTCTACTCAGAGAAAGATATAATACCAATCAGGACTCTGCTGTTTTTCCTCGTCTACCACAGATACTGTCCATCTTCATCCCGACAGCAGCCACTTATCGACATGATCACTGCTTGTGTCTTTGCTACACAAACATGTTAAAATACATACCTTGGGACTAAGTTGATGGGCGTCTTTCTTTTCTTTGCCCATCTGTGATAGAAGTGGAAAAACAGCGGTAAACTAAAAAAAAGGGTGCTGAACAAACATAGCTTTAGCCCCCACCATATCCCAACTAACCCCAGGAAAAGAGATGTTGTCATAAATGACAGAGAGGTTACTCTTTTTTTTTTGTTGGTGAAATGCTGTTTTTTTCCCCTTTTCTTTTGGCATCTATTTGAATACTTATACAATGGCATGCTAATCATACATACCAACTGCCGAAGCCTTCATTCACCACGTACCCCCATGGGCAACCAAATGAACACCCTTAGTTTCAGTGGACCAACAAATGTCTACGCTTTTCCTCTTCAAAAGAATGAGTCTTAGGATTCAGTCAGCTTTTCAAAGATCAAAAAGCCATCAAACCATCACCAATACCAACAAACATTTACCCCTCCGCCAAGCAAGAAGCTAAACCGTACAGCATCTATAAAAAATTTATTCAACCTTTTCTTTTTCTTTTTAATTGAGTGAATCTTACCCTTGCTCAGAACCTGTTGGGACCTCTTCACCTAAACAAAAAAAAAAAACACTTACTGGATGCTATTCAGTGAAAAAGTTGCTCATGTTCAAATTCCCACAAATTTGTTAGTTTTTTATTTTTTCTAATATGGTATTTTACGACAAAGAATAGCTACACTTACTGGTCTTCTCCATGGCAACAGGTTCCTGAGAAGCTTCTGGTTGAGGAGGTGCTGGGGGTCGACATGACAATGTAATTAACTAATAGCATTAAGTATCTCAATAAAACATAAACCTGTATTCTGTGCAGTACTGTCTGTACAGCTGAAACCATATGAAGAAGCTTTGTTAAAGTATGTGGGCTTTTGAAAGAAGGCCTTTAACAAGCTTGTCAGTTCCAGTATCATACGCTACGATTGTTTTTTTTTCTCCCAGATTGCACATCTAACTCTTTCAACAATAAAATGTTAACAATACCTCTTGTGGTATTAGACGTGTTACTGGTTTCCAGCATTACATGGTGAGTTCTGGTTTGACTAAGGACCATGCTCAGAATACTAGCAATTTCTTGCTAACATGATATGAAACATGTGGACAATCACACTGTTCTCTGTACAGAAAACTTACCTTGAGCAGTCTGTATGGATTCAGCAGGTGCTGTTGCTGATGGTGTTATTGGTTCTGAAGCAGGAGCCTCACACTGACCTGGTGGAACTCCGCTGGGGTTAGCAACTGGGGAAGATGTGCTGTGAGGAGACTCAACGGGTCCAGGTTTGATTGGAACAATTGGAACAACAGATGGTACAGGACTTTGAACAGGAGCGATTGTAGAGAGCAAGGTACGGGAAGGAACCCCAGTGCCGGCACCAACTACAGTCACAACAGCAGCTTGGGAATTGACAGCCTGTGCTGGGCTTGAGATTGACACTGGTGCAACCAATGGAGCCTGACCAACTAACTGAGTAGCAACAGTAAGTTGGTTTGGAACGGGGAGTGGAGAAGAAGAAACTACAGGCAGAGTAACGTTTGAACTAACAGCAGTAGTATGAGGAGTTTGTGCCTCCGTCTGAATAGCTGGACTACCAGTATAAACCAAGACCTGAGGTGGGACAGCCCCTGTATGTACCTGTGGAGGCCTTTCTACAGTGTTTTGCTTTGAGTCATCTGCGCCAGAAACACATACAGCGACTGGTGCAGTCTTACTTTTCAGCTGGCCAGTAGGAGAAGGAGACATTGAAGTCTTTCTTATGGTGTTAATAGCTCCTGGACTAGAGCAAGGAGGTGGAGAGGCCAGAGAAGGCTGATAAGGAGATGATGCTGCAGAGCTTGGATGGGGAGATGGTTGACGGACTGGAATAGTAGATTTCTGAGAGGAACTTGTCTCAACTTGAGTTTCTGTTTTGACTGTCCCAGGGTTAACTTGCTGGGGAGCTAGGAGGGTACCAATCGGGGCTGATGAGGGCACAGTAGCGGCTATTTGGATTTGTCCAACAACACTTCTTGTGGGCTGGGTGCTGGCCATGTTAGCCCCTGAGGTCTGTGTGGTGCTTGAAGCGGGAGATAGTTGGATGTTTGCAGTGGACACCTGGATTGGCCCCACCATGGTGACGGACTGTGATACCACTGTTGTGCTGGGAGCCACAGAGGAACCTGGGACTTGGAAAAGTCCATTGATAAATACAGGGGTTGTGGTGATAAACTGTGGTCGAGTGCCAGGACTCTGTTGTCGGATGTCCTGAGGTCTAATGTTCTTGTTAGGGACAGCCACCATGGTGGAAACCATTGATGTGGGTGCCTGTGGAGTGGGGGCAGAAGTGATGGGATTAGAGGTGACAAATACTGTGATCTGGTTGGGGGTAATGGTGCTTGACGATGCAGGGATCTGTATGACTGAATGCACGCTTGTTACAGGTTTAAGACTAGGATTTGGTTTAAGAGCTGAAATGGTAGAGTTTACAGCAGAGCTGGAGACAGAACTGGTACTAATGGTTGAGGCAGAACTATTATGACTGGAAGAGACTGTATTCAGGCTTACACTTGGGGCAGCATTAGTGTTAGCATTAGCTGAGCTGCAGATGTTGGTACCTGGGTTTACATTTGGAATGGCATTGACAAGACCGGAGCTTGGGTTTTGGTTAAGACTAACAGTACTACTAGAGATTACATTAGTTGGAGGATGTGAGCTGGGAGCTGATGTAATCTGCAAGTTAGAGCTATTAGCGGGAATTGGGGCAACAGGTTTGGGTTTAGGCTCCGTTTCACTTACAGCAGAAACAGAAACGTTAGACACAGACTTATCTGTACCCTGGGAATTACTGTGCCTATCTGGATCCAGAGCAGACTTGGGATTGTCTTTTACAATGGCAACAGCATTACTCTGTGTGGGCCGAAGAGATGTGTTTGAAACACTTGTGTTATCCAGTAACTGATTGAGGGAGGTTGGAGCTGCTCTGAGAGCTGGTGAGACCTCAGAGTCCTGCACAGTTGTTGGGTGTGTTGACTGCTTTTCAGCTGTGCCAGTATGCATTTCCAAATCAGGCTTAGGTGGCTGAGGCGCAGGCAGACGAGGACTTGCCATTCTAGGGGTTGATAAAGTCTGTCCTGCGGGCTGAGGTTGGGGTATTTGCCGCTGCTCTGCAGTAATCATTCCTGAATTTTCCCTGGCCCCATCCGCAGGGTTACCATGAATCCCATGGATTGAACTTTGTGTCTGTTGTGCCTCGATTCCTCCACTCACTTGTGAAGGCAGAGATACTGGGTTTGGACTTGGAGGAACTGAGGAAGGACTAAGCATCATTGTTTGACCTTGAGGGTTTGCTGACTGCTGCTGGTGGGGAGGGCAAGCAACGGTCATTTTAGCCCCCTTTTGTCTACCTGGACTTGGAGTGGCTGACTTGCGACTAGAGGCTGGACTTGATCTCCGACTATTGCTTGGACTTGCCCTTTTATTCTGCCCTCCAGATTGCTTGTCCTGTTTAGCACCTGAAGCACCTACACCAGCACCAGAAGGGAATGACTGTTGATTGTTGTTAGCGTTATTTCCACCTGCATTGCCGTTGTTTCCTGTTAGAGTTAAGCTCGGGGGAGCCTGCCCAATGGCTTTTAGAGTTGTTGGGTTCAGACCTTGCTGATCAAATCCCCTGTTAAGGTTTGTCTGTCGTGGAGGCAGGGTAATGTTAATTTTTGGAGGAAACAAGCCTGCGATTGAAGCATTTAGCCGCTCAGGTGAAAGGTTAATCTCAGAAGGCTCTGTACTGGGTGGACGATTAGTTGGGGTAAGGGGATGGTGGTATGGCCTGGGGCTGGCTCTGTTGGGGGTTTTAGGTCTCGAGCTCTGTGAAGTTGTAGGGACGTTGGCGAAATGTAGGCCTGGCATGTGGCCTCCTTGCTGAGGCTGAGTGGGTAACTGTTGCTGGGGGCTGGCTGCGGTGTGTTGAGACATTTGCGCTGGACCAGGGCCTTGCTTCATCATCATGTGAGGATTGGAGCCTTGGCTGGTTACGATCTGCTGCGTTCCATTTCCAGACTGCACTCCAGATTCTGAGCCAGTTGGCCTGTCTTGCTTTGAGTGGGCACCAGCGGGGCCCTCCTCGGTTCCTGTTCCTTGGGGACCCTGCACAGCATCAGGATGGGACATTCTTCGAGCAGCTCCCGCAAGCTAGTAAAAGACAAAAACAAAACAAAACATTTGTTTCGAGTTTATTCACATGACAATATATTTCGGTGTGCTCAAAAGCCTAGCTTTTGGGATGAAATGTATATGTTAGTATTATCTCAATATTTAGCACTCACCTGCGGGTTTACCATCATGGGCATCCCTCTGGATTTGTCAGGTGAGGGTGGTACACCTCCATGTCCTTGAAGGCTGATCATTACAGGCATGTTGCCTTGTTGCGTTACAGGATGTCTTTGAACCTCTCCTGGATTACCCACACCTCGAGGAGGGAGCTGACCTCCTGGGGGAATGGGCATGCGATTCTTTGACTGCTCCTGCTGCATCTGTAGCATCATCATCATCTGCTGCTGCTGCTGCTGCTGTTGTTGTTGTTGTTGTTGCTGCTGCTAAAATGTAAAATGGGTTACACTTGTTAGTATGAAGGAAAAAGTGTAATGTATTGACACCAAACACCATGAAAGGTCATGAAATCACAACAGTACCTGCTGCTGCAGGTGTGGCTGCTGAGCCTGCTGCTGTTGCAGTTGATGAGGATGCATCTGAGGCTGCCCTTGACTTGATGCTTGCTGCCCTGTCATCCCTTGTTGTCCTTGAGTATTCTGAAGACCCTGCATCTGCATCATCTGTTGCTGTTGCTGCATTTGCTGTTGCTGTAGTTGTTGCTGTTGCATTTGCTGCTGCTGCATTTGATGTTGCATTTGCTGCTGATGCTGTATTTGTTGTTGCTGTATCTGCTGCTGTTGCATGTGCTGCATTTGTTGTTGTTGCTGCTGCTGCTGTTGTTGCTGCTGCTGTTGTATCTGCTGCTGTGGTTGCTGTTGCATAAACTGCATGGGTACCTGCTGCAGTACTCTTTGTTCTCCAGGTTGGCCAGGAAACCCTAGGTTGAAGTATAGTGAAGGTCATCCAAAAAGTACTTTGATTAGTACTTGGTAAATAAATAAAAAAGACATTAAACAACTGCAATAATCTAATAAATCAGCTATTTACCAGCGGGTCTGTTAGCAAAATCAGGGAGTTTCTGGCTTGGATTATCAACACTTAAACTTTGTTCAGCACCAAGATTTGGCAGTTCTGAATCGTCCATACTGGCAGCTGCATCAAGACCACTAAGAAGAGAGAATAAACGTGTCAATAATCAGAGAAACAGTAATACTACTGAAGTGTTCACCACAGCTAAAACTACACTTTTAAATCTAAAATGGTATTTACCCAAGCCCATCTACTTGCTGTTGCCCATCACCCTCTTTGGGTTTCTTTTTTCGTGGAGGTTTCTTCTTCTTGGGTTTGGCTGGATTCCCCCCACCTGTGCCCTGTTTCCCCCCTGGTCCAAACTGACTGGCTGAGATGTCACTCTGCAACAGATTAACTAGCAGTGGGCTAGTAAGTGTGACATCTTTGCTTACAGAAAAGCCACCCCCTTGTCCACAGGGTCCTCCAATTGGCATCTGACCTGGAAACTGTGAGTTGAAGTTCATGCCATGACCGGCAAAGTGTCCATTTCCCATCTGCATATGCTGAGGACCCCCCATCATGCCTTGCTGTTGTGGTCCCTGCATATCAGGCACCATCTGCTGCACACCTAAATCTCCGGTCCCACTATTCGGGTCTCCTATGGCATGTGGGTGTTGCTGGGCTGCCTGTTGTTGTTGCTGCTGTTGTTGTTGTTGCAACATTGCTTGCTGCTGCTGTTGTTGTTTTTGCTGCAGATGCTGCTGCTGTAGCTGTTGTTGCATAAGATGATGGCCAACTTGTAGTCTCATCTGCTGCCCATGCATGCCCATCGCTTGATTTGGATTACCAGCCACTGGAACCTGCTGAGGCGGTTGCTGGTTCATCTGTTGGTGTTGTTGTTGTTGCTGTTGTTGTAGTTGCTGCTGTTGCAACTGGTGCTGTTGTTGCTGTTGTAACTGTTGTTGCTGCTGCTGCAACTGCTGCTGCTGAAGCTGAACCATTTGTTGCTGCTGCTGTGGAGTCATTTGCTGTGGATTCATCTGCTGGGGGCCAACCTGGCCCTGGAACTGAGCCATGTTGCCTGAAACGTTTGGTGCGGGGCCACGCATCATCTGGCCAGGCATAACCCCAGCTGGAATTTTTCCTCCAAAGGTCTGCTTGTTTCCTTGTATCTGGTTAGCAACCATTTGTTCCATCATTGAATTTTGTTGTTGCTGCTGCAGGAGCATGGCCTGATGCCCTTGGCCTCCAACCATCTGACCCTGCCCATGCATCACCCCCTGGCCTTGCTGTGGCATCATCTGCTTAGGGGGGGTCATCCCTCCTCTCTGCCCTTGACCGATGGGCCTTGAAAGGACAGTCTGACCTCCACCCTGACCTTGAACCATCTGGCTGGGGGAGGAAGACACAGGCTGGGCCTGATGCTGGAGGCCCATCATCTGGGTCTGGAGGCCAGGCTGCTGCTGGCCCATACTAGGTCCAGCTGTCGTACCAGGGGGTGGACCTGCCATGCTACTTTGTACGCCCATAACATTGGGCTGAGCATGTGGTGGTCCCTGCATTGAGTTTGGTGTGGAGGGTGATGGCTGTGTTCCTGATGTAAAATGGGAAACCAAAGTTTAGAGAATAATTCAGAACGTTTCATACAAGTAACTAGCTGTTATGCAATCCACCAACACATGGTTAGATCAGATGACTGACCAATGAAAGCACCAAAACACATTTAAAAGTAAAAAGCACAAACCAAAATCAATCAATCCAAATATACTGTATTGTTTTGTTTTTAATTAATTTTGGCCTGAATTATTATGATCAATATATTATATTTAAATTGAAAAAAAATACTATTTTGATGCTGTAACATTTTATACATTTAAAATGTGTACATCTCAAAATCACATTATTCTTGCCCTTAGTTGGCTGCTGCAACTACTTGAGCATGTTACCAAATTTCAAAATCTGTGTTGCTTATGATGGAAACAACTAATTCCAATATGGAAATGCTGAACCATATGCATGCGTCACTGACAGAGATCCAAGTCTGCACCACAAACGCAATAATGACAGTGACAGAAATAGTTTAATACAAATATATAAATAGGGTATTACATTGTGTTTAAGCGCAAATTAATAAACAAACTTTCTTTGGAAAATAACATAGCAGGTGAGGTTTGTCCTTTCTGAAATCTTGACAGCAAAACAACTTTCCTGACTTTATAAAGCCACCACAGATCACTGTTTTGAGTACTGGGACTCAGTACCACAAATGGAACCCCTCACCTCTCCATCTGCTCCTATTATGAATTTATCATAAGTAGGAATGACCATAAATATCCAGTGTCTCACCCTAACTGTTGAATACCTGAGAATGTTTTTTTTACCTATGGAATACAAAAATGAATTATTCATTTGTTTCCAAACACAAATCATTCTAAAGTGGCAAAAATTCAAGTGAGTGTTACATTCTCATCACAGCTAATCAAATAACACAAATATTAAATAGTGATTCAAGTCACAAAGCAACTCAAAAAGGTCCACCTCCGTAATTGCTTACCTGTGTGAGTCATTGCTTGATTGCTCTGCAACTGCTGATTTGCTCCTCCAACAGAGGTCCCGGAAGTGCTGGCACTCACCTGACCTTGAACAAAGTTTGGGTTTGGAAAGCCCATGGGACGCTTTGCCATGCCTGTAATTAGTATTTAGGAATTTTGATGTCGGACCTTTAGTCATACAATAAAAAAACAGTCTGGGCATTTCAGTCAAACAAAAAACAGTTACTTACCTGGGTGAACTGGGGCCCCAGGCTGAGCATGTTGGGGCATTCCCATGAATCCTTGCTGCATGGTACCCTGTTGGCTGAGGGCTGCTCTTCCAGGTGAACCAACACCTTGGGGGAATCCCTGTGGAGTGGTAGGCCTCTGAGCCATCATGGGAGGTGTTCCTGGTGAACTCTGCTGAAAAGGAGATGAGGACGATCCAGGGGACTTGGCAGTGAGGTTGCCCTGTGGTCCAGAAGTTGATGGAAGGGGCGGAGGAGGTCTGGGTGGTCCCGTGACACCACCAGGGCCAGGTTGTTGGCCTTTAGGCTGAGGGGCAGCAAACTGACCCATTCCTGCCTGCTGTTGCTGCTGCAATTGTCCTTGTCCCATGGCATTGAATACCTGACCGGCCTGCTGACTACCAAAAGGATAAGGAGGAGGAGGATGATTGGGAGTCTGAACTGTAGCTAGGGAGGGTGGGCGCTGAACCATCTGGGCTTGGAGTGGGGGTTTTCTCCAAGCAGGGCCGCCTTGAGCGGTTTGTGGTTGTAAAACACCAGAAGACAACTGATTCCAGCCAGGAGGTACGACCATCTGTCCAGAAGGGTTGAATTGGGGCCTAGGTCCCAGTTGAGAGAGCTGAGCTTGCTGCTGGGCCTGCTGTTGTTGGTGGAGCTGCTGCAGTGCAGCCTGGTTTAGTGGTCTCCCAGCCTGCAGAGCCTGCATATGGTGGGCAGCTTGAGGGGGTATTGGACCGGAGGCATGAGGACCAGCCTGTTGGTGCTGAAGCTGCTGCTGTTGCTGCTGCTGTTGTTGTTGTTGTTGAACCGACATACCAGGCATCATTGGGTCCATCACATCTAGAGATTAAAGAAGTTTCAGTTACAGATCACTGGTAAATGTGAAATATATTTAGAGTCTCTGTATTCTTCTCTTTTTACACCCAAAAAGTAAAAACCTAAACCTGTTTGTGATGGTGGTCTCTGGATACGAGGATGCATCTGTCCACTGTTGCCTGGTAGCATATTCTGACCAACCATGGCAGGTCCAGGGGGAACCATTGATGGGTTTGCCATCCTTACCCCTGCTTATGCAAACACATTTTTAGTCAATAGCATCAGTGTTGAAGATAACTAAGACTAAAGAGCTACAATGACATTTGATTTTCTTGTCTTTTTTTTTTACTCATCTCCATACTAAAAAAAAGGACTATCCAAATTTAAAGTACCATCTACAGTTAATTCTAGTGATAAATCCAGCAAACCATTACCTGGACCAGATTGACCTGGAAATCCACCGTCCATTCTCATCTGACCAGGTGCACCAATTGGTCCATTCACCCTGACTTCTTGTCCTCTATTTGGTCCGACAGCAACATTGATAGCTCCCTCCCCTGAGCACGAAGAGAGTAAATAAAACTTAATTCACAGTCAGTACAAGCGGGACTTACTAGTTCCTACTTTTCTGAAAAACAGTCAACCAAAACTGTTCTGCTTCGAAGTCATGTGGAAACATAGTGCAGGCTGCACTGTTACCTTCTATCTGCACAGAGAGGATCCCCAGGTCTCTGAGCTGCTGCTGGTTGTTCTGGGCCAACAGTCTGAGTCGCTCAGCAGCATCCCGAGGAATGTTGAAGGTAACACGAACACTATTCCATGGCTCCACACGCTGTGGTTGCAGTTTATTAGACCCTGAAAAAAAAAATAATAATATATATATATATATATATATCATACTGATGTTGCAATTAGGTCATACATTTATGTATTTAATCTCCATAAAACCAAATCCTTTTATCTAAATTCCCACTCAAGCCAACATTGTGACATTCAACAATTTTTACGGAATTCAACTCTTGTATCATGATCTGCAGCAGATGTGAGGGGTATTTGTTCTCCTCTTCAGCCTCAGTGAGCATAGTGGAACACTAACCAATTTTCAAAATTCTACACTTTCAAGTTGGGGAGCTATTCCAAATCAGAGCTTATCTCTTAACAACAAAACAAGGAAACTGTGGCCATTAGTAGTTTTTCAACGGACAAGAAGCTCACACAGAGTCAGGTGGATGATGAGGAGCGGCATAACTTCATCATAGATGCACTCTCTAACTTATCCTCTACACGGTGATAGTCATTTTAAGACGTGCAATTTTTGTGAAGAAATTCCATGGAATTATTTTTCATATGTCAACAAAGAAATATAAAATAATACAATCACCATCACAGACAACTACAGTCGTTTTATTTTGCATTTAAAAATCATTTGTAAATCTTTTTCCAAATTAATAAAGGAAAGAATGGAACTTACCCATATCAAGGATGTTCGGTATGCCACTTAGAACCGTGTCAAGTTTATGAGTGAAGTCCTCATCTTTCATGTTTCCTTGAAAGGCAACAAAGATGGTAAAGTCCTCTCCCTCCCCAGGAGGGTTGTTGTTTTCTTCCAAGCCATCCTGCTCCTCATTTTTATTCTCTACTGTTGAAGTGTTTTTATGGCAGCTGTCAGCATCTTCCCCTGCGTCCTCATCGACACCAGAATCCCTGTCAGGTTCATCATCAGGCTCCAAGTACTCCATCTTCTGGGACATCTCAGGTGGGTTATGTTGACGTGCCATCCTGCCCTTGAGCTAGGAGTGGCGTCCGAACCGTTTTATGCTGCAATCACATTTTTTTAATTGACACAGACAGCAATACCATCTTTTAAAACGGTGCCACAGCAGATAAACCACTATAAAATGGTAAAATGTCATTGCAGACCGATATAGACCAGATGCTGGAGCATTCAGAGATGAAAAAGAGCATTCAGACAGTTCTGATCATTTCAGTGAAACTACATAGGAAAATGACATAACGCTGGAACATAGTGAGCACACCTGTACCCGCCGTTAATCTGTGAGTTGTAACATAATAATAGACTTCAGAAGATTCAATTGGTGGTAAATTCATCTAATTTCTCATGTGAGAAATTATCGACCCAATTTCGAGTTAAAGAGCAAGAAGTCTGTTCCACCAACCGATGATCAGCTCGGTTAAAATGATCGGCCCGGCAGGAGCACGGGCCTTGACACAAGCAAATCTACCATACAGCGAACATGTTCCGCAGAAAGAACCCTGTCCAATTTCCTATACCGTAATGCATTTTGAAGCCAATGCAAGCAACACTTGGATCCTAAATGTACTCGGTCGCAAAGATAGGAATAACAACACTAAACGAACGCAGAAGCGGTTCCTGCTGGCTTCTGAGAGCGCCCCCGTTAGCAACTGTTAGCTACCATAGCTGGTTAGCACAGCAGGTAATTTGTTACGAATGCGCTCCAGCCTGCGTCTTAGCTTGCAAACTTGCTATGCGTTAAATCCCTACGGTTTATCATAATTAAAGAGAATAGAGAAAAGGTTAATTCCTTACCACATATAATAATCGGATAGTAAGTTCAACCGGTCGACATCGGCTTGCTAGAATGGCTAACAAAACATGAATCTCACGAGCAACCGAACAGAACGTTAAAACTTCCGGTGGGAGTTTGCAAAATAAAATGGACTGAGGAAGGAGCATCTTCGACTTCGTGATTAACACCAGTTATTGAATTAAAGTTGTGCATAGGAAAGATGCTAAAAATAACAGGATATATTTCAGCTGTATTCTAATTTTAAGTTGATCAACTGAAAAAAATGTACTCAACTGGAATTAAAACTGGGTTTACATTTTTACAGGACAGTTTTTCCTAAGAATAACTATTTTAAAAAACAGAAAAATACCTCGGCTCAATTTCAAAGTCTAACTAACGGGGGCGAAAGGAGACACATTTATCATTATATGGATGTGTGCAAACATTTTATTTCTTGGATCTGATAAGAGCTGACTTTTTATGAAAATCAGATATCAAATCAAAATGGGATCTATTATCAGGTGTGCAAATATGTGCCTTAAGGCGTGGTACTCTACAGTACTGAACACAAGCATAGACAGTCATATTACACTGGTACCTAACAAAACACCATAGGATCATCAACCTCAGTATGATTGGCATTTTTCCTTGGAGCGCAAAATTCTACAAACGCTTTTTGTTTTTACCCCAAATATTTAACATAATAAAATTACATAAGTACACATGATAAAAAGCATATATTTCTAAAATATGTGTCTCATCTGATACAACATAAATAGTCATGCAGGCAGTCAAATCAAATGTTCATAGAAAAATAGACATTACATTCAGTCCATTAAAAAAAAAAATCCAACAATTCTATTATACTCTAGCAAGTATAAACTGCACATAAAAAAACTTAATTCACAAGATGGTAAAGTCATGCTACAACTTAATTCTAAAAATATATTCTAATATAACTGCCAAATAATTACTGATATTTAAAACCAGTTAAAATCAGTGAAATCATCTTACTAAAAATAATCAAACTAAGATGTGAAGGTGTTATCACATTTTTAGTGATCACGTTTTGTGTCAGTCTCCACATGGTCCCAAGAAATCATTGACTGACTGCAACAGTTAAAGCTCCAGTAGCTGTAGCGAACAACATGTAATCACGATCAAACACTGTACAAAAGAAGCTGAGGAGTAAATGTGTTTGGTTATAGGATGGCCGTGTACAGTCGTGATGGTGCAAGGCTCAATCCCTGGTGTGAACCATTCCACAAGATCTTGCCTAGCATTTTGAAGTGCATTTGAAGTGCAGTGCAAACATAAAAAAAACAGTGGCTCAATTGCACTGAACATCATGCAAGTGTTAAAATTAATTTACTGTATAATGTATTTTTTTTCCATAACAGCCCATCTTGCAAAAATATTAATTTATTCCCCAGTAACTTGTTGTAAAATATCTCAATAAACTGGTAACTTATGACCACAGTCATAAGTTAATTTCTCTTGTGAAAGAAACTGGAATGCATTGCATTAACTCATGATCATGCCTAGATATCTGTACCCTTCTCTGCATCATTCCAAGCAGCAGACTCATAATTGAGAAGCCACTCAGGGGATGGACATAAAATTGAAGCACTCTGTACACTGCGACTGGATGAGGGTGTGAGGAGGGTAAGAGGGCATAAGAGGTATGTCCTGTGGATTAGTGCAGACAAATCCATTATTTTAAGATGAGTCATATCAAACCAGTTTGTTCTATCAACTCATCAACACCTTCCAATCTTTCTTAACTAATAACCTCTTAGTCTTGGTCCTGCAATGTGATGTCAGTTTTGGATCAGGGCAGGGCTAAGGCATGTCAGACATAGTGAGGGCGGAGGCATCGGCACTACGGGGGTCCTTCACCCCAATGATGAGGTCATTGGTTCTCCGTGTGCCCTCCACCAATGAAAGTACATCCATCCTCTCAACTTTGTGCCCTTTGGCCAGCAGCAGCTCCACATCATCCTCTAAAAACTCAGCTGAAGAGCAGGAAGAGGAGGAGAGAGAGGAGAAGGGAGGGTGGTGTGAGGTTAAGATAGTTTTCACCCATCAAATGTAACAACAAAAGTCTTAGTGGCTATCAGATCTGTGAGTTAAAGAGGGTGTTGTATTTGAGGCCTAAAGCTCACCCAGCAGTAACTGATTTCACACTTCACACACATTTCTGTCCTGTTCCAGCTCATTTAGGCATAAGAAGTTTGTTTGCAGATTACTCTTCAAACTACAGAAGTCAGGAGGTTTTATTGTTCCATGGTAAGCGCACACCTGGCACCCGTGTTTTTGTTAGCTACAGACATGGTTGCTGCTGGCTGTGCAACCCATTTACTATTTGCATACTGTCCACAAAAGGTAAGCCGTAAGCATGGGGACAGGGCGGTGAACACTGAGTTTATGACAGCAAAGAGGAACTGGGCTGGGTGGCTGAAGACAATAAAAAAAAAACATTTGCCTCAGTTGGATTTTTTTTCCCCCTACACATTAACAAAGGTTTAACAAAAGCATTATTACTTAAATGTCCCTGTATTTTTTAGAACAAAACCATAGAGAAAGTAGCAAGACAAACTCACAGTCCACCAGGAGGGTGTTGGGTTGCAGCTGTGGGTGGAGCCTTCCATATGCCAAACTGTCACTCATGTTCTTACGAGAGGACAGAACATTCATCAGCACCTGTGCAGGATACGAACAAGACCCATATCTTAATGACACAAACTGAATAAATGAACATTTGTGAAGAAAACTGGAAATGTCATCTGACTTTAAGAGAGCAAATTCATCATTGCTGTTCTTAATTAGCAATATAACCTGTGTGATGCCACTGAGAGCTTTTTCTCCATTGGACGATCCAACAGCCACGTAAGTGCCACATAACCCCACAGCTGGCCTCACTACAGTGGGCATCAGGAAAGACATGGGTCTCTTTCCTGGCTGGAGGCTGTTATGCTGCAGCAAAAGAGAACAAAAACTCTGAGCAATAAGTAATGCTGCCACAAAATGATCTTTAATAAATCATTTAATATTTTAAAAAAGAAACAGTAGAAGGGGGTTATTACCGGGTTAGGTGAGGAGTTGAGTGATTTATTAGACCAAGAGAAGTCCAGAATCTGACTATTCAAAAGGATTCCAGATGGAGTCACTATCCCACTGCCGAATGGTCTGTTTAAGGAGCTACATCACAAGCAAAAGTTAAATGAATTTATAAGTTGTGAATGACGTTGATGTCTTTTTGAAAAAAAAAGTTTAATCTGTTCAAATTACCTCATTACTGACACAATGTGGTCATCTGGGCCCATGACCATGACCTGAGCAGCTGCTGCAGCATCCTCCAGAGTGAAGGACGGCGTGTAATGGCTGACAGGGAATGCCTGAGAGTCGTTGATCTTCTCACGGAGTAGGGAAGCCTGTGATTTACTAGAAGAAGGGAATATCAAAATGGCAGCTTCAATGGCGCTGTCTGCATTGGCCTGGAACAGATTTATACTTTAAGCATTCTGTGATGTCGGTGCCTCGATGAGTGATCTCTACCTCAACATCTTGACAACGATCTCTGAGACTGCAGCGTCGTACATCGGGTCGCCCAGCCCACTGGCCAGAGCCAAAGCTATTTTCACAGCCTGGAGGAATAATAAAAAAATAGATTTAGTTAGGCTGGGTAGTGTAAAGTATTTCTGGATAATCAGTGTCTTACATGGCTGTGTGAACACTGTTAGTTTGGGGAGGCAGGGTGGAGTTCTGCCGCCCTGCCTTTAGGATAAACTAAATTCTACTCGAAACAGGGAAGGGTGAAGAATGATATTTTATCTGTTTTCTACCATACAAAATCACCTTTAAATGTCATAACGATAATAGCTCACTTACTTGGAGGAAGCCTATTCTGGGTATTAGCTTTGCTGACTGCCGCCTACGTAGAGACACTCAGTTCTAGTAGTAATGCTGTTTAGTGGTTAACAGTTAAGGTATTACCTCTGCAATCCAGTGGTAGGTGCTGTTCCTGGGCACCTGGCTGGTAATGTTGTAGCCTTCAAGAATATTGAGAGCAGTGATCAAGGCAACACCTGCATGTGGGGCTGGGGAAGCCATCACATGATGTCCTTTTGAAAAACCAACAGGTCAGATTATTACCTCAGAAAAAAATTAACAATAAAATACTTAATGGGTCCTATAAACTCAACATTGTGTAAGGTTAAATGTGCTTGGTGTGCTTGACCAAATTTCCATTTGTCTGATATGGGTTAGGGTCCATTATAAAGCATGCCGAGTTAACTGGTGCTGTATTTACCCTGATAGGTGATTTCTGCTGGCTTTTGTAGGACTGTGCTGTAGTTTGCAAAATCCTCCTCAGTCAGCACACCGCCTTTTGCTTGCACCTATCAGAAACATTGATGCGTTAAACTGTTTGTATCCTTGAAGATAACTAATCTGAGACAAGCAGGCTAAACCCCGTCTGAACGGGTTAATTCTAGAGCTGAGCTCAACTTAAAGTCTGCAATTTGTTAGAGAGTGTAAAAGCACATCATATAATGCAAAGCAATGAGAGCAACCCCACTAGCCTGGCAAACAGCAGCCGGCTGTTCAGGAATGGTAGGAGGCTTATTCTATACTTGCATTTATAGACACATTATCGGTGGTGTGATAACAAAAGCTCTTTTCAGACAGCAGTCATGCTGTTTGTGTGTAAAGAAAAAGAAAACAAACCAGTAGCTAAGCACCATGTCGATGCACACATTCAAGCAATTTGTGAATTCCTATACGATCAGAGTAAAAACAGTCTTCCTTACTGCAGCTGCCATTTCCTGCGCCAGATGCCCACTGTAGAATTCGGACACTCCTTTATCTGCGACCGCATCCAAAACAGCTGCTAAATCAAGCCGGCGGGAGAACAGGCCAGAAAGTGGGGCCTGGTTGTTCGGGAGGAACAGATCCCGAAATGCTTCCGACACGTTTTGGTTCTTAACTTTGGAGAGAGCTTCAGCTGCGCCGGGAGAGGAGAAAGCAGATGAGCTGGCAGCTAAAATTAGTATGCCTTCAACTTGTGTTGTTTTGGAGCAGCGCGCAGACTGCGGGATGAAGCTGTGAGCTTTTAGAGTACTCTATACTTACCCAAGTCATGAGTAACGTTAAACCCATTTCTGGCCACATTTGCTGCCATGGTAACAACATCCTTCCACGGCATCCTGCAGAAATCAAAGACCCCATTCAAATAGATGCTCTCAGAACCAAATAAGTGATAATTAAAAATGCAATTGGCTTTTTTTCCCCTTAAGACAACATAATTTCAAATTAAATTAGATAAGACATTCGTCAAAAGAAAGAAGCTAAAAATCGGAAAAAATTTAATCAAAGTTAAAAAAATAAAATGGAAATAAAAATATTCATAATGTGCAAGAGCGAGAAAAAAAAAGGATTTCTTGCAGCACCTTCCATACAGCTGATGCGCCTGATGCAGCCCACTGAGCATGCCTGGGACTCCCACAAGAACGCCAACCTAAACAACAAAAAAAGGATATCATCATATCATAATACAGTGCTACAGTTTCTCATTGGTAAGAAACCAAATTTCTCTTTGGGGATACATAAAGCAATCTATCTGTCTACTTGCATTAGCATCGAGGTCGGTAAGCAGCATGTCTTCGTGGATGGCAGACGGAGCCGTCTCTCTGAAGTCAACCACTCTCGTCTCATTCTTACGGATGTTGTGCACCAACATAACACCCCCGCTATACAACCACAGAACACAAAAATCGTATCCAAGCAAGTCTAGGGACATCAGCTAGGGACAGGGCTGACTGGCTCATTTGAGCCTGTAACTCACCCTCCTATACCAGAGGTGTGAGGGTGGACAATCCCCAAACACAGAGCAGCGGCGATGGCTGCGTCCACACTGGATCCCAGCTTCCCCAGGACTTCGAACCCGAGAGACGTACACTGGGCCACATCCGTCACCACTGCTCCTTGGTTAAAGATCTTGCCAAATAAAACAGGAAAGCCAAAGGTAACAGAGCCACATTTCATACACCTAAAGGGGCATGGCGTATGTGGGTGGCACAGCATGTGGAACTGCCCATAATCTCATAATGACACGTTAGAGAAAAGCAAGATTGCAACACTGTATAAAGTAGGCAGAGAGCACACACACAAACTCTTACCTGGGGATCTCCAAAGTATATCTGCATTATGAGGGCTACGGTGACCCCTGTAGCGAAGGTAAGACAGGCCGTGATGATGACCGTCAGCCCGTCCCGCTGGCAGGCGCAGCCCTCATTGAAGGGGTCCGTCCTGGTCTCCCGAAGTGAGGCGATGTCATGGCTGGCCAGGTCAGAAGCTGAGGACGGGAGCCGCTGGAGGCGGGCCGACTTCAGAAACAGATCTGGGTCTGGTGTGCCACATGCAAAACACAACTTACATTGAGTGGAAAGCCGAGCAACAGCAGCTCTGTTCGACAACAAATAAAGTCAGTTCAACAGATTCCAATTTGACCCACTCTTAAAAGAAAGAAAAACATTTCTGAGTGCATGGAGTTAAAAAGTTACTACCTCCACCATCTGAGAATGAGTTTGCCATGTCTGACTGACCTGTGTCTTGTTCACTAAGGACGTTGTCATCATCCTTGCGGGATTTCAGGGTGTTTTCCCCAGACATGGCATCATCCTCGGGCAGCCGTGGGAAGCTGGTGATGCTCATGTAGTCCACGGGGGAGTAGGCGCTGCCCAGCGTTGTCTCCGGGTTAGCATCTTTGTCCACCCCACTTCCACTCGGGTACCCTGCCACAATTTCTGGGGCCGGGTTTTGCATGACTGATGTTGATCTGATAAAGGCTGTTATCTAACTCTGATTTGAGGAGTTAGGCCAAGGTATCCATCCTCCCAGCTCTGGGAGTCTGAGATAGTGAGCTACACTTTTGCCCGAGTCAAAATGAAGAGGGTAAAAAAACAGGAAAATTCTACTATCCACTCAAGTACCACTAATATGTCCTTTTTGTTTTTGTTTTTCAGGACTGACCTATTTGACTAGATGCGATCCTTAATGTCCAATAATATCACAGCTCTCCAGCAGAGATGTGCACCATTCACCCTTATGATCCCCGTCTTTGGACTTGTAGCTCAAATGACGGTGCATTTTCAGCCACCTGGAAATAAAACAGAATGCAGTTTCTCTGTAATAACTTTCCCGCAAAAGCCAACCCATCTTGTTCTACCGCTCTAGGAGGCATGCCTTCACATATACACATATATCTATCTGTACATATATGTATGCGACACAAATATAGCCCACGTGTGTCTGTTAGCTATTATCTGTTGTAAATATAATAAGCAATCGGCATTATTACGCGTTCAAACCCAGGTACATATCCAGCCTCCGCGCTCCTGCTAATTTGCTGCCCTGTTTTTTTACTGCGCAGCCCGAAGCTAACGCATCTCTGCTCATTTGAGATTTTTTTAAAAGCGTAAAGCTTTCGTAGTCTTACTTACCGCGGCCGTGGGTGAACTGTATTGAGATGAAAACCTTCCCTGGCTATGGGGCTTTGTTTTTTTCTCTCGCCGAGCAGGTGATTTGGGCGGACGGAGCTCGCTGTCATCAGAGCCTCGGAATCACTCACAGCGCAGCCCAGCGAAGCTAGCCTCACACTGCAGCACCGGACAACCGGTAGGACTTGTCAGGGCCAGGGGCATAGCTGGAATTCAAACCCTTACCTCTGAGTATAGCTTCGAACATGACCAAAAGGAGGGGCTCAATTATAGTTATAGCTCATAGTGAATACGCCTAAGCTACACATATTGTTACTGGATTAAATGCTCGGCCATGGACCAATATCAGACTTACTTCATTAGGAGGGTGTGAGGCCTTTAAGGCGCATCGAATTCTCCAGCACTGAAGAGCACAGATCTTAAGCTGTTGAGCGCTTCCTCTTTATAACCTCTACGGCCTCACCTCTGCGTTTGCACCGCTCGGACTGTGACACTCCCACCCCCACTGAGTATTAGTTAACTGGGTGGAGCGGACAAACAGGTCATATCAGGTGCATTGAAACCTGCCCAACTTAAAATCCTCCTACCTTTAAATCGTATTGTCTCCTTATTCCACAGCCTTCTGTTCCGGATGGAACCAAATCCGGTGACAACGTTAAAACTGTCATTGAATGATCAAACATTTTTACCCGCTTTTTCCTCTGAAATAGAGGGCAGTTTTAGGGAAGCAAGGCGTCTTGTGCCTTCTGCTAAGCAAGTAGTCAACCTCAGTGATGCATTAGTGTGTTGACATCTTTCCTCTGGTCAGATCTCCTGTGTTTATTAAGTAAATGAAGTCAGTGCTGTGCCTTGGAACAACATGCCTAAATTAAGGCCACAGTCTGTGTTTACAGTTCATTACCACACCCGTCTGAATACTTCTGCTTAAAATAACTGTTGTCTCCAGGGTAGTGAGTGGTAGAATGTAACTCAATGTAACATGTAACTTTTAAATAGCTTTAAAAACGTAAATGCCTTCAATAAAAATGTTTTTATTACACTTTAATAGAAGTGTAATAAAGCCTAAATCAGACGTTTCCAGTGCCCGAGAGTTGGGCCTCTAAAACAATCTGAAATATGGCTAGTTATTATATGGTTAAATGATAGTAAACTTGCTGTGATATGATACTTAATGAAAATACATATCCATAACACTAAATAGCTTTGGTCTGCAGTATAACGGTTTGTGCCTACATATATATTATTGGCTAACATTTTTCTCCTTTGACTTAAATGCACTGTTAAATGTAAGAAAGTGCAGCTTTCCTCTTGCTTTCCCGCACGGAAGAAATTACACAAGATTCAGGTGTTAACCTGAATATTTATTGTAGTTGGTATTGTTCAGTTTATTAATTTTTTTCATGATCCGTTTATCATTTATATCTTTATTTATATTTTGGTGGGTACCTGTGATTTCTCTGTAGGGATGCTGGAAAACCCATCTGTTGATTTTTGCATAGGTCTTGCCTTTTCACTGGACAACAGTCCACATTGGGGATGGAAAATCAATACATCACAAAAACCATGCAGATATAGAGTGAAAGGCACAATCACCAAAGATACACCAAATTGTATATGTCTATATATCTCTTTTTATGAGGCTGGGGGGTGGTTTTTACTAATTCGAGATGTAACATGAGTGAAACCCCAAGTCTTAATGAGCTGCCATAATTCCAGTGCACGACATAAAACAGAATAAACCTTCCAGACATTAAATGCCTTTAGTTTCAAACCCTCTATTATTATAGAATTCTAGTAACTATCTGGAAAGATACAAGCATTTCTATTGTGTTTCAATAATAAGTTTAATTTCCTTTTGTAGAACTATTTGTCTACTGCCTCATTTTGTCCTCGTCCACATTCCCCTCATATCCTATAGGTATGACATACTGCCCCGTGTAATTGGTCAGTTTTGGGTGAGTTCTACTGTTAAATAACATATTTGAAAAATCAAACAAAACATACACGTTACATTTTTTTTGTTGCAGGAAGTGGGTGGTGGGGGTGGGGTTGGGGGGGGGGGCAAGTGGTCAGCAGCAGAGGTATGTGTGGTGATTCTGCATGCATGCACATCCACTTTTAATCTGTTTTTAATACTCTATCCTCACTCTTCACACACTATTTTCTGACGCACAAACTAACTTTTACCTCTCAGGCGCAGCTTTAATGAATTCCAGAGAAGTGTGGAGGCTTAATGTTCACGTGTCACACCTCAGTCACACATCTGCACTTAACGATTAAACTAGATAAATCATAATAATCTTTCAACAAAAAAAGAGATAATATTCATAATCGTGTAATAAATTAGCATTTTTTCAATGAGCATATCTATTCATGAGATTACTGATAGAAAAATAAAAACTGATCAAACTAAATGAATTCATCCCAGAAATCTCATTGAAATAAATTAATCTCACTCATTCCGGCGATCAAATCAATCCCAACGACAATCAAGCAGAAATTAATCCAGAGACTCATTTTCTGAACACACTAGGTGTTGAAATCATGGTACTGGGATTTCTCTGGCATTCATGCTGCAGGCGCTGTGCTAAGTGGACCCTCTGGAGGGCAATGTTTGCCTATGGCACGTCAACCTCGAGTCTAGTGCTGTTCTTATGGTGTAGATGGTGTATCTCAGTATGGCATGATGGACATTGGGGTAAAGACATCACTTTTGGCCATTCAGATGCCCTTCTGGTTTGATAAAGAGCGTACAGGCTCGCCGGACAGCGGATTTTTTCATCTGTCCAATTGGACACCATTCTGTGGACACAAGTCCTGAGAGGCTTTGACATCTAACAGAGCATTGGAAATGGTTTTGTAATATTTACAGGAGGAAAAAAAGACCAACATTGATGCTTTTTTTTTTTCAAACAGAGAATTTCTACCATTTGACGTGGCAGTATGCCTTCTCACACAGTCAGATCAAAAGAAAAAGAAAAAAAGAACACAAAAGAAAACCCCCAAAACAAGCACACAGCACACTGCTAAAACTTTGACCCACAAAATATATGACAGTGCAAACTTACATCCATGTCCCAAATAATTTACAAACATTAGTATACACTTCAGCACCATTGTTTACTATTGTTGTTGAATACATATCAGTTAGATAAATCTTTAAAGTGGACTCTGCTAGAACTGGATGTTTGGACAACGAAGAGATCGATGGTCAGAGATGTGAGCAATGGTTCACATGTCCATGAGCAAGATGATGTTGTTAGATGTGTTCATATGGGAGAGGATGCTTGTTGTGAAGCATTAAGAAGGCATTTCCTCCCCTTTCTCTAAACGGTCTGCTCCTATAAAGGTTTTCGTTGACCCCATGGATAGCATCAGACCTCTTTGAGTGGAACTTTGCAAAAAAGAGACATATACTCAGAGACAAAAGAAATCAGTGCAACAAAACAAATTAAAGAGTTGCCATCCACACCGCTTTGTACTTCCTGTGACCCACCATGCCTTGTAACCTAAAGACAAGCCCTTCAAACTGCACTTAATGCATGATCCTCCTTTGTGGGCTAAAATGTTATTGTGGCCCATGCAAGGAAGGGCTGATCAGCAGGCTACATTACACGCCTCATTATTCCCTCCTTATCATACTGCCCTGTCCTAATTAATCATATCATTTCTTTACTCTTTAGTCTGTTTTGCACATTCTCTCTCCATCTTCTACTTGCTCTTTTCCTTCTCACAGGGGAGGGGAAACTCACAACATTTTGATTCATCTGTCTCACATTTCCTCCCACTTTCAGTGATGACAGACCAAACTGAACAGAAACAAATGTGTGAACTCCTTTTCACCCTTGCCACTCACGGTATATTCTATGTCATCTTCTGAGTAAAAATAATTTAAATAAAACAACCATGAATGTAAAGCTTTAAAGACACATTGAGCTGTTTTTTTTTTAATGTAAACTGATACTAAGGCTGATTTTGTCTCTGTTTTGCATTGTCTCTACCAGAATAGCCTTCACTCTCCAAAATTTACACAGGAGCTACAATGAATGACTTTGAAAGAAGAAAAAACACAGCTTTAGAAGCAAAAAAATAAAACAATCATTTAACTTTTTGTGGTTTTTCAGGTATTATAATTACCATTTATAAACTGAAGACATATCATGAAGCCTTTTTTTTTTTAGTTAGTTAGTTTTTTTGGTTAAAGTAAGGAACAACAAGGAGGATATGATAAAGGTCTACGATAAGCACCTGGTTGATAACGGCAAATGGGTTTAAACTACCTGAAGGAGTCAGGTTAAACAAAAACCTGCTGATCTACTGGTATCTGGGTGAAATATGACATAATACGTGGAAATGAAAGCAAATGTGATGTTGATGAACTTGTCTAATAATGTGATTCTTGAGTTACTTCGCATACTAATGCCCTCGCAGTAAACAAAGCCCCATGCTTTTTCTGGAGAGTTTAGTGGCAGAAGTTACGCTTGCTGGGCTGGTGAAGGTAGGTGTTCCTGGCGTGTGCTGCGTGGCGAGGGACCTGCTCCCTCGTGCGGTTTTGACGTTGGATGTGATTGCGGCTCAGATGGCGCCGCTCCATGCGAGCTTTGCAGCGTTGGACCCTGGCCACTTGGGTGACCTTGGCCAGAGGCCCGGCCTGGGCGGCTGCTCCACGGCTCACCCTGGTGGGCATAGTGCTGCGTGGAGCCGGGGGAGAGGCCTGTTCAGCCACTCGGCTGCAAAATGAGACAAAAACAGTGGAACTCTTGGTTTTCTGAAGCAGGTGAAGGTTGTGTGGGGCATCCGTTTAAAAGGCTCACCTCACACTGCTTGCCAAGTTGATATTTTCCTCTCCAACCATAGACAGATTGCTGTTAGAGAGCATGGACAGGTTGTTTGACGAGACGTAAACAGACATGCTGGGGTGCTCTATGAGCAGGTCTTCCATCGGGCTGGCCTCCGCTGTGGCTCCCTCTGCAGTGAAACAGGGGGGAGGGGTGACAAACCAGCTCTCATCCATGCAACCTCTCTCTGAGCCTGCCCCACTGGTACCCCCGCTGCCCCCACACTCACTCCCAGAGCCTGGGGACACTGACGGTGTGGAGGAGGGCGTGGACAGTCTGGCCCGTCTTGGCAGGCTTACAGGTGCTGTGGCGCCCAGATTTGTTGGGCTAATACTTGGGCAAGACAAGGGGTCCGATGGTGGGACTGCACCCCGGGCCCGATTTTTTTGTGTTCTGCGACGCTTGCGTGGTGGGTGGGGAACGAGGTCTTGACATTCAGTCCTTGAGTGTGTATTTTGGGGATCAGATAGGTTACTGTCAGGGAATGATTGTGCATTAAGTGGAGACCCCGTCTCATCCTCCTCCCGCCTCATGCAATCAGGCTCTTCTGAGTGAGTGCATGGTAGGGATGAGATAAGGGAGGAGACGACCAATGAGGGCAGGTATTTCAGATCGGAGGGGGTGTTGCAAACATTGTTTTGCAAATGTGGAAGATTTTTTCAAAAAACCATGCAGGAAGGAGAGGGCGATTTTAAAGAGACCACATACGCACGCGCATACATACCAGTGTGGGGAATGTTAGGGTGTTTTAAAAAATCGGAGGAGGGAAAGGAGAGGGGGTAAGGAAACACAAAACATAAGAGTCACATCATTAGTTGTGTTGACCCTCTGCGGTTGTGATTATGTCAGTGACATTGTTTGTCATGATTCTGCAAAGAGGAACTTTTACGTTCTGCTATTTGATTGGCCCCCAAACAGGCAGCAACGAAAATGTTTATACTTGATCATTGTCTTAGTCATGATCACATCATAAACCAAGTGGGAGGAGATGGATGTTAACAGGTATATTTGTGTGTCTGTGATTTGACGCACACGCAGTCATTTGGCAGCTGTGTGGACCAGCAGCTGTGCCACACCCAGACTGACTCTTCACCCTACTCCATCATCCCCATAAAGTACCTCCTCTCCTCATATGTTAGTCAAAACTCTACACATGCTAGAGAAAATGCAGCTATTTCTTATTCTGTAACACATGGCACAGAGTTAAGATTACACACCAGGCCCACCCTGTCCTCTCAGACTCACCTGCTAGGTTGACCATCATCCATCCCTCTTCGTCGGCCTCTGTCACACATGGATTGGGTCCCTTCAGCTCAGCTGCCACTTCTTCCACCTCTCCAAACAACAGGTTGCTAAGACGCTGAAACATTGCTGCTTGTTTTATCGAGTGTTGATTGCCGTAGTAATTTCAGTCAACCACGAACAAAAAGCTATAGCTGCCTTTGTGATTTGAAAAAAAGTTGTAATTCTATGCTGTTCGGTTGCCTGGTTTTTCTGAGTTTTCTACTCCACTTGAAGCTCCTTTCTTGATGTTGAGTTTGACAAACAGGATTGAACAGGCTTCTGTAGTGCAATATAAGGTTTCACTTGGTTTGGAACAAAGGCCTGCGGAGAGGGAGGGAGAGAAAAATATTAAGTATTCTGTGTAAAAGTGCTCCACTGTAAATCTACTTTTCTTTGAAAACCACATTTTAAAACAGAGGTCTCTTCTAAAGTTTCTTACAAACTGCTTTTTCAATTTTCACAGGATAAAAAGAGTGAGAACTCTGTGTACTAAGAGTTTCACAATACATGTTGCATCAGTTTTGAACTGTTGGCCTATACTTGAAAAATGAAAAAAAAAAGCTCAGAACCATTTGTAATGATTCCAATGATTAACTTTGATGAGCTATTAATCTCTAATAAAAGATAATAATTTGAAGTAGATAAGAATATGTAAGTAAGGAACATTATTTTGTTATTGTCAGCTTGATTTTCCGTTTGTAGTCTCAGATGATCTGCTATGCTTAATTTGGCTTTTCTGACAACAGTTGTATGTTAAATAAAACAGGTGGAATATTTTGACATATGAGCTGAAAGCAGACAAAAGATTAACTTTTGTGAGCTTTATATCCATATCCTGGGAACAAAGGATTAATCCTAATCAACATGGGATGTCAAGAATTACAGGAGTGAATATAAAACAGAACAAATACTTAAAAGCTCAAAAGATTGTGTAGTAAGCGATGTCACATATATCTGTCAGTGCACATGTTCATCAAAGTACAAAATCTGACTATGAAAGAATCAATTTAACAGCTTAAAAAAAAACTAGAGTAGGTGCATAAATGATTTTACCTAATCACACATTTCAGCTGACGTCTAAATGTTGGGAATCACACAGTGACAGCCATACGAAACACAAACCTTGATCATGCCATAGTATTTAGAAAAACCTATTATGGTTCAATAAGCAAGGAGCTTGTAGACAACGATTTAACTCCCTTCCCTCATTTGATCTAGATGACCAGGCTGGACAGTGCAGGGACAGAAGGAAAGGTAAGAGAAGAGGAAGGGATGGAGGACCTGATACAAAGTCATAAAAACAGGCAGCCTTCTAAAACAAAATGCAAAGTAGGTCAAACATCTACTGGAGGAAATGTGCCTGACTTTGACACAAGCGTAATGATATATAATGTCAAACAGATATTTGAACTGTCAAAGTGAACCAAAAAAGCCTGGACATGTTCAAAAGTCAGAATTTATCTACCAAACTTGAGCTCAATTAGACACCAACAAACTATACCCACATACACTCAGTAGGGACCAAAAAAAAAAGCCCTCTGCTGATAAAAATGGATGTTATCAGTTTGGAGACTGAAAGCCAATTCAGAGCTGACTGACTGGTGTAAATATAACCTCTGATACTGGAAAGGATACATGTCTTTTTATGGGTCTTCACAGAGCGTTTGTTTGATCAAATCAAAATCCATCTCTAATGAGAAACAAATGTTGCTTAATTTTGAAAATCTTTCAATGAAGGGAACCTAGCATTTATCTATAATTTGGTGCTTTGGCAAATCAAGGGGCTGATGATGTAATACATTATAATCTTGCTTGGTCCTCTGCAGTTAATTGCACATCCCTGGACCCCATTTTTGTCTTTGGAGACTTTTAAAAAAGACCACAAACTATGGGCCCACTATGTGGGTGTGCAGAATTGTTGCTGCTTTTCTGTTCTGTTGGTATCATTCCCTCCGGGTAAACTGTGTCATGATCATCCCTCATCTGTTAGCATTAGCATTGCCTTCCGGTGCCAGAGTGCTTCAAAGTAGACATATGTAATCTAAAATATAAGCACAGAAAGCTTTTCAACTGAGCAGTGACCCGTCAGAGCAGTGGGAGGAGAGAAAGGAGTGGGGTGGGCGGAGATCAGCCAAATAAAAACAAGACGCCGATGACGTCACGTTCGGGACGCTGACCTAGAGGCTCGAGCCTTTTTTTGTGACTGGAAGCGTAAAAAATAAAAAAAAGAAAGCAAAGAAGAGGTCTATACATCAAACCGTATTGCAACATACAAAACCTTGTGATGTCTGTTTACAGCCTACACAAGATCCTCCATTTTCTTCCCATTTCCCCTGAACAGTCCGTATGTGAATGGCTGCTGCCGCCTATGTTTATCGTCTTCTACCCTTATGAAGCAATTGCTGCCAACGGCACTAATGTTTACATGTCAAATACACAGATATCCTCCCTTCTTGGTGTTTAAATACAACATTAAACTCGACAATAGGGGAGTTTCCAGCGGAGAGAAGACGTGACTTTGTAGGGTATCCAGGTTAGACATGAATTATCCCTATAAGCTCCACAGCTGAAGGGTCAGAGCAATGACATTTGTGGCTCAGAGACACCACACGAAAGACATCGGCTGGATAATCTTGCAATGCATTTTTACCAGTGACTACACCGTCCTTTGCGGGTAAGGAAAAAAGGGGAGAAAAAACTGCGTCCCTCGACAGGCTCAGCAGACGCACAAAACCCCAACATCCGCGTTCTGCTCCACATCAGCGTTTGGTGCAATTCGCAAAACAGCCGCCGCTCGGCTATGCAGGACAGGGCCGTTTCGGGAATATAGGACGTCGAATCGACCTAGATAAGACCGTTTAATTCGGACGGAGACACTGCTTTCAAAACTGCTCATGTCCTAAGAATAGAACATCATCGGTCAGTATAACGCACAGCAGCCAACAGCCCATCATATGTAATGGGTCACCGACGGACAAAGAAATACAATTCCGTGATGATCTTTGGTTTCAGGACACTAGACTGGTCGACGTATATCTGACGGACGTTTTCTGTGAGTAAATAAACCAGGACTGCGGCATAGGTTGGCTGACAAAATGTAGTTTGATGCCTCTGGACGGCGCAGTATGAGAGCAAACACAGCGACAAATAGATCTGGAGAAAAAACAAGAACATCTTACCTGCCTTTGAAGTAATATTCAAGTTGTAAACGAGATCTCACACACAGTAGAAACGACAACTCTTAAAGCATAGCTTTAGATAGCCTTTATGTGAGGTAGTTAAAACACCATTATACAAAAATAATAGGCTTTCTTCTTAGAAGAAGGGCTTCGTGTAAATATGTTACACGGCTGTTTTTAGATCATAACATCTGCAGCTTTTCCCTTCGCTCCCCTTTTTTTTTTTTTCCTCTGCTGCAGATTTTCGTCTGTTTATTGCTGCCTCCAGCTGATCCTCGGATCAGAATGTAGAACGTACAAAACAGCTGATTGTGAGATCACAACATCCTTAACCACGCCCCCTTCCACGCCCACTCTGACCCAAACCGACCAACCAGAATATTACACCCGCCACAGGCTGGTCCTCTCCAGGCAACAGGGTGGGGGCAGGGCAGGAGGAGCTGTCAATCTGCACCGGCTGGACACTGGGAACGGGACCTGATCCCTGACCAGCCGCAACTTTCAACAGCCGGGGTCTTCTCAGAACATGCCTCAGGGGGAGCAACTGACCCAGAGTCTGCTCACTAAGCTTCATGTACAGCCAAAGGGTTGTCAACATTTGATCAAATGGTAACGTTGACTTGGATTGAATCCATTTGACAGAAAGAAAAATGACAGAGACCGTGTTGACAGACTTTGTATTTACATCCTGGCGTTATTCTGGAGCACAGACAGTGCTCTCTCTTTAATATATAAATAGATGGAGGCTATAAAATATGTTAAATAGCTTTACTCAGTTGTCATCTTTCTAATCAAGTGACAAAAAAATGGCAGGTCAGATTTTTTTAGGCCTCAAATATTACAATAAATACATTTTTGAAAGCAGGTTAGTTCCCTTTGCCAAATGAGGCTCATGATGTAACTTTAAATTGTATATGTAAATGGATCCCATTCCCCTCCCCCTCAGCATCAGTCTTTTCATTCGGCCTTGATGGGAGGGAACTAGATGTGCTTCTCAAAGTATACTAGCCAATCGTGTTTGTGTATTCTGAATGCAGTATTTGTGCAGCCAATAGGCTTGCTGGTTGTTTAGAACTCCTGGTGGTAATTTCTGATCCCTGCAGTCTGAGTCTCTGCTGCCTTTTATTGTTGCAGATTACTCAAACTGGTGACTGCTCACATAATCGTACATGACCTTTTGCCTGAACAAGGTGACAGATAATTGTTTGTGTTTTCTCTCCAGAGGTTTACTTAAAGTGTCCACATTTGTGCACCTGCCTGCATGCTGCCAGGGATTTCTGCAGTGAAACCTCAAGAAAGAAGGGAACAACAATTTCTCAGACAGGCCGTAAACATTTCTTCATGTGACATTTTTTTTACATGAACATAAACACATAAACAAACAAATAAAACACAGAAACCCCTCATGCTTTGATAAGGAATTGTGTCAGTTTCCTTGGTATTCCTGTCATTCACAGGCAGACTTTGACATGTTACCGCCACACCGGTGAGAGTCCACAGCCAGAGCTCAGTGTGATCTTACTAAAGTCAAGATGATAAGGTTTCGACCTATACAGTTACCAGGTGCTAGGCAACTCAACACACAAGCACCCACATTCACCCTGAAGTGATGATGACACCCACCCCCTGTGACACACTGAACACAAACATTTAGCGAGAACACTATGTGCATCTGAGCTTCTCCTGATGTTTGTCCTATCAAGCTAATCAGGAGAAGTTCCAGACCTGGCAGGACTTGCCATTTCACGTCCTTGTGGCGTGTGCTATCATGCCAGTAGCTACCTAATAATATTCAACAGATAAATGTCAAGGTAGATGCCACCACCACATGTTGTGAAAACTGCTGCAGCCTGACTAACTTCAACAAAGACACAGGAAAAGGAGAGGTTATGGTTTCCTGCAGACACCCTCTTTTTTTTTTCTATTCCCTAATCCACGCTGGAGCTGTTCCCGAAGTTGTCCGGCTTAACAGGAGTCCCACATTTTTCCAAGATGTTTGAAAAAGTAGGTGAAAGGTCAAAGCCATGCCTTTCACTTCTCTCCTGGCGTCCGTTCACGTTTGTGGATGCGGCAGTTCATGTCTAACCTGTCCTTGGCCGTGGCCCACACCGGTATCTATGGCATGAGAGCAACGAAGCCATTCTGCTCCTGCAGTAAATTCAATTATTTTGTGTGTGCAGGGGTGATGGTGGGGTGACGGGCAAGTTGACATGCAAGATCGACAAATTGCCCCTGCCCTGTTTAAAAGAAATGCCAATCACCATAGGGATAACAGCCACAGGAAAACACTATCATAAGTTCATAAAACTACGATGGTTCAATCGACCAAGACCCATGGTCTGTCCTATGGCTCACATAAAACAAGCACAACATTGCCAACCCTAGAAACTTTCTGTCTCAAAGTGAAGCTGAAGAACTGGCATTGACATAACCGACATATTAATTATTGGGCCGTGTCGATTATTCTCGGAGAAGCCTCCAGCTAATCCACAATGTGGCAGCAAGAGCCCTGATTAGAGGGAGAATATTTGAACTTCCCCTCAGTTGGCCCCTGTAAAATTCAGGACTAAATTGACAAATTTCCCTTCAAATATAAATTTCCTGATGATTGATCTCTGACAGGTCAACATTTTCCCAGCACAGCTCTTCGCCCTCAAGATTCAGGTTTAATTCTGGTTGCAAGAGTTTCTAAAAGTAGAACGGGAGGCAGAGCCTTCAGTTATCAGTCTCCCCTCCTGTGGAACCAGCTGCTAGTGTGCATCCGGTACACAGACACCCACGCTATCTGTAAAATTAGACGAAATGGTCCATTTGATGGAATTGCCTTCTATTTTGGTGGGCTGTGTCTTCAGTTTTTTTTTTGGGAAAGCGATGGCCAGCAGGGGAACCTCCCATTATCCACAGATCTCCTCTGTCCACTTGGCTGTCTTTACTCTCCATGTATGTACATGTTGTTATTGCTGCTAGTTACTTTGTGTTGCTTTTGTCTAACCTTTCTTTTCCACAGCAAGTGGGCCTGGATTTAATGTTTTCTGTTTGACTGTGTCCTGTCCTCTAACCTTCTGACTGAATGAGGTGCATGACTTGCAGAAAATAAAAAGGAAGTCACTACAGATCTTTTGCAAATGGTACTGTCTTTAAATGGGAGACACTAATGGATGAACAGAGTTAGAACAAAATATTAAGAAGAATTCATTGAAATGTATTTACATTACAAGCTGTTACACAATGTGGGACATACTTTCAATCCAGTAAGATTTCTACACCTACTTGTATATACATGTGTATCTTCTCTCGGGTCTCTCCGCTCTTGCTTTTCTGTCTGCAAGCTGGTGATAAGACGGCAACCCATAAAGATATGAGGACCTCCTTGTGTCGCCACAATCAATACTGCCAATAAAAACAAGTTAAATAGAGTTAGTAGGCTTTGTATAAAAAAAAACATTTTTTGGGGAGTTGTATTTAGATAATATAATGTGTGTTTAGCAGTAGTTTCGTATTTGATATTTTAAGATGTTCAAATGTGTGATTAGATGTGTCTCCTGTCCGGGTGTTGAGAGGAGAAAAAAACAAGGAAAGGGTGTAATTTACAAGTTTTCTCCTAATTTTATTCCCACATATTAAAGCAACTCTAAATTCCAAACCAAAGTCAGAGCCATTTCGATACAGTCTACTTTAACGAGAAGACATCTGTGGCCTCAGATAAAGAATCCCTTTCTGCATCTCATATTGCCTGCAGCACTCTCCGGGTCCCAGATAGCCCCCACCGCCACCAGCATAACACCAGCATAACACCATCATGTAATCTTTGTATCATATTCATTACTCGGTGCAGACAGCATGGTGTCTGCTACCAATCTAATGTCACACAATAGCAGAGCTAATATCAGCTGTATTTTGCCCCTTAGGTAAGCGTATTTGTTGAGCTCAGGAGAAATGTTGTCTTTATTTCATAAACTCTCCAAAGATCTTCATTCCCTGGATCTGTCCCTACAAGGCCAGGACAGCCGGGGTCTGGAGGCAGTGTCCTTGGCATGGGTGCACGGACAGATAAACAGAGCTGGAGTGGACTGGCTGTGCTCTCCGGAGGGACAAAACAAGACTCTGATTCGGTCTTCCCTGGAGAGCTTAACGAGGAGAGCTATTTCAAATTCCCCAAAAGGATTAGCCGACTTTGCTACATTGCTGAACAAGTTTTGGACATAAATTGAGCTTTTTAAAAATGTCAGATTGTCATTAAGTTACCATTTATTTTTCACTGAGTAGGGAGAGGAACCAAGTTCTTAGACAGATGTGTCCGCAGACTGTAAACAAAACATGAACTGCTGGCTAAAAATAGCACTAACAAAGAATTTGATTGAAAAAATCATATCTTATCAAATATCCAACTGTTTATGTCAGAAGTTTTCATTGTTCTATAATGTTCTTCATAATTACTGGAAATTGATCTTAGACAGGACGGTAAAACAAGGTAAATCTGTAACTTTACATTACGTAACTGACGACCAGCCCAGTCCGAATATGTGTGTAGTGAACATTTATTTTTTATAAGTGTCCGGAAACCGAGCGTGACAGGGGATGTAGCTCAGTGGTAGAGCGCATGCTTTGCATGTATGAGGCCCCGGGTTCAATCCCCGGCATCTCCACTTCTTTTCTTTTCTGGCACAACAATCTCAATCTCGCATGGCAACATTCTCGATAGTGAAAAACACTTTTACTTTCTTAGCTCAATTTTGCGATGGCTATAGATAGACACAGCTATGAAAATGGTCCTGTTAATATATAAGGCGATAAAGTGGCTCTCACTCCCATGACTGTAAACTTCAGTCGTTTTCCGACAAGATTAACCAAACATAACCAAGGCTACTTTAAAGTATCTGACAGAATTACGTTTCATGCAACGCTGTTTCTTACTATGAGGGCGAATTAGTTAAATGCTTTGGCCCCCATACTGTATAATGTTTAATAGTAAACCCTTTAACAATGAGCTTTCATGATGCATCTGGAAAATGTTTAGGTGATCTGTTGCAGCTAAGTCACGGGCTGTTTGTCATTGTTATCAAAACAGAGCGCTGCTAATATCTGGAGCTGTCTTTATGTCTGTAATATTTCCATAAGCTTTACTGAGGGTAAAACACCGACTCGTACGACTGACAAACATAACTGGTCTTGGCTCGCCCCCTAGCGGTTTACCTGAGTAAATACTTTTCCATTCACAATGTGACCAAAGGGTGGCGCCACCTCAGAGTTTATTCCATTCTTATCCGTTTTGCTTCTGTGAAACACAGCATGAATTTGAGAGGTTAAGGTAGAAAAGCATTTTTCTGACAGCAATTCAGTTTGAAATATCTGTGTGGCTAGCATTACTATTTCTTAAAGCGGAATAAAAATGGGGATATTAATGATTTGCACCACTCTGAATATTGCCTAAAATTTCTATTAATTTCTAGACATCATATTTTTTCAGTTAAGATCTTTTTAGTTGTATGGTCTGTAAGACATATAAGGCTATGGATACCAAGAATACAAAAAAGTAAAGCCAGAATACTTCAGATCAACAAACTAATAAATATTACCAGTTAATTTGTATCAAAATGTTCATCCTCTCCAAACTATAATAAGGTGAAAATTAAGTAGTAGATTCATCACCTTGCATAGAAACGGTAAATGTTTCCATCTGTTCAATTTAAGAGGGTGTTTACCCATCGCTCATCCGGTTCTTTTATCTAATGTTTGTCCAGTCCATCATTGAGCACTCAACTGAAGGAAAATATAATATGTGCTGTCAATTGTCACTTGCTTATAAATTAGTAAAAAACACATGCATTTGGTGGGTAAACTAATATATATATACACCTCGTCTGTCTGTAAAAGCCTAACTAAATTAATTTGTATTATAATATGTTATATTCTCTGTTGTTTCAGTTTTGAATTAAGTGTCTTATAGAGAATCAAAGCATGAAACATTTGCCTCCTATAAACTAAACTGGCCAACATGAAGCCATCGTTCAATTTGAATTGTTGGCTGGTTCTATCATCAAAGCATACTTAAATACCCAAAATGGAGGGGAATGTGCTCAAACTACAAAGCATTTTTAGGCTATATGGCCATCAAGTGTTCTTCCAGGATAATCTTATCTTCTTTCTGGTGATTCTACTGGACCTCTGAACTGTAGGGCAACACACATACACCAGTCTTTATGTAGAAACACGTAAACAGACATGTGATGGTGAAATTCTGGAAACAAATGGTACACATCAGACACAATCTCATGACTTCATTTTTCAGTTCTGCTATTTGGTTGAGAGTAAGATAAATAAAGTATAAAAAGTTCTTTTTCATCAATATTTTTAAACAGTCTATATTGACATGCAAAACTGGGAGTCTATACAAATATTCAAGCCCAGAATGCCTTTAAATTAACAGGTCTGGCAGAGAAATCATATCATACACTTCTGTTTCAGATTCGAGTACAAGTATGGTAATACATCTATTGTAGCCTTTAAATCATCATAAATACAAAGAGTGCTTGCCTCACTCAGCCTGCCTAAACATTTAATGTAAATGTGCCCAAGTGGTCGTTACCTGTCCTGTGTCTGCTATGAACAGTAACAATGCAGATAACCGATCAAAGGCCATCAAGTACTTTTTCAAATGGAAAACCTGGCTTTTGGCTGAAATTGGCCAAAAATGTGCACCACCACAATGGGTGTTGGGGGGATGGTGCTGCCTCCATTCAAACAAAGACGGTTCAAAAGTCCAAACTAGAAAGTAACATTCAAAATTAATGTTGGCATAGAATATGCTGAGCCTGTATTTGTATTTTTTATCATGAGGATATGTTCTGATGAGATTTGATATGAATAATTCAAATTAGATCTTAGTATCTAAACTATCAAAATAGACTTAAGTAACTTTTCTCCTTTTTCCAGAGATTTGCATCAAGTGCATTTCTACAGAAGAAGTGAAGATGGAACAAATCATTCAGCAAATTCCTTGTCAAACAGATCTCTGCTTCATCTTTCTTCTTTGTGTTTCCCTAATTTCCAGTCTTATTCTGCTGCTTTGTATCAGGAGCTGGTGCGTTCAGCTCTCCGGGATATGTGAGATACCGGACCGGTCTGACCATTTCTGAGTGCCCTTTTACTCAGCTCTCAAAAATGAGGACTTATTGCAAAATATGTTTGTGATGTTGCCACTTGCAAACAGGGAAACTTTAATCCTGTTCATTTACGCTAATGTCTTTCTTTTTAGATAGTCTTTAGATTTCTGCTGGACATGAATCAAGCCACAAGTCCAGGAAAGTCACTTCAGATGTTTAGGTATTTCCCTCCCATGAACACTCAACTACGAGTAAATAAAAAAGAGAGCATAAATAGTGGGTTAAAGCTCTAATGAAAATATTGCACATTGATGAGTCCAGCATTTAATTAGTCCAAAAAGGGGTCAGTCTAAGAAAAGCCATACATTTTTTGACAGGGCCAAGCAATTTGTAAGCAATAAAACCCAATGATGAAGAAAGAAGGCGACAAGTAAAGTGTCTGTGACCTGATCTATGGAATTATTGATTTGTTTTTGCCCAGATGTTTGTATGCTCACCATCTGTGTCTCACAGTCAGCTTCTGAAGCAGCTACATTTCGGGTCATTTTTCAGGGTTTCTGTGAGAACAGCGGCTTGTTTATCTCTGGAGGCCACGGAGCAGGGGACATCTGTTCCAAGCAGGAAAATGTTCATGTCTCCATGTCCTCAGTGTGTCACTGGGTCACCCCAACCTGTTGTAACACACATTGTCTGCGGTCTACCCCACAGACAAACTGCCATCAACCAAAGTGCAAATTCAGCTGTTTTCACTCTTACTTTGTTGAGAAAGAGAGGTCAGGGGGATGTTTCACATTGTCACTCTGCAGTCTGGATGGAGAAATTATCATTAGAAAAAAACCTGGCACACCTATTATACCCTTGATGTTTTAAAAAAAAAATGTATTTCCGATTTCCACCCAACGAAGTGTTTAATCACAGAAGCATTGATTACTTTCACGTGTGTCTTGCTATTTGCTTTTGCTGTTGTCCTGCCCTGGTGACCCTCAGTCTACGTGGCGTCAAGCACCCTAACGACGTGTGAACTTTTGGGCATGCCATGACAATGGCGCCTTTAGACAGGTGCATACAGCCCCATCAGCCGGCAGCACTCATGCCGGAGAGCATATGACTTTCTTTAAAATGCTAAGCAGCCCCACTGTGCAGACTCAGACATTCCTCCCTGATGGTTGGCACCTGACGTTCAAACTCGCAGCGTTTGTGCGCCATTTGGCACCAAGTGCATATTCAGCTCTGTTCCGCGCCCAGCTCCAAAGAGTTCCAAATAAACTCTATAAAAAATACACTCATAAATAATAGGAATAAACAGAAGACACTGAATTCGTACGGGAGACTAAATACGTTCCACGACTCCACAAGTACTGGAAGTTAGAGAGAGGGGAGGGCTGCTCCATGCTCATTTCCCCTCTGAGTGGCGGCTGCATTTCATGGCACCTGAAGGCTTTTTCAGCATCGTAATGTTCCCGATGACCCGCCGAATTTAACCCGATTTCATGCTGCGAGCAGCCCCGGGGGAACAGTGCTGCTTTTATTCAAACTGACTCATTCCCTGCAGAGAGAGAAGGAGAGACGCGACTAGTTGGGATGAATTGGGCAGTCTGTGCTGAATGGAGTCGAGAGAACAAGTCATTTGTCTCCTTCTCAGAAGTTCTCCCTCACATCAATCGGCGTTAAAGACTGGAGCCGCAGGCACGAAGGACTCCAGAGGCACCATATAATGTCATATTGACCTGTATGAATGGGAAGAATTGTGAGAGTGACAAAAGCAAAATCTCAGGATATTGCAAAACTTTTCTCCCCCATAATTTACAACAGGAGCCGGTAGAGGACGCTCCGTCTTATTTAGGCAAACTTTTAACCACAATGTGTGATGAACCTTGAAGTGAACGTCTCATCTGCTTTTTTGCGTTGGCAGGACATTCTCTGATTGGCGGCATTTAGTGTCTAAAGCGTTTCACAATGATATATATGTACTTTAGTGAGATGTTTAGAGCTATATTCATCAGAGCCCGGAAATTCATAATTAGATGTGCGCTTTAAACAGGATTGGGGCACTCGGGGCACCTGTGGTGAGGAGGGATGGTGACGCCTCGGCGTGCGGGGTGTGACTTTAGGCAGAGTTCCGCCCACCCACTCCGCTACTTCTCCCTCCTATATGAGGAGGTCAACTTCAACAGGATGCGTTCAACAGCGCGGGTCGTGGGCTTTAACCTTTGCAGTTTGCAGTCTCTGTGACTCTGGAATCTACCGCTGTCTGAAGCGCATTTTGGAGCAGCGCCACTTGGTTGTGGCAATTACTCTTTTAATAATCACCCGGAAAAAGAAGCAACAAAAAAAAAAAACTAGAGCTCATCATGCCACGATCATTTCTTGTCAAGAAGTATTTTTCCACCAAGAAGCCTCATTACCGAGAGAGCCAACTTGAGAGCCAAACTGGTAAGCTTTGTTCCCTTCTTTCTCTCTCTCTTTCGAGAATTGGATTGGCTTGCAAAGTTAATCACAAAGCCAAGCGTGTGATGTGATTGTCACACATCAGTCTCATGTAGCCTGCAGGATTGAAGGAAAAGTGTAGTCAGTGTGCAGCCAACTGGAAAATGTGTTGATGAAAAAGCTTGTTTGTCTGTGGTGAATGCAAGCTGCAATAGGAGACCAAGAATGAAAACAAATTTAGCCTTTATCAGATTATCTGCTCCGTTAACTATCAAACCCATCTGACTTGATCCACTTTGTTGTCCAGCTTTTGTCCCCGAAAGCTTTCCACGGGCTGAACTTCCAACCCTGGACACCGGCTCTGCGCTGACCTGCCATCCCACCGGCCCTGTTTACACCAGTGCGGACACGCCGCCCCCCCCACTCTCCCCCGTGGCCCCGGTGTCTCTGCCTCTTTCCCTGCTGAACCCTCTGGACCTCAGCAGCTCTCCCTCCAGCAGCAGCGGGGAGGAGGACGAAGACGGGGGACGCACGTCGGACCCCCCCAGCCCAGATGTGATCCAGCACGTCTACCACTGTCCGCACTGCAAAAAGAGCTTCACCAGCCTCTCGGCCCTCTCCCACCACCAGCTGTCCCACCACCAGCTCCCCCCCTGCGTTCCGCCGCAGCACGCGCCTTCCTTGCCTGCGGAGATCTCTGCGCGCCCGGCCTTCCATTGCAAACACTGTCCCAAAGAGTACACCAGTTTGGGAGCCCTGAAGATGCACATCCGTTCGCACACCCTGCCCTGCGTGTGCCCCACCTGTGGGAAGGCTTTCTCCAGGCCGTGGCTGCTCAGGGGACACATTCGCACACACACAGGTACGTCCTACATAGTCATATTATGTCAGACTGTTGATTTCTACACTTCCATTGTATCCATTGCTTTCCATTGCTTCAGCTGGTTGCGCCTTGTTCCCACTGATACTCACTGATGTGTGAGCAAATGTTATTGATGACCACACTCTGTTGAATCTCTCAAGCGCAGTTGGTCTGCATGGTTAAAAAAAAGGTAGCCTATAAGTGTTCCTGCTCTTTTATGGCCTATCTGTAGATCATTTGATAAGAGGATGACTTCAATTCTTGCGGCCTGTTGTGTTTGTGTTAAACGTTTTGCTGGTGCTAACGGTTTTTCTCTCTCTCTCTCAACAAGGTGAACGACCCTTTGCCTGTCAGCACTGCAACCGGGCCTTTGCCGATCGCTCAAACCTGCGCGCCCACCTGCAAACACACTCGGAGGTGAAGAAGTACCAGTGCGGCTCCTGCTCCCGGACGTTCAGCCGCATGTCCCTGCTGCACAAACACAGTGCCTCCGGGTGCTGTTCGGCCTCATAGACTGACATTCCCTGGACCAGGTTCCAGTTTACACTGCTTGCTGGTGCTGTTTACTCTGATGAAAGCCAACTGACATAATACTTTGGGAGATTGACACTAAAGTCATAGAGAGCAGCTTTTGTTTTTATGATGTGACTTCTTAAGTGCCTTGTTTTTATTCAGTTGATGATTTGAGGGTCACGCTGGTATTTGCAGTTATTCTGTGCTCCGTCTTGTCATCCGAGTGTGTTCTGAGGGCAGCTGGACATGCAGTTAATTCCCAGGAAACTCCGTTGGTGCCGGCCGGTCCGGGACTGTGGCCATTTTGCAGCTGCTTGGGTGTGTTTGTGTGTATGCGAGGATGTCATTCCTCACTACACTATACATACATGATGTGTGGGTGTTGAGACAGCTGTCTGTGCATGGTGCACCGTGGAGGCAGGGCGCTGAGAGACATGCTAGCCTCAACCTTGACGACAGGTGACAGCCACCCCCGCTCTGGTCGCCCTTCCTCTCGCCACAGACAGTCGCGCATGTTCTGGAAGATGAAATGACCATTTGTACTTGACCAAAAAAGTTGCCTTTACTGATACTGTTCTATTTTAGTCTGAATTACATTTTGACATGCTTTTTGAGACTGTTTTTGATGTGATCTGAAGTTTTTATGAGCTATTTTGGTTTCCAGATGATGTATTTTTTCCCCCTGGCATTTGTAAATAAAACTATTTAAAAAAAAAATGTTTTTCTTGTCCTCAATGTTTAGTGTTATTTCAACAGGCATTGTATTGACGTACAAATTTAATTAGGACGGCCCTGACAGTTTGTGAATGGGAAGACAGAGCTTTGCGCTGTTGTATAGGTCGGTGCATGTTAGGGGGAGCTGGGATAGGTTTGTATGATGATGAGTGATAAGGGGAACACCTGCACACACCTGCCAGGCTGTCGGGACAAATGGAGAATACATGCCAAGGAGGGAGGGGGGAGCACGGGATAAGTGCAGCTGGGAGGATAATGGTAGGTAACCAGAAACTGGATGAGGATGGTGAACAAAAATATCTAGATGGAGGGGAGATTTTTTCCTCTGGAAGATGAGTGTATAATGTGGTGTGTTGGAATCCTACTGTGCAGTAGTGTTCACCAATCTAGTCAGTGCGTTCAGCATTGGTTGAATTCTTGTCCCCTTGTCGAAAGTCTGCATTCATGCAGATGAGGCTGGAAATGTAGGGTGCACACACAGCAACAATGTGTCTCCAAGCTGACTGCCCCCCTGACCCCCACACAGCCTGACGCCAGCATGTCTTAGTGAGGTAACATAGGGTTTCCTCCAATAGCTCTTAGTGTGTAGAGGCGCACGTGTGTGTGTGAGTGTGTGTGCGTATATGTTGGCTGGGGGTTAAGGAGACTCAAAAAAACTTGAGATCAAATTGCATGACTTAGCTTATCCAGTGTAAACAGCACCCCAAAGGACAGGCAAACAAACACAAACCTTCTGGATAAAGAAGCTGACTTTGATCAGGAGGGATTATTTTCAGTTGCTTGTCCACTTCCTTCGGCTCCTGTTAAGTGAGAGGTGAGAGTCATCTTAACGGCTTCACACCTACAGCTGGTTGGCACACATACCCATGTATTATGTGCTGAAAAGGGTGATGTCCATTTTCCCCCATGGGATGTCTAAACTCCACCTCTACTTATAAGCAACGTCATTTCTTATGTGCTTTGGTAGTTCTGAAATATAACTCTGACATCTTGCTATGGGGACATTTTTCTGGTTGCAGTGTGTGGGAGGCAGCCTGTCAGTCTATAGCTGCGAGGCAGTGAGATCACTGGCACGGTCACCTTTCTTTTTCATCAAGTGTTGGTATCATATTGGTCCCCTCAAAGTACTTTAATGTTCACAGCGTCTTACAACGTTACGCATGCAGCCCCTGACTAATTTGACATTCCTGAGCCATTAGTGACAGACATACAATACCACTGTTAGAAGAGGTAGGGCTGCCTGTTCTCCTGGCAGTTTGCTGTTGAATCAAAGTAATGATTCGACTTTCCTGTATCAGAAGATAATGTCATTCTGGCCTAATGAGATAAAGACAAAGGGACTGAATCCAAACTATATCTATTAAGTAGCTCGTCCCTGCATCTTGAAAAACTGACATTTGACATTTTGCTGCCAAGTGATGTCCTGTCACAATGGCACAATTTTGAAAACAGAAAATCCATGGTTGCCTTTAAACAATTGTCCCGTGTGGAAACATAAAAAGGGCACTTTTCTTGCATGTGACAAAACAGCTCTGTGTAAACCTCAGCGATGGGAAGCAGCGCAGCATTCTAACAATAACACTAACTTTTTCAACTTTGCAGACAAATAGTTTTGAAAGCTGAAGCCACAGTCTGTTTTAAGTGCATTTAGTTGTGGCAATGTTTAAAACACAGGAAGCAGTCAGTCAGTATTGTACAAACACAGTCTGTCCAAACAAGCACTGATACAAAGCATCTGAGCACAGTCATCTGTGTGCACACTGCTCGATGAATGTTTGTGGGTCTCTGTTAAGGGTTTATAACTTTGCAGGTTTTCACGGCAGTCCATTCTGAATAGGCGAGAGTATGTTTCTGAAATCACTGCAGTCAGGATTTGCAAAGCTGATTCACTGGAGTGTTAGATTCCAGTCATCAGGGTAAAATCACTGGGTTAAAGTTTCAAACTCTTGCAAGCTGCAGAGCTCTTACACAATTGCACAAAGTCTCATTGCCAACATCCTCCACCAGAGCTGTCTCAGAGGATTCTCCTACTTCTCTGTTCTTTGACAGGACATTCAAAGCCCCTCAAACTTACCCCAGCCTTCCAGTGGAAAATTAGGAAGCATGTATTTGGAAACCCATGGCATGAGGTTTGCGGGAGAGGGTGAACTGGGGATAGTGGGAGGAGGACAGCAACAGGAGAGAAGAGACTGGACATTGGAGGAGGAGGTGGGTGGGTGTCTTGGTGGATGTCTGCAGAAGAATGAGTGTTTCTGTTTTCAGGCCATTAATCAAATCAGTAGGGAGTTGAATTTACTGAGGAATGCTGCGTGTTGCAATGCAGACATGATCAATGACATGTGCTGAGAGGGCAGAGAGATATGCTAAACGTAGATGCTCCTTTTACAGACAATCAATGTAAAAAACACAAAGCAAATATTTCTTATCAACACACTGGATCAAAAAAAGGAGTTACCTTCAGTTAAATCAGCAACTTACCACACTAATCACCACTGCCATTTTGAAATTCTTTTTTTTATCATCAGAATTGTGAGGAATGTACATTACTATATTTGTGTAGCGCACGCATGCAAAGAGCTCGGATCTCTGCACAAATAAACCCAAAGACAGGATACGGCCTCCAGGAGGGGTCCGTGCCATTTCCTGCCCACCTCTGCACTCCTGCTGTCCGCCTCAATAGCCTGTGTGTGTGTGCCTGGCACTTTCCTCTTAAACACTTATTTTCTGTCCAACAGGGTCAGAGGGTACAGGATGAGCCATAAAGGAACACAAGGGTAAACAAATGAGATACTTTGTCTGCAGCAGCAGCTTCCAACCTTGTGTTAAATAGTGCTGTGAACACGTCTGTTTCCATTGGCCTAAAATAGTTAGAGAATGACCACAGAGCTCTTACTCTAAGTATGTAGTCAGCAGGAGAAAGCAGGAAACTGTGCAAGTCATTTTGTAACAGATCATTGACATGACTGGGTTTGAAAATAGTGTTTCACAAAGGTTCACGATTACAGATGGAGAGGGGTTTATTGCTGGTAGAAAATTATGAAATTCACCATTGCATGAATTACTGAAAAAAAAGAGAAAGCTTAGAAATGCATGTAGGGCACTAGAATGAGAAAAAGGAACTGTGGTGAAGACAGACATGACTATGTGGTAAATGGTCAGGCATGGGTTCAAGAGCGTGGATGAAAATGATTTTTTAGTAAGTACAATTCATCACTTATAACTCAAACTATTATTCTATTTTAAAAAAAAAACATGACCCAGGAATGGCCAAAACTGTTCTCTGATTTAATGTACCAAAATTGGAAATTCTTAAGGAAACTATGGATGCCACATTCCAACTTGTTGTCTGCATAGTTTAAGACCCAACAACTATTTATCAGTGCATATGAAAAACTTGGACATTGATAAATTAACCATTGATAGCGAGTGAAATGCCATCCACAGATTCTGCAGCAACCTATCTCGTCACATAGATTACTTCTCTGAAAATTTCCCCTAATCCTTTGTTGCATGGCTCTACTGTGCTAAGCTGACCTACGTGTATCCAAAAGCTGCCAACTATTGAAAATATTTGCTAAATTAAGAAGCAAAAGCATACGTCTAAGGAGGTCCTGTTGAATGAGCTGCTGAGGGCTGGTAAACATTAAATTCTTAAAACCCCACCAGTTGTTCCCCTCAGCTCCTAAAAGACTACATGATGCGACACTGTAGGGAAAAAAAAAGCAACAGCAAGACTTTCAGTACATGTGTTACTGGAACTGAACAAAGAATGAAGAAATGTCCTGAGAAAAAATGTCTCATTTCCAAAATGTGGTTATTGTATTATAACTGGGTTTGATTTTTTAAAAACAGAATTGTATTTAGTTATATTCTGTTTTGGACACAGCCTTGAACCCAAAAGATGGACAGGTCAGAGTGAGTCCTATTGTTGATCACCACATATCTCTGTCTGTCAGTGTCCCACCGTCTACTGGTGGTACAATAATACTCACCCTATTAACATTGTGCAGTTCAAATAAAATAGATTAAATAAAGTGTACTTATTATACACAACAATTATACAATTATACAATTATACACAACAGCTCCACTGTATCTATTTTCTTCAATGTCACATAGTTATTCATGTTACATTCAAACAAACCATGTCCATAAATAAGGCACACCTCTCACACTGTTTGTTGTTCACGACACCTCTTCACTCAAGAATGTAGACACTAAGTTTTCTTATCTCACATATTTAAACCAGAAGTTCCTTGAAGTTTATGGTATTGCAGCCCAGATCAAAGAAAATAATTCCTTGTCTGTGAGCGTTGCTCGGGTGTTTTTTTTATCCAAAAAAAACATTTTAAACTGGGAAAAAACTGTGAAGCACTATGTTTTACTGGTTGCTCCTTTATTTCCCAGGGACACTGTTTCAGTGGATGATCTCAGTCTTGCGAGCAGAGCAGAGATTTAATCAGTGGTAGCTCAACAGTGGCTAAACACACTTCATTTCACCCATTATCACACCTTCCTTCACCCCAATGGGGGGGAAGTAAGTGATGGCCAGGGATGCTTAGAAGGAGACATGCATAGATCTGATATATAGTCTGTGGTCCAAGTGACAATCACACTGGATGTATCTGCAGCGCTGTTATATCTTCTTGATGTGAGCCCACCAGTACTAAAGGTGGACCAAAAATGGGAGTGTCAATGCTGAGTGCATACAAACCACACACAGGGTGAGTTGGGAAGAGGCCAGCAAGTCATGACATGAAACAGCAAGGGAATGAACAGAGACTGAAAGATGCAAGGAGAGGAAATTCAAAGGGGGTCGAAAGCAGTTAACAGACTCAATAAGAGGAGTGAATAATCTGAGAAAGATGAGGGTGGAGATATCATATTTTGCTTGGACCTCGACATGAATCTATGTTACACTTGGCAGCAGCTGAGCGCAAAACATCTCGTGTACCGACTGTTTTTCTCCTATCAGTCATCCCTTTTTTCTCTCACCTGATGTATCGTTCTTTCTACCCCCTCCCTCTTTTTTACCACAGGTATTCAGGTATTTACCTCCAGGGTGCTGCTGGTAGTGCTGAGATTTGCAAGGTGCACTTTTGTCCTCCTGTCAGGACATGTGTGGGCCCAAGGGGAGCATCACACGAAAGGACTGGGACAGTCCTATTGTCCTGCAGCATTCCACTCGAGACGTGGTAAAGCAAGGGAATGGTTGAGGAGATGGGGGAGAGCAGCCAAAGTGGGGATCTAGAGTTTTCGTCACAACGGCAGTTTCCCTTCCATCTCCCCCTCCCCTTTCTGCTACCATCTTGTCATGTCCTTTCCTGTCCGTTCAGGAGCTGCAGGATAAGCAAATGCACCTGCCTTAAACCCAAACCCTGAGGCTGGATCAAAACCTTTGGCCTCTCCAGATATTTAAAGAAACACTGCATGTCCTCCCAGAGAACATCTATTTTTACTGCATGCTAAGAGACTTTAATGCCAGATATGTGTTCTATTACTGACAAATTCAATAACATTCAGAGCTGTGAACTACCTTGATGGGGAACCTCATCAGTCTGCTTGTTTGTGGGAGTCTTCTGTATATTTAGAATAGAATTAGGGGAAAATAACACCTTATCTGACCTGAGATCCATATTAAATGGCCAAAAAGAGGACAGCTCTGCCTTTGCTGCCTTAACTTTTAAACTGGTGAATAAATCAAACAGAAGCCTTGAAAAAACCACAGCAGGCTGAAGGTTTTCAGTATATTAGTATTAGAAAAAGAATAGCAGGAACAACAACACAACAAAAGGGTCAAATTTTGCAGCTGAGATCACATGAATGCTTTAAGGCCTGCAGAACAATATTCTCTTTGCATGGATTAAAAGTAAGTACAAACATCCACAGATCAACACTCTTTTAGAGCAACCCTAAGCAACATCTGTCACATTGCTGTCAAAAAATGCTGATCCACTCTACAATGTTACCTCTGTTCATTAAAGCAAAACCCTCAAAGTCAGGTCCCACCATGGCATTTAAACCAGGATGTGGTCTGGAGTCGCATCACTGCATCTTTATGTTTTCCTTTTTATACAGACTACTATCTACCAAATCTAGAACAAGCTGTATAGTTTGACGGATGGTCTCACATTTGACTGGAGAATCTGTCAGTATGCAGACAGTTCACTGACTCAATAGCTGCCAGTTGATGTGGTTGAAGAGCAGTCTCAGCCACCATTTCTCCACCACAGTGCTTAACTTTGCACCTTCCATGATTATTTATTTATTTATTTATTTGTTGGCTGATGATGATCCCCCCCCCCCCAAAAGTGTACATGACAGATTAAATAATTATTATGTTTTTTCTTGCTGAGATGTCACTGAGACACTTTCTACAAACATATATATAATGAAAATGATACCACTATGCATTTGGTAAAGCATGAAATCAGAGTCAATGTGCTTTGAAGATCCCGCGCAGATCCCTGTAGGCTGATCCCTACCTGCTTTGCAGCATGTGTGCTCCTCAGCAAATGGATGCTCTCAAATTGTGTTCAAAACTAAACTTGGTGCGGGTTTTTTAGCACAATGAAAATAATTTTTGGTTTGTTCTGACCTCAACATTCACAGAAGATTAAAAGGTAGATGGTGTAATATTGTATGTCAGAACACATGGTCCAGTTCATGTGCAAGTGTGTGTGAGTGTGTGTAACTAGACCCTCTTGTGGAAGCGGGGACAGGTGTGTCACCACCTGACCACACCCCCAGGCCTCACGGCACCTCCTGTCCATAACACCTGTCCCCTTCGTCTGTGAAAAGACCTGTCCACCTCTCCTCTTTCTATAGACACACACACACACGCACAGACCAAAGTTTGTCTGGGAGGAAGGCAGGTTGCTGGGCTGTGACAGAGTGTCTGCGGGGAGGGGGTAGCCAGTTTGTCTTGAGTGTCGACGCAGCTGTCCCTCTGAAACTAGAACTCCATCCAAGGGTTCAGTTCGATGTGGTGTCATCTCTGCCCACTCAGTGACATCGCTGCAAGCTGTCCAGGATCTGCCGCGGATCATATATGTCAGGGCAAACAACAGATGGGAGTGTATCAAAACGCACCTTCCAATCTCCAGGTCCAAAAAACAAGGAAAAGCTTAGTCGATCTATTATTCTTTCTAAGGATTTCCTTTTACACTAATACTAAGATAGGCTGCTAACTTAGTCACAGTTCAAATGGCATTCTACTCTCCCCAAGACAAAATCCTTTACACTTACTTTTGCCATCTTAAAATAATCGCTATCCAAAAGATGATAAGATCTATAAAAAAAGTCGCAAGAATATAGATGGAAATTGGATGCCAAATTTTAACATTCAAGTTTAAGACATAGCTTAGTTATTATTGCTCTCAATTTTCAGAATAATAAAGGTTATGTAACAGAAACTGAAGCTTTCCCTGTTCATGACTATATTAATGTTCGAGTTGAGTGTAAATATTGTTCTGAGCTAGTTCACATTGTCTTTGGCTGATGTGTAGAATTCATGCCGTTTTGTTCCCAAAATTCTCCAAGTAGAACACTGATAGTATACACAACTCTTTATTTGTAAAAGAAGTTCCAAAATATCAGATTTTTTACCAATAGATGGAGTAATTTATCTTATCTCTTCATATTTTGTTCGCTATTATCTCACTGTACCTTAAAGTTGGTGAAACAAATGATTTGATGGAAATGATGAAGACCTTTGAAAATTATTGAAAATGTTTTTATTTTTATTTTTAGCATTAAGTGTGTATGTTTGTGTAAGTGCCAGGGAGAGTCAAAGAGAGAAAGGGAGGGAGAGGTCAAAGCAGCCTGAAGGCCATTGTAAATTCCTCGCTGGCTAAACCAAAGACATTCTTCTCTGCTGTTTTTCTTTCTAATCTCTATGCTCAGATTACCAGCTAGAGGGCCTGAACAGATGAGAGTAGAACAGGGTGGCATGCATGCACACACACGTGCCAAAACACACACCAGCATACATGGAAACCACATTTACAGGGAACTTGCAAACTCCAACATTCATTACTTGCTGTTGCCTCACACTAATTTAAGATATCAGATCAGTCTCATGTGTTTTTGCAGCATTTGCTTTAGCACAAGTAAAACAATTACTCAACAACACGCTGAAATCATTACCCAAGACCTTGTGTTTTTAAAACCAAAAGAAAACATCACCCCCGTGGAGAATGCTGAGAGGATTCCCACATGACAGCACCCCCCCCAGAGTGCCACCCAAACACACACAAAATACAGCATTTGGAGCCAGAGGCATCACATAAAACCTTTCCAGATGTGCGGAAGCCAGTTCCACCAGAATGATGCCACGCCGTCAGCTTTGTGCTCTGTAAAACAAGGAAAGAATCTGCTCTGAAGAAATGAATCATCATTGTCAACAGGATGATGTTTCCATTGTGTAAAATGTATTTGATCTCACTAAAAGGAACGACTGTTATAACAGTGAGTTGAACTGTAAAACTGAAACTCCACTGTACCTGTATTTCTTTATTCTTATTCACAGTCATCAAAATTTGAAGATTTTCTATAGAAATTCTGTCAAGTCATCTACAGCATTGCCCATGTTAACATATAAACTTGGAAAAGAGGACATGTGCAACAATAAATATAGCACCAGACTACTACATATCTCAACTCCACTTGGCAGTCATTATTTGCAATATTTCAGTGACTGACTTGGGCCTTACAAGTCATGGGTGTTTCATTTCAGCAACAGAGAACTAAATTTTGCAATTGTGAGGCAACACTGAGAAAGTCTTCAAGAAATAAATGGTTCCATCTCATTTATAAGACAGGGAAGACTTAAAATTCACAACATTGCTTGTGAATGATGTTCAAGAAGTCAGTTTTTGTAATTAACCACTACTAATCTGGATTTTATTCTGTTTCTTGTATCGTGGGAAGTAATAAGCACTTCATGCAAGGAAGATCCTGAGACATTTCAAGAGCAAATAGGAAATAACATAAGAAAGTTGTGTTTTGTGACAAGCACATTATAGCATGAGAGAAGAATCATAGAGAACACACCCAGGCTTAATAGAATGTCCCCCTGTCACTGCCGTAAAACATTAAATGTAAAGTGATTTAGTTTTTGCTCCGCATGAACACACGCCCCCCCCCCACACACACACACGCACACACACACACAGATCCAAAACAGCTGGGTAAATCTTGATCACCTATTGTGGGAACAGACATGGGCCTTGGGGCTTACTGTTGGCCCAGCTAGGTGCACCACCAGAGGGCATAGACACCATAGCCCTTTGGAGTCATCAGTCTGACAAAAATCTAATCACTGGAGATCTGAGACCTTTTTAGTTTCTATTGTGAGAGACTTGCATCAGTCGGCTCTGAGCAAATGACACAATTGTAATGTACCAAGCTGCGTTCCATTAGCTTATTTTATCTAAGAGTGACCTTATAACTTACATAAAGGAAACTTTTTTTCGACTCTAACAAACCCAGCTCTTTTGCCCCCCCCCCCCCCTCCCGTTTAGTCTGGCCTAATAAAAGCCACACAACTAATCAACCCAGAGGCAACACCTGATATCAAAAGTGGGGACTGACGGGGAAGTGGAGGAGGGTGGGAGCAAAGCAGATAAAACCTACAAGTAATGTAATTATCCACACTTTAAAATCAGCCCCCCCACTGTTTTGGCAGAGCACCGTGTTGGCTGAATTGCTCAGAAGAGCCAGCATGAGTCCTCACACTTCAACAGGTGTGGAGGGAAGAAAAAAATGGTAAGCGTGAAGGATGAAAAGAGAGAAAGAAAGGAAGAAAGCTTGAGCACCTGTTTCAGCCTTCCTTTGGCAGGCTGGGACCTGCTCTGCCCCGCCCCGAATAACGCATTCACGTCTTAGTGTCTGTTCAGCTATGTGAAAGAGGGCTGGGGTCAGTTTTCAGAGGGTAGACGGGCACCGAAATGGGAAAATAGTCAAGCACCACCGGTAATTATTGGCTGTAATTACTGATGGTCGGCGCAGTGAACCAGAGTCGACTGTCGGCCACTTGCTTCATCTCCCCCTGCTCCAGTGAGCATCAAGAGAAGAAACCAAATCAGAAGGAGTCCCATTAAAAGAAGTTATTTTAACTTAACTGAAAAATGAACCCTGTCGACATTGAAGGAATCCTACAATTCTGTGTTGAGAACAAAATAAATCAAATAAATGGTTTGTCTGTCAATGTGTAGTTTGTGTGTCACAGATCAAAGTCAATACTATTCACTGTCCGACAGTTTTGCACCTTTGCAAAAATTTGATTCAATGTGAGATAAATGTTTACATACCCACAGCAGATATGTCGTCCATGTTTCACATCTTCTGAATAATGCTTTATGAATGCGGATGGACACACTCATGGTGAGGAGCAGGTGCTGGTTTAAGAGTTTCAAAGATATTCAAACTTAGTTCTGCACTCCCAAACAGGCATTTCTTAGTCATCTGATCCTGCCACCACAAGGGACAACAGTGGGCTTATCAGAGCAGCGGAGGATTCTCTCACCACAAATCTAACTGCGCACACGCATGGTACCAGCATGAGTCCAGAGGCTCATTAACCTCCTGGTAGGGGGTGTGGGGGGGGTCACAGGCATCAAAGTAGCTGGATCACTGCAGAGTCACTCAGAAATCCTACCATGGGGGTCTGGAGCCGCAGCGTCTCACCCCCTAATGAGAGGCCATGACATGCACACATCCACACACAGTTTGACCTCTTAGGACCAGCTGGAAAAGAGAGTCTGACATGCCTGTCCCAACCCTCCTCACCCCCCGCCCCCCCCCCCCCCCCCCCCCCCCCCCCATCCATTCCTCTCCCAAACTCCACACATTCCAGCTACAGTACCCAGAGCACCCAGCCCCTACTAGTCTCCTTACGTCTCACCTCCCATAATTACCTTAATCCAAAAGTGGAGAAGAAGATGTAGAGTATTAGGCTTTTAACAGCTTAACGAAGAGCTGCTGAATATCTCACTGTTGATCTGTCTTCAGGTTAAATTCTCTGATAAGTTTCTAACATTTAATCTGGGACTGTTGGAATATTGTAGACGGTGTTTAAAATTCTTGAATAAGAAAGGCTTATTTTAGAGTACTCCTGCTCATGAACTCACACTATTATTATATATGAAAGAAGAGTTGGTAACCCATCTGACTGTAATAAAGGTATATTTGTAAAAAAAAGTAGCTACTTGAAAACAAACATTAAATTAAATTTATGCCAAACATGTTAGTATGACTCCAGAAAGTACAGATATATTTTGATGGTAAACTTTGGTTTGTTGGATTTAAGTCAAATAGTCTATATTGAGTCTAAATTTGTCATTATGTGTGACCTGAGGAAAACTGTTGTCTCTAAATACAGCACCCCTATCAAGAACTCCATGTAGCTGGTGGTTTTAATCACCATTACATGTCTGTTTGGGATTCTCAATTTTGCTGCATATTATAGGCCTACAGTGTGGTAACTAAAGTGGGAGGCTATGATTCCCATGACTTCACCGTCAACATGGGTTCATTTCAGTTGTTGTGAGTTATCAACACGATGAGACTAAAAACACACCAATTTATCAATCAGCACAACTGATTGCAAACACTCCGAGAGGTATGTGGGAGTTGGGAGGGTGTGAGTCAGGACACTGAAAGGGAGGGGAGGGGGCGGGGGGGTTCGCTCTCTGCCAGAGAAGCAAGTGCACCAGCGGCAGCAGGGTGGAGTGGGGGGGGGTGCAGGGTCAAAGGAAGAGGCACCTTGCAACAGCTGGTCTCAATTATCCATGGAGGCACTGCTGAGTGTACAGGAACATGTGTGTATGCAAGTGTATGTGTGTGTTGGAGGCTGACGGAGACCACTGGCGCCAGGAGGGGTGCAACAGGTCAGGGAGGATGAAGATTATAAAAATACTTGGAGGCAGTTGGCCTTGGTCCTGCCGGTGCACAGTACAAGTGTCTGGTGGATATGGGTTGCCTGCAGTTTTGCCACAGGATGTGGAAGAGTGGGCTAATGTGTGCTCATTATGGGCCAGAGTGGTATACTTTTGCTGATATCCACTCGGGTGAGATTTCAGTGTAACACCACACAATTCATTAAAAAAGTCATCACGGCTGATTAGACAAAGTTCTGTTTCATTAAATGTATAGCTGTAAAAAAAAAAAATTTAACAAGAAAACATAAAAAACAGTTGATTACTTCTGAAATTCTCACAGTTCTTTACAGCTTTGCAGTTGGAGTATATGTGATGCCCTGATAGCACTAAATTATGAAAATTATGCTGCAGGTTGAAAGTTACCTTTGGTATTTGTCTCCATTAAGTGTGTGTTTTGGTCTCACTGTAAATCCAATGACAAAGCTATCTATATATTTACCATAAGCATCGATAAGTTAAAAACGTATTGTTTATGATTAACTTTCCATCGTTAAAAAGTAACCGTTCATCAGTCTTATTTCATTAAATCCAGGAACTGATCCATTCATTAAGGTAAATTCTATTAACCGAAGAGAAAAATGAGTGAAGGCAACCTTTTTTTTTAGATCTGGGGAGAGCAAACGCCAGATTTCCTGATGATACTCAGACCCTTCTAACACAACTTGATTAGACACCTACTGTATATGATTGTCAATTGACAAAACTGGAGAGTAATAGGTTTTCCCCCTCCGTTTCATCAGAGGATTATACTGCACTATGCTGCCACCTACTGTTTACTCTGTTGGTACATCACTTTCTGACTTCCTAAAATCAGCAAATATATATAAAAAAATATATAACTACTTTTATCCTATCAATAATGTGTCTTGGTTACACTTTAAAGAGTAAAAGCATAAAAAAGGTAGAACAGCATGAAGTATTCTCTCATCTTCTGTGATGTTGATGTCATGCTGAATTTAATTAGAGAAATTGATAATTGACATCACTGGGTTTCCACCACCTACTTATATAATGTAGACTTAAAAGTGGATGGAAAGGTACATTTGTAGATGCTTAATATGCATTTGTAATGGACATACTTAAAAAAAGTTATACTGTTTATAAACCCATGACAGTGAAACTACATTTATATAATAAAAATAAAAACGATGGTTGTGCAGCTTTGCAAGAACTCTGGTAAAATTAGTCAAACATAATTTTCACCAAGTGTGAGACGATGCATCAGATGGTGCAGAGCGACAGATACCAGAGTTTTAATCTGGATGAGCTCACCTGGATATTTCCGACAAGTCTCACTCGCAAACACCATATAAACTTCCTGCAAAGAACAATCAGATTGTTGTGACGCATTGCAATTGGGCTGATCTGTATGAGCACATACACAACATGAGAAGTTACAGCTGTGTTAAGACCTCTAACTCGTGAACTAGTGTGCGTTCAGCTTTAAACAGCGCCCCACAAGGTGACTAAAAAATCCTCATGTTTTAGTCCCGTGGCGCTGTCCGCGGTGCTGTTTGTCTGCAAACACCCAGATCATACCCTTCACAACAGAGTAACTTAGAGGAGAAGAGAATAATAGATACGCTCAGCCAGTGCCATGTCACATTTTATCATGTATAATAAACAACAAACAACTGAGGATAAAAAAACAACAAACAATCTCAGATTTCAGATGCGTGGTTTTCCTTGTCCAGAGCTAATAGTGTTGCGCTTTGTGTGTTTAGCCACCTCCATCAAACTAACTTGTTCACTCAACCGTTACTGATAAGAAATGTGTTTAATAATAATAATAAAAAAGACAGACTTACTGCCCCTCCCCCCCTCATCCAAATGGTTCACTTGGGGGCATGGTGCGATATTATGCAGGGTTCGACCATGAACCTCTGAACTTCCATCCTTCTATTTGGCGTGAATCCTACTTTTTGTTTCCATGGCAATTAGGATGGAAGGCTGACGTGGGATGCGAAGACGCGCCGTTCTGTGACGTCACAGGTTTGAGAAGCTGCAACAGTGCCGCTGAGAATGTTCCTTTAACTCTCTTCAGACTTTTGACGAAGACTGCTCATTTTTGGGACACGCTTAGATGCACAGTACATTCAGCAAACATGTCGTCTGGAAAAGCCTCGTATAGAGATAGAAGGGTATACAGCGTCGAGAAAGACACAGTTATGCACACTGAGAGCGGCGGGTATCTCATTGGAGATGTCCTCGGTCAGGGAATTTTTGGAAAAGTGGCCACGTGTACCAAACTGCGCACAGGAGAGGTAGTGGCCGTCAAAATATCGAGAAGAGACCGTCAGAAAACAGGAAGAAGAGAATATAGGATGTTGAAAAAACTCAGACAGCTGGATCCCGAGAAGAACAACTTGGTTAGATTTAAAGAATATTTCAAACACAAGGGCCAAATCTGCTTAGCTTTTGAGAGGCTGGATAAAAGCCTGTTTGATTTTATGTACAACAGGGATTTCATGCCGCTACGTGTGTCTGAAATCAGAGTTATTGCTCAGCAGATGCTGGTGGCTTTAAAAGCACTGAAAAGCATTAAGGTGGTTCATGGTGACATAAAGCCTGATAACATAATGCTTGTTGACCACCAGTCACAACACTTCAAGGTGAAGCTGATTGATTTTGGTTTGGCTAAAGATACTTTAAAGTTAGTGCGGGGAACTACCATTCAAGCTCTTGGTTACAGGGCCCCAGAAGTCATGTTGGGCCTCCCACTGGACGAAAGTGTTGATATGTGGTCACTTGGCTGCGTTTTGGCCTTCTTGTTCATAGGCCAAAACTTGTATCCTATACAAACTGCATATGGTGTCATGAGATCCATTGTAAAGCTGCAAGGCATGCCTGAAAGTGATCTTCTGAACGAAGCCCTCGAAGTGGATGACTATTTTATTCTGAGCGAAAATTCATCAAGCTCCGCTTGGAGACTGAGGACTTCATTGGAATACACTGACGCAACGGGGATAAGAGTGATGTCTCGTCGGTGTGTTTGCGACACAATAAACACTCTGGATGACCTGCCAAATCTGCATCTGGAACACAATGATCCGACTGTAGACAAGGACACTCAAGCTTTCATTAGCCTCCTGAAGCGGATTCTAAATGTAAATTCAAGGAAAAGGATCACGCCGAGCAAAGCTATTGGTCATCCCTTTATAACAATGAAAAACCTCCATGGTATCCCCAAAGGCCACCATGCAAAATTAACATCCACTGACAAAGTGACCATAGAGGGAAAATCCAACCAAAACCTGAAATGTGAAGAGGGAACTGGCACAAAGAGGGCCTGCGTCAACAATAAAAATAGAACAAAAAACTTGAATGGCAAAACCATCCAGAAAAATAAAGAACCAAAGAAGCACAGAGTCCCAAAAAAGGCCAAAGCTGATGGACACAATAGGAAATTCACTGCCATGGAGGACATGGACAAAAGCACCTTTTGTGACACAAAAGATCATCCAGTTGAAGTGAAATCCAATAGAAAGTATCTCAAGAGGATTGAGAAGTTCTTTTCCACTTTTCCCATGTGCCTGGCATGTCAGGGTGAGGAATGAAGGCCATAATACAGGTGAGCGTCGTTTTAATTTTAAACATCCCATTTTAGTTGCCTTTAGAAATCAAGAAATGGAGTTCTTGACTTCTGATTTATTTGACTTTTGGCCAAAGTGGTTTTCAGTCCCTTTGACAACTGTGTCTGTACGTCACATTTGGAGACGTACTGCGGTAAGCGTGTTGACTCATTTCCGTGTCCGGTGTTTGTGTGGTAGTAGTGTGTTTTTGCTGCTCTCGCTAAATACCAGCTCAAATTGTTAGATTTCAGTAAGTTTGCCTCAGCATCCATTGATGCATGTTACTAACTGGACTTTTTCCCTTTTCTCCTGTAGTCGTGTACTCCCACGTCCCTCTCCTCTCTGCTCCCATCACTGCTGGCAGGTGTTCCTGGAGCTGTGGAAGCTGGATCTGTGATTGGGAGTCTCCTGCTGCCCCCGTGTTCCTACTCTGCTACAATTACAGCCACTGTTCATAGTCTTATTGCCATTATTACTGCGTAGTTTGTCTCCCTCTGCTCACTCTGTCCTTCTCTCTCTCTCTCGCCCTCTCTCTCTTTCTCTCTCGCCCTCTCTGTCTCTCACCCCCAACCGGCCGAGGCAGATGGCCGCCCACCCTGAGCCATGGTTCTGCTCGAGGTTTCTGCCTCTTAAAAGGAAGTTTTTCCTTGCCTGTGTCGCCTAGTGCTTGCTCTTGGTGGGAATTGTTGGGCTTCTGTAAATAACTCAATAACTTTGGAAAGCGCTGTGAGATAACTGTTGTTGTGATTTGGCACTATACAAATAAAGTAGAGTTGAATTGATTAAGGCACAAGATTCTTTTAAAAATAACAATTAAAGATAAGGAAAAAGGAGAAATGTGGACAATACTTCTTCCAGAGTACAAGGTACCATCTAATTAAAAGTAAATCCAACATTATATATAAAAAGTACACATTGACAACATATTTTCAAAGTCTTTAATATTTTTAACTATGTCACCATTATGCTCTTTCAGATTTTTTAATCAAAATACACCCTGAGCAAAAATAGCAAAAGCTACACGACATTTTGGTGATAATAAAGCATTTTAAAAGGGCATCAGAAATACAATTTGAAAGCACCAAAGCACAACGAAAAAGATTCTGCCAAAAGGCAAAAAAATTAAAGATGAAGCCAATGTTCCACATAGCCGTAAATAAAAACACTTCAAATATAATTACTATTCAAATGACTGGAAAATAAACTATTCTCTTGGAAAAACAGTTTTGGGGTGAATTTGAGTGATATGTTGTTTACAACATAAGAGAAAACTTTTGAACAGCATAATTAAAGTTTCAGATCCTGAAATGAAACCTGAAAAACGATCAAAGATAACATTTATGACTCTAGTCTTATTTCTGTAAAACAATTTCCATGTATCACTAGAAGTTATTTTTAGGGGTCTAAAAACACTTTACTGTGCTCAGCAACACCTTTCACTCGTATGAAAATATAATTTTTTGCACACACTCATCTTTTCTATCTTTACATGTGCAATATGGCTAACTCTCTTTCCCTTCGCTCCTCTCCCTACTTAAATAGCTGAGTTCTGGCCTTCTTTTGTCCATTCACTAGAGGAACTTTCGTCTCTTTGGAGCTGCCGTCGTCACCGTCTTCACCTTCGTTATTGTTTCTCCAGCTGGCCTTGAGAGGAGTCAGTTCTGGTGCTATTATGTCTCCATCCTGCACAAGACCATAAACAAAAGGTGGTGGTATAGAGGCATGGAAGTGCAGGGCAGTAATGTGAGCAAAAGCAAAAAAGATAAAGATTTTAAGAAAAAAGAGCCTGCTTTTCATTTTGGTTGTTCTAGATATCTGAATCAATTTAAGATCAGGTTCTGGCAAAGAAATGCACAGAAGCCTCCAATAACAGTCTTTGAAAACCAAGTATTACCACCATTATGAATTGTGTGTTAACTTAGTGAGTCCTTGACATTCTTGTGTTCAAAAACAGTTACCTCTGTTTTGTCTGAATTCCATTATTAGTGAGTAACTGCGAATTCAGGCCTTAGTGCCTAAGACAAGCCTGTAGCTTTAGCAGGTACTTGGTGTCTTCAGGGTTCATGGATAAATAGAGCTGGATGGTCAACAGTATAAATGAAACTCACAGCATGCTGCCTAGTGATGCGGACTACAAAAAGCATGTCGGGGTGCATCATTTCTAGTTCCGAACCATGTGGCTTACTGACACTTTTCAGGGTACATTAAAAAGGTGAAAAACAATGGTCATCAAGAGTCAGTCAGGCTTTTTAAAATCATATCATCAAACAATGCAGCTCTACAAATAGAAAGGAGAAACGGACCAGTTACTGCATGCTGTTCTTAGTCAACATACTCTTTTACATGTTAAGCTTTGGGTCATTCTCCAGCTTCAGTGTAATGCCTTGTTTTTTACAATCAGTAATTGTTTTACAATATCTAATTGTGCGTAATATCAGGGATAACAACAGCAATAGTCACCTCAATAACAGGACTTTAGCACAACATTTAAGGAGCCTCCCTCCACATTATGTATATACAAGTGATAGAAATAGGACGTAATAAGCCTGAAATGTGATCACACTACTGTTGGATGGTCACCTGATTTTTTATGTTTCTCACCAGAGGGATGAGGGCGTATCAGGAGTTCAAGTGGAGGTTTTAAATAGCCAGTCACAAACACAGAAATAACCATACACATAACTACTTATGATCAACCATCATGGTGTTACGTTATTAGAATAAATACATTTTAATTTCCCTTTGGGCGTAACAGTTCTACCCAGCTTATAAAACCATACCTGGGGCTTAGTGAAGTTTCGGTTCATGCACCACTGCACAAAGTGCTTCTTGGCAGCCTCCAGGGTCTTATCGTCCGTCTTCTTGCAATAAACCCTAATCAGCTGCTCAGCAAATTGCTCTGGAAGAAGTTTGGACACCTGACAAGAACGACGGCACAGAGCCAATTTTGAGCCATGAAGTAATGTCAGAGGCAGTCACATGCAGAGTAAGTTAGAAGAACAGCAGGAACAACAGGTGCATTTAGCTGGACATGATCTCTGTATTCTGTCCTTTGTTTCTGACCTGGTTTTTGCGTATCTGAATGGCTTTAGTCAGGTCATTCTTGCTGTAGAAACGCACATTGTTGATGGGGTTCTTTTCCTTCATTCCGTAGTCCATATTAATGACCTACAAGAGATGGAAATGTTTTAAGATCCACAAAGGACAGTGCAATGCTCAAAGTGAAAAAGCCTGTAACCTTTGGAAGATTTAAACAGTTTAAATAAAGAGAAATCAGATAAAAACAAATACATTTATAAAAAACTCACATTAATAATGAAGTCCTCTGGTTGCAGGCTGACATCCTTAGAGCTACCCTGAGGGGTGGATCCAGCCAACTCTTCCCTCCAGTGGGAATTGGTCTCCTGTTACAGGAAGAAAGCGGCACAGTTGGCACACAAGAAAGCAGGTCCACCACAAACAGACCATTTCCCACAGCAGGTCTGATGAAATCAAAACTCAAACTACGCCAGTCATATATACTAACAACACACAATCCAAGCCAATTAACCTTTCTTTTTAAACACAAACATGAAAATAAACACGAGGTACCGATGTGACGACCAAGTTTTTGTCAGGCTGAGTTTGCCCCAAACACTTGTAGAGACGTCGGCAGTTGATGTTACGCAGGATTTGTCTTGCCTCAGCAAGATCAGGAGAGGAGGAGTACAGAATCTGTTCAAACACATGATCTACAGGGGAAACAGAGGGGCAGAAGAGCTCAGCATCTATAAAACCACTAATCAGATTCACATGGAATCAAAATATGACTGTATATAAAAACTATATTTTTCTTTTATTTGAGCCAATTCCGAAAGGTGGCTAAAGGTCCAATTTAATAATTTGTTTAAAGTTCAGAGCAGCAGACCAGCTTTTATGAAGACGAAACGATACATACATACAAAAAGGTACATAAGTGATTCCTTTTTTCTTTGCAACAATGTTACAAACAATGCCATCGGGAAAAGCAATACTAGGATCAGATTACTTTTGATAAAGGTGAAATTTAATTAAGAATAAATCCAACCCTTAAAAATTATGAAAGTGTTCATGGTGATGCTGCTTTAAACTACAGAAAAACCTGAAACATTTGCTTTTTAAAATGGAGGTGCCACATCAGCTGAAATAATAAATGAATATAAAATATAAAATAATTGAGTGGGAACATGTACCTTTACATACAGTTCCATTACATACACAGCTGCAGTGATCTGTGAGATACTGTACAGTTACAGCTGTGCTAGATTTTGTTCAGGACAACTGCAAGTACACACTGAAGAGACGACAGCAAGAAACCAGCAAACGTCATACTGGAGGAGAGAGGTTTTCTCTCATTTTAGCAGAATGTGAAATAATCCTTAAAGGGAAAAAAGCAAAGAAATGAAGTGTGATCCAACCACGGGAAAAGTTTGCTTGTGGCGCCTTTATGTGCTGGGGACAGAGTAGGCATTTCCTCACCCGTCAGCTTGCTGTAGGCCACCATGTCATCTATGGAAGTGGAGAGCGTCCGCATATCCCCCCCTGAGCCTTCGATCTGGATGTAGGGATCCGCTTTTAAAAAGGCCTCTGTGATCCTGGAGAAACACGTTCGACGTGTTATTCCTGAAAACATCCGTGTGCGCACAAGGTGAGGAAGCACAGCCCCGGCGCTGCGGCAGAGGGACGAGCTACTCACATGGTCTCTATGATGCTGCCCACTTTGTGCTGGTAGGCTCTTCTGTGCAGACAGTTCCTTGTGTGGAACATGTCATACAGGTTGCCAACCTCCTGTTTAAACAACAATCTGGATTTGAGTGACATGTTCTCCCTTAAAAGGATGGTGGCTGGACATTTGATCAGAGAAAAGCCCAAAGCACCTTGTCTCTGTTGCAGATTTGCTTCTGCCCATCCACCTCACAGACCCGGGCAAATTTCAGAAAGCGGCGGTAGTCGAAGTTGTTCTGGATGCCCAAGTGGTAGCAATCCCTGAGAGCACATAAAAAGCAGAGGTATGTGGACAAATGGGTTGATTAAAAAAAACAAGTTTTTTGGGATGGACCAACATTTGTAAACAAACCCTCACCTGGCAAAGTAATCCCACTTGTCCACATCAATGCCGTTCCTTTTGTTGGCCACAATCTCATAGAGGAAGGACTTATCTTCAGTGCGGCCTTTGTATGGCCACTAAAAGGACAAACAGTAACAGCAGAATCAGCTGAAACGCTCAGTGTTTGTTCAGGCACGTGGTGCATTTACCTGCAGTCAGTTTTCACAGAGCTCTGGCAAACAACATAGGTATAAGGGAAACGGATATAGATTGAAACAGCAGGAGTAGAAACAAAAGTAAACAAAAAAAAGGTACACTTAAGGCAGCCTCATCTACCGGCAGACGTGGAAGGCTGCTTTAACATGTACAGTATACTGGTTCAGATGCGAACATGAGTTCGGAGGAAAAGTCTTGTATGTTATTGGCATGAATGAGGCATACCTCCTTGCAGTGAGTAGCATACGTGTTGACTGGCCCAGCGATTTGCTCCTTGATAAAGTCCAGGTCGTCTGGGAGAACCAGGCCGTGTTCCTTCAACACTGGCTGAAGGTTGTTATCATCCACCAGGTAGTCAAACATGGCCAGTGAGGCAGTTTCATGCTGAAAGATGGAAAAGTTAGGTTAAAGAGCAAAAAAGAAAATGAAAGTACACCTCCTGGGACTCTCAATCATAGAGAAACAAATATATCTTTGAAGGAACATGACTGAAGGCTGATAAGAAGATTTGCCTATCTGTTACTTCTTTTTACAAGTTGTAATTACCGGCCTTAACTTCAGAATTGTCCTCTTAAATCCTCATCTGTTTTCTTATCAGATTGAATGTCGTCAATACCTTTGCACAGAAGCTGGAAGCAGTTTTAATGACCAGTAAATAAAAAAATTGAGAAATAAAAAGTAGGCACTAAAAGAAAATGTAAAAAAAAAAAAAGTATGACTAAAACTTCTCGCCATACTGTCTTCAGCACCAGTGAATAGATGAAGGTTTTCAGGGGAATTCTCAACACTTCTGTGGTGTGCAGTGCAGATGATTTGCATGTGTTGGCAAGTATGGCAATTATGTTCTGTGATCAACCGGAGTCTTTATGTGTGCTACTGAATAGTTTGGGGAAGAGTCACAACTTCAGCATAACAGGAAACGAACAATGACACAGACTTCAATTAGTCAGAGGAACAAAATGTACCAGAGGAAAGTAAATTAACAAAAGGATTTACAAGTCAATCATGACAACTTAAGGAGTGTCTTACCTTCCAGGCCTTTCCAGGACGTGCTCTTGGGATAAACATGCCATCAAACATATGAGAAAATGGTCCATGTCCTGAGAAAGGAGGAAAAAACTGTTCAAGTGTGTGAACTCACATTTGTTTTTTTTAATGAACAGAATGACTCCGGTTTTTAATTGGTTATTCAACCTGATAATTTATGGCACAAATGTTAAACAAAGTGGTGAGACACTGACTTCTGTGTCATCTGGTGCAAGTCAATGGATTTGAACAGCTTTAATCCTCCTATGTTTTGAGCCAAACAATTCCTCACTGACCCAAGTCGTGACACAGCCCGGCGATCTGGACACAGAGGATGTCTCTGCGAGAGATGAGGAGCTCTGGCTGCCTCTCATTCAGAGCTTGGACAAGTTGCCCGGCCAGGTATCCCACCCTATTTCACCACACAGCAAAAAAGACTTACTCCAAACCAGATCTGAAAACAAACTTACAGAGATGAGCTCTTACGGCACCCGACTTCATTTACAGTAATGGTGAATACACTGCAAGCCAACTTTCTTTTTGTTACTCATCTCCATGCAATAAACAGCCTTGTGAGAAATGAATTTACAGCTTTACAGCTTTAGGTGCACCTGTCTGGTCTGAGATGAACCTGGGTGACCAAAAAAACAAATCTAACTGGAAGGGTACCCAATGCTGTGTTCAAAGCGGTTGTGGGACGCTCCGGGAAAAACGAAGTATGCCCCTCCCAGCTGCTTGATGTTTCGCAGCCTCTGGAACTGAGGTGTGTCAATGATTTTGACAAGAAGTGGGTGTAACTCCAGATGCCCGTGGATGGGATCATTAAACACCTGACGGCAGAATAAACAGCAAATGGATAAAAAAAAAAGACAAAAACAAATACAGATGCACAAAATCAGAAAAAGGGTAACAATTAACAACCAGCAAAGGTAAATGTGAAACAGACACATACAATTCAAATGTTTTTAAGGTAGTTTCTCTGAGCAAAACTTTATACCTTTTGCAGAAGAAAAACTCAACTAAGTTAGAAACCAAGAACTGATCATGACCTAAGCAAAAAAATCTGGGAAAAATGTGCACGGACCCTTCTTCATTCTCTGCAAGGCCCATTAAAATCCTCTCTGAGAAGTGTGGGAGTACAAGTCTTCCCACATTTCTCCCCAACCTACTTGAATCTATGACATTTCTTCACTTAATGGACTTAAACAGCGCTCTCTTGAGAGATTATGGGCTCAGTTTGTCTCACTTATCTCTACAGCCTTGAAAGGGAGTCACTGAGAGGAAGTTCGTACCTTGCTTGGCTCAGTTTCTATCTGCCACAGCTTCCTGAGGCTGTGTAAGACCTTCAGGCGGTCACCCAGACACCTAACAAGCAGACAGGGGTGAGCGATGACAAGATGCTGCAGAGCAAAGAGAAACTTCCACATTTCTTTGAAACCACTTTTAGGGTTACTGCTTTTTCTCAGTGAAATACTTGCCTTATGCCAATCTTCTCCAGGGCTGCATCATTGAGATAACGCAGTCCGACACCGGTGACTCTCTGGTCTTCACAACAGAAAGTACAACTGACGTTAGCTTGAGCAAACGGGAACGTTAAGCTAATATCTTAGCGGTGTAAGAATTTTAGCACTCAAGTCAAACAAGAGAACTAACCTCTAAAAGCATCCTGCCATTCCCCAAGACCTTGTCTTCTCAGATATTGGCACGTTTCTTCCACTCCCCACTGGATGAAATCTGAGTCCGACAGCCGGTCCACCGACACTCCTTTTTCCGGCGTTTTGAAGCAGTCATTGGGGTTCAAATCGTCGTCTATCCCTCTCTTTCGATTATTTGACATATCGGGGTGGTAAGAAGTTTATTTGCAGATTGTAGCCACACAGTCTAAAGCTGGCTGAGTTTCCCCACAGCAACCCAAACAGCTGATCCACAGTCCCGCTAAGAGTGCTTGAGCGGCGAAAAACACCCGGGTTTTGTCTACCCACCGAGGGGGTCGTCCATACGTGAAAACAAACACGGCTTCCGGTTGTGGATTTCAATATAAATCTATAAGAAAGGATGTTTTTTGTTGAGAACCAAATATAGAATGTTATAATCGATTATGAACTGAAGTTAAAAAACTTGTAAAAATGGGAAACATGTTCATTTTCATGTTAATCTATATATTTATATACATATGTTTATATTTATTTTTGCTTATTGAAAACGTTTTTCCGGCATTTGATCTGAATATTTCCGACTTTATGATTGTACGTAAGTGGAAGGCGGAGCTAAAAATACCGAACAGAAATATTGAAATATTGCGGGACAAAACATTAGATCTGCGTGGTTAGTGCACAAAATTTGGTAAAACACATCTCCAGAATTATATAGCTTAGCTACAGACAACAAAACAAACTCCAACGTGTCTACACTTTTCAAAGAGAGGCTAATTAAATTAGATTTTTTATAGACAATTCGTCCATTTTGGGGGGTTAAAGAGTTTCACTTTTGCTTGGTAATATGCCCTTTATGAGAATTATCTGTAGTTTTTTTCTGGAGTCACGATTTACCAACGCTTTAGTTGCCGTCGGTTTATCTTCGGAAAGTCCAATGCAGCGCTTGCCTGTGAATGCATCAGAAGCTGGAGCCTTACCCCCTAATCACGGGATACCATAATCCAGTGCAATGAATGCAATTATAGAAGGGTGGAAGGTTTAAAAGGTTCATTTCTCTTATAATTTGGAACTAAGTTTTAGTCTCCAGCTACCAGAAAAAGACCACAGTGTATATTAGTACGATAGTACTTTGAATCCCAAAATACCAACGCACAACACTGTATTGATTGACTTTTAAAGATTATGGTTATAGTATGGCAACCTGGCGCTATAATAAAACAGTTCCTCCTGTAGCTGTTAGAAGTTCTAACCAATTTGTGCATAACTGCCATAACTGCCATCAAGTCTGCTGCAGGTATTTTGCAGTCTGTCTTCAGTTGTCCGCTAGTTTTGTCCCTCCACAACTTAACCAAGGGAAAAAAAGAAAAGAAATTATAACCGTGTGCAGAAATGGATTCCATTATCATTCTAATGTGATTGAGGGAATTAGTAAGCCAGTATATGTATTTCCAAGAATCAATCACAATTTTACAGTGAAAAAACAATTATGTGTGAGATAGGACAACAGGTGCAAGCCATAGTTTAAACTAACATGAGGACAATCCTATTAATTTCATATTAGCAGCATCCATGCTGAACTATAATTTACTTTCGGCAAGCTTGAAGTCCACAAAAGCACAAAAAGGGAGAATGAAAACTTTATTTCAAACAGACACCTTATATTATGTTTTCCAAACCATAGAATACATTTCAGTTAACATTTGCTAGGCTCTTAGTAACAGACTAACCGTGTCCTAAACTATAATGAAAATTGACACAATCAAAAACCCAACACCCTGTCTATGCAATCTAATATTTGAGTAACTCCAATCTTTTACTGAGCGAAAGTAAAAATGAATAATATACCTGGTGTAATAGTGGTACAAACAATCAATTTCAATTAATTAAAACGCTGGCCTGGTGACCTGTCCAATAACAAGAGGGATAGGCAAGTTCCCAATCTTCTTGTATCCTTGAACTGGAAGGTATGACATATAGATTGATGGAAGATTAAGTAAACATTGTTAATGTATTTAAATTGGTAAACAAAAAAATTAAAGATACATTTAAAAATATTTCTAACCAAGATACCAAAAAAATTATCAAACCAGCTGGAGTATACCTATTAACTTTAAAAAAAAAACTAATAGCTCAAAGATAATGCTAAATAAAAGAGATATAATTAATTAACAGTACTTACTCAAGAATCGGTGAAAAAATAACAGTGAAAAGGAAATCTATGCAAATTTTCCATCTAAAAATAGATAAAATGATTGGAACTATGACTATGGCTCACAGTAACCTGGTTTCATTTATTGCCTTAGAAAGAAAGATGGAAGCCAAACCCCTGAAAACCCTAAATGAATGTTTAGATTATGTAGAGCACTCTCTGAGGCTGTGCAGGTCTCTGTTGAGTATGTTAAACCTTTTCGTCAGAATGAACAGAGCAGCTGATTGTTTCTTATCCTCTGTCTCTTTTGTTATCTTGTGCTTCACTGACTTTTCAGGGTGTTACTCTTCTGAATGCTGAAAAAAAGACGGCACAAATAATTGCATAAATTGAAGAAAAGCAGCACAAAAATACATTGAATTGATGTTATTTTCAGCTGTAAAAGATGCCACTATTGCTGGTACCATATTTAGCGGTTTTGAGTAAATAACATCTTATCATCTTGAGTATATAACATCTTAATCACAAATATTACCGTAAAGCCATTTTCTCCACACCACTGCATGAATATTCTTCTAGCCTCTTCCTCCTGTGCTTTGACCCCAGTTTTCCAGTAGACCCTGATGTGCTTCTCAAAAAAGGATTGCGGAAAGAGACGTAAAACCTGAAAAGATGATGACACGACATTAAGAATCCATCAAATGTGATGGTTCCAAGGTTTTCACATAGATGACATAAAACCATAAGTGACAAACAGCTCATGCCAGCAAACTCTGAGATCACATTTTTGCGGCAGTTCTGACCTGAGCTTCAGGGATTGGAAATGCTGTGTCTGGAGTATCCTTTCTGAAGAAAAACACATTGTTCAGCGGATTTCTACTGCCGAAACGGACAACCTAAAATAGAAGTGTAAAAGAAAAGCTGTGTTTACATTTACAAATAGAAATGTCTCTATAATATCTTAACATCAAATGATGAATAAAGCAGAAAGAGGAAACATTAATCATCAAAGCAAGAGGTGTTTTTATTAAGGAGAACTGATCTCAGCTTGGTACTACAATAAAATAATGAAATAAGAAGAATAAATCGGAGAATTCTATGTTTCTTCGGTGAATATTGATAAACTAACATCTTGTTCGAGGGGCACTCTTCTTAAACATCTGACCTCTATTTTAACACACTGACAGAAAGAATATATCCATAAATTTAAAAGATGAGTTTTCATTTTCATAAAATCGTAAGATGTAGACATTACAGCTGAACAATTATGTTTAGAATGAATCAGACTGTTCAAAAGCAAAATGGAAATCAATCCTTCCCAAACTTAACCAAAAGAGTTTAAATGGAGGTACTTTTGGAAAAATGTTTTGGATTTCCTGACATTTCCACACGATGTAACTCCATTTGATTTGCTTTTACTTGTAAGTTGTGACCCAAACATATCCTCAGTTTTTATGTCAGTACCTGCATAAGATTAATAATTCCTCCAAATGTTAAAGCAAAGCTTAGTAGGAAGATGCATTGTTTTGAATGAATAAACTATCCTTAATGGACGAGACAGAGTTCAGTATCTCAAGTTGAAAAACTTACGGAAACTTCAAAGAAGTCGCGGTCCTTTTCCTCCTGTCGTTTGTCTTTGGGTATGGCTGCGGCCAATTTGCCTTCCAAACTTTTCTACAATAACAGTAGAAATCCTCAAAACTTGAAAGAATTGTGATTCTTGTGTTTCAAAAGTCATGAGATGTCCTTCCAATGTTTTTTTTCCAGACTTTCTAAATCATGGTAAATTTTTAAAAATGTTCATACAACAGTAAATAAAGTGACCTGTACAATTTCATTAACCTTATATAACTTTAACCTTATATTTCTGCAATTTACTTACCTGTTTATCTTCTTCTTCTTCTTGATCATTCTTCTGTCAAAGAGAAGTGATAATCAAAATGTGACTATACACAGATTCATAAGTCAGAACAATTGACAGCCAGAGCATGTTCACATTTTCAGAATGCAGA